CATCCTTATCATGGGAGGACTGACTTGGCCATGGTGGTCCATTCTCTGCTACATCCTGAATAGACAACTGCAATGCACTCTATGTGGGGTTGCCCCTGAAGACTACGTGGAAGCTCCAGCTAGTCCAATGATTGGCAGCCAGGTTGCTCACAGGAGCAGGATACAGGGAGCATACAACTCCCTTGTTACACCAGCTCAATTGGCTGCCTATTAGCTTCCGTGCACAATTCAAAGTGCTGGTTTTAACCTATAAAGCCCTAAACAGTTCTGGCCCAGTTTACTTGTTCGAATATATCTCCCTCTATGTACCACCAAGGACCTTAAGATCATCTGGGAAGGCCGTGCTCTCGGTCCCACTGTCATCACAGTTGTGTTTGGTGGGGACGAGAGACAGGGCCTTCTCTGTGGTGGCCCCCTCGACTGTGGAACTCCCTCCCTAATGAGGGTAGATCTGCCCCCTCCCTCCTCACCTTCCGGAATAAACTTAAATCCTGGCTATGGGATCAAGCATTTGCAGAATAGACCAGTTTATTTGTGAAGATAAGACTTTATTTGACCACAGTGGACTGATTTGAATGACGATCACAACCTGGTGAACTATTTTTAATGTATGGACAACACTGACACTTCGGCCTAGAAATGGAGATGAGCACCACCACCCAGAGTCAGACACGCATATATTTAATGTCTTTGCCTACTATCCACCCTAATTTTGGCAAGGCAGTGTAGCCAAAAATGGTGAGCATTACATTTGGGTAAATAGGATAAACACACGTGAGCATCATGAAACTCATGAAAGCTGGCTTGTTATGTAAGCAAAATGCAGTCTTGATATTACACACAGCAAGAGACCAAAATAGATGGTTGACATCATAGCCACAAAAGACTTCAGGGAATTTTCCCATCACCTCGACATCCCAGTAGAACCACCAGGCCACTCTTCCCTGGGGAGAAACTTCCACAGATGACGGAGTTTAGCACTAAACTCAAAACAGCCCTGAAGGGAAGCGGCTATCTGGGCACAGCTGTTCTCTTCCCCTTCGAAGAACACCATTCATGCTCTTTAGAGGGGAAGAGAAACCCCTTGAATAAGAGTCACGTCATGCTTAGCCCAAAGGTAGATGTGGTTACAAAACCCAGCTCCACGCCAGGAGGCCTCCATGTAGAAATAGATGCTCCTTCCGGTCTGAGATGCCAGCAAGCATCGCCTTCTTGGCGAGGGGGGATCAAGAGAGAGGAGAGGGCATGCATACACATTGCCAAACAAGCGGGTGAAAGGAAGAAATGAAATCCGTGAATGGTAATTTATAGTGCACTCTCTCTCAGAAATAATTACAAAGTATTCATTCATTTATTTAAATTATTCCTGTATTGCCACAAGGGCTCCCAAGGCCGTAAACAAATAAAAGCCAATTAAAACATGACCAAGATATAAACATTAAAATATTCTAAAAGCAGTCTAAAAATAACCCTAGAATTCAGTTTTGAAACAATGAAAACAGTATTTTCAAACACTTTATATTTGGGTTGGCTGCCAGAACCAACCAAAAGAGACAAAGTGCATCTACACTGTAGAATTAATGCAGCTTGACACCACTTTAACTGCCATGGCTCCATGTAATAGAGTCCTGAGCATTGTGATCTTCCTTTCAAAACAGTGCTGGTGCCGTACTAAACTACAAATCCCAAGATTCTGTAGCACTGAATCAGGGCAATTAAAGTAGTGTCAGATTGCGTTTATTCTATAATGTAGATCATAGAATCATAGAGTTGGAAGAGCCCTTGTGGGTCATCCAGTCCAACACCCTGCCAAGAAGCAGGAAAATTGAATTCAAAGTGCCCTCAACAGATGGCCATCCAGTCTCTGTTTCAAAGCCTCCAAAGAAGGAGCCTTCACCACACTCCGGGGTAGAGAGTTCCACTGCTGAATGGCTCTCATAGTTAGGAAGTTTTTCCTAAGGTTCAGGTGGAATCTCCTTTCCTGTAGTTTGAAGTCATTATTCTGCATCCTAGCCTCCAAGGCAACTGAAAACAATCTTGTCCCCTCCTACCTATGACTTCCCCTCAGATGTTTATACATGGCCCTCATCATGTCTCCTCTCAGCCTTCTCTTCTGCAGCCTAAACATGCCCAGCTCTTTAAGCTGCTCCTCATAGGGCTTGTTCTCCAGACTCTTGATCCTTTTGCGTTTCTCTCTTCTGGACACATTCCAGCTCAACATCTCCCTTCAATTGTGGTGCCCAGAATTGGACAGGGTGTGATTCCAGGTGTGGTCTGACCAAGGCAGAATAGTGAGGTAGCATTACTTCCCTGGATCTAGGGAAGTTGCATCCAGAGTCAACCTAATTTCCTTGGGCAGATAGGTGAGGTGCTGCTATAGAGGAAATTCTGTTACCTGTATCAACCAATCTAATTCCACAAGGTGCTGGGACACATAACATCACCTTTTTGAAGATCTCAAATTTCAGATAGCCTCAAATGGGAGGAGGTAATCTTTCAGATATACTAGCCGAAGTCCTTTAAGACTTTGTAGGTCAAAACCAACATCTTGAAGTGAGCTTACAGGAGCAGTGTTAAATGATATCTAGAATGTATAGTTGACATCAGTCTAGCTGCTGCATTTTGCTCCAGAATATGTAGGTCTGAGGAAGTATATATTGAGAAGGCTGTGACTTCATAAACTCTTGTGTTTACTGAGGCTGCTTTCCAGATGCTTAATGCTGATATTTGAAGGTATCCGCTCTTTAAATGACTGAGATGAACTTAGGGGATTGGAAACTGTCCATTAACATTAAGCATTTACCATCTGGAAAGCAGCCTAAGCAAATACAGTTTTGAGGCAAAATGTGGCTGGATCTACACTGTCAAATAATGCAGTTTGAACTGCACTGAATTGCATTATAAGAGTCTACACTGCTCTTCAAACAGCATGATATGGTAGTATAGATCCGGTCTGTCATTTGCTGCTTTGGATCTTTGAATTCTGCTTTTACAAAGAATTCCCTGGATATGCAATGATCATTTCTTCAAATAACTGTTCATAATTTTGGGGCCTAAAATGAACTATTACGCACACTTTAAATAGGTGAAGCATGTAAAAACTGAAGTGGTCTACATAATAAATGAGAAAGGAGAGGAAAGAGCTAGTTATAATTTAGCCTACTTGCATCAGCCCCATTTGAGGTTTTTTTTTAAATGGAAGAGAGCAACTACATAAAGATAAAAAATACTAAGATCATTTTTTCATTATGAATTCTGTTCTTTTAGACGCTCACCAATCAGCAATGCTTGAAATTTAATTTCCAGCTGTAGTGATGTTGGATCCTAACAAATGGGCCATTATGGTAATATACTATTGTACATGTTTAAAAGCAATTTTAAATGTGAGATAAATTATATTACCACAATGGCCCATTTGTTAGGACTGGGCTGTGGCACAGCTAAGTAGTAGCCAGCTGCATTAAATCACTACTGACCAAGAGGTCATGAGTTCGAAGCCAGCTCAGGTCGGAATAAGCTCCCGACCATTAATAGTCAAGCTTGCTGTTGGCCTATGCAGCTTGAAAGACAGTTGTATCTGTCAAGTAGAAAATTTAAGTACCACTTTATGCGGAGAGGATAATTTAACTAATTTTCGACACCATAAAACCTTCCAGCAGCGTGCATAAGAATGAGGAAGTGCTCCATCGACTCGGTGTCACAAGTGGATGGTGAAGCGGCAGCTCCCCCTGTGGCCAGAATCGAGCATACCATCATGAAGCCAGAAAGCTTGAATGTTAAATTGCCTGTGTGTCTGTTTATATATGTTGCATGTCTATGGCATTGAATGTCTGCCATGTACATGTGCATTGTAAACTGCTCTGAGACCCCTGGGGGTATAAATACTGCAAATAAATAAATAAATAAATAAATAATAAGGTCGAACACTGGGAAAGCCATCCACTGCATGGCTATCAGCCTCCTCCCAGTAGATTCAAATCAAGGAAAAGCTTCATGAGAACCACCACTCCTCATAATGTTCTCCCAGCAACAACAAGAGTATCTCTCTGGGCAGCTAAACCAGGAAATCCCACTTGGATGTCCCCCCTGAAGGTCTGCCCCCAGGGGCAAACCAAGAATGGGAAACTAGGAAGTCCCTGAACAGAATCAGAAGTGGAGTGGGCAGCTCAAAAGACAACCGGGCAAAATGGCACTACCTAAAAGAATCCTCCACTTTGTGTCACTGTGGAGAAGAACAGACAACTCCACATCTGTATGCTTGTCCACTATGCCCTGCCTCATGTAGAGGAAGAATTTTTGGAGGCTACAGACAATGCAGTTGCAGTTGCCCATTTTTGGACAGAAGATATTTTGCCGCTTGTACTCCTTCTATTTTAATCCGTTTTATACTAATTTATGCAATGCTTTTGATATGAAATAAAATAAACGGTACATGTATGTGTCTGTATGATCTAGATATGGATCAGCAGAACTGCATGAAGTTTTGTATTCTCCTTGGAGGTTTACCCATGGAAATTGCTGTAAGTGCAATAGAATACTAGCAGTACTCCCCCAGAGTAGTCTTACCAATGAGCAATGGTTTGCAGTAAGTAAATGACCTGTTCCTATGGGATCCAAGTTTAGGAACAGAGTAAAGGCGATTATAGGGGAATAGCGTGTTCATTCAGCCCTCAGGTAAAGATTGATCAAATACACAATTCCAGCAAATGCCTCTGGAATGGCAATAGAGAGAATCCTTGGGCCTAGTTTTATCTATGTCAGTGTAAGCCAGAGTTGTCAACAAATGAAGGAAGATGAAAAGAGACAGCACCTCTGCATAGGAGATGTCCAGGTCTGATGAGACGTCACTCATTTAACACTCAGTTATTCATTGTTCATAAATTAATTTGCGTGGTGTGGATAGAAAAAGTGAACTGCTTCCTCATAGTGACATATCAACTGTTGAAGATTAACTGATTGCAACACATTTTTCTTCACAAGAATGTAGTTTTGTCCACCAGTTTCAAATGGTAAACAAATGGTTTATTAGAATATTCTATACGTAACAAAGATTAAATCTGCTGAACAATTAAAGTAATGAAAACAATCCAAGTAGGCTTTCTAAATGTAAAAAAATAAACTCCAGCTAGAATACGTTGCTCTTTCCAGATGTGCTAGCCACCAGGTCCCCTCCAAAGCATTTTGAATGGAAACTCCCGCCCCACTCTTCATCTTCCTTAATAACTAAGTAATTTGTTGGCAATTGAAAACAAGGGCCACTGGTCATTCAGTAACAGAAAGCAAATGTCAATTTCTTCCTGCGTAGGTGCAACACATCACTAGTAAATCATTAAAGCAGTGTTTCTTAGAGTCTGCTTCTTCAGATGTTTTGGACTTCAGCTCCCACAATTCCTAACAGCTGGTAAGCTGGGTAAGCTGTTTGGGGTTTCTGGGAATGAAAGTCCAAAACACCTGGAGGAGCAGAGTTTGAGAGACTGAATTAAAGTATTGTATATGTCCTCTTCAGTAATGAAGGCCGACCGATGTTCTCTTTACACCAGTGGTTCCCAACCTTTTTTTGACCAGGGACCACTGTCCAACATTAGTATAAAAAGGATTACGAATCAGTTTTTGATCAATTTTAGATTTGGTTTGGTTACTTGGGGTGCTGATTCAGAAAACTGCATTGGGAAGACCACATCAACTCTAGTTTCTGATACAGAACATATGCCATCCAGTAGTCATCATCTGCTTGCCCACAGAAAACCATATTTAATAATCTAAAGCTGACGTGGTCTATCCAATGTAATTTTCTGAATCAGCACTGCAAATAATCCCAGGAAGAGGCCTAAAAATGAAGACAAGAAAAAAATTGATTGGACTTTGTTGTTATCCTTCCTTGGATTTTGTTAACACTCAGCACTATAAGAGAGTTTCATGAGACCAGTTCTCTCATTGCAACGGTGTAGTAATGTTGAGGCTGTGGACCATATTATAGTTCTTGCAGACCACTGGTAGTCTACAGACCACAGGTTGGGAACCACACCTTTACATCTATCAGTCAATTCTTAAAGTAGCAGAGACAGATTACCCATCCACCCCTTTTCAAGGCCTTATAGGGGCCCCTGTATGAGATTACTGAGAAATCCACCATAAAGTACATCCCCTTTAGATTATAGTGTGTAGGCAAAGTGTGCAAGTCTATGTAATCATTGTTTTACTTTAGAAATGTCTTCCCAACTGGTTAGAGGATGGTTGGAGTTAGAGTCCATATCTGCTGAAAGGTGCAAATTGGTTCTGGTGTTCTATAGCTCCAAAGAATTCCTTCTCTCAAAAGCACCGGCTAACAGTATGGGTGTACGTGCCCTTTATTATCCAAATTTTATATACCAACTTTTTTATTTGTCTAACACAAAGCTTTCCCACCCTTCAGAGATGAAACCAATTTGGGCTTTTATTTCCTTTAGAGATGGGAAACCCCTCCCATGGCCTAAAATGTCCTTTCCTGTAAAACTAGATCATCTTGTTTTTCAGCTGGCATTTCCATAGCATTGTTATATAAACACGGATACCCCTAAATATTTTTGTTATATAAAGCAAGTGAAGGGTGTAGCCATAAGATTTAGAAGCATACAAGGACACTATTCTCAATCACTGGAAGGATATGCTATCCTTTTTTTAGCTCGGCAACATTTAATGGGATTATTTACAGTTATGCAGAGAGGATGTCTGGGTATTTGTACCAAACCTTCTACATTTGCAGAGGCATTGTGTAACACTGAGAACAGCCTGAGTTTGGCATACACATAAATCTTCACCTGAACTGAGGGCTCCAATGTAGCATCAGAATTCATGCTGCTCCAGAAGTGCTCACTTAATGGCTCAAAAAGGCAGTATGCAGCATGTAAACCAGACAGTTCTCTCAGACATCCCTGGTGACTCACTATTTTCCAAGGGGGAGCTCTCACTAGTGATATACGGATGGGGAAAGTTCATTACAGCCCCATTTCATAGGAGATTTTTGTGAGGTAGATGGAAAACGCTATACCAAGCCCAGGTGATTGGTTGGATTACACAATGTGACAAGATTTCATCACATCATTTCAAACACACATTTCACCGTGATAGGATCAGATATTTATGTGGTGAGGCCAACATTTCCAGGTAGTGTTGTCAAAGGCCGGAATCACCAAGCTGCTGTGAGTTTTCCAGGCTGTATGGCCATGTCCTAGAAGCATTCTCTCTTGACGTTTCACCCACATCTGTTGCAGGTAACTTCTGAGGATGCCTGCCATAGATATGGACAAAACCTTAGAAGAGAATGCTTCTAGGATATGGCCATACAGCCCGGAAAACTCACAGCAATCCAATTTCCAGGTAGATTCAGTCCTCTCCAATCCATGTCTCTCCACATGAGAACGGTCACAAGAATCTTGTTTAAAAATACAACTAAGCTTTTATTCAGTTTTTGCAATTTCCCCCACAACAGTCTAAACCGCAAGTTAAGTGACATAGTGGAACTCCGCTGGAACTCTGTGGCAAACCATCCCTCCAACTAGTTTGCCACATGGAGATAGTTCTGGTTCTATGCAGAATCGCTCTCTATTTTACAGGTGAGAACTGGGCCTAAGAAAAACAAGGAGTGTGAGTGTTTGAATGTAACAAAATGTGTTGCCCTCAAAAAAAGAAAGGCAGACATCTTGAGGCGTCAATGACAGCATCAAGATAAATGGAATGCCTCTGACTTGCTAAAAGCGGGAATATGCCGTTCGCGGCTGAGACTGGGGCAGCTGTGGTGGCTGTGATGACTGCTGTCCTTGCTGCTGCTGAAGTCGGATTTGCTGTGAGTACGGATCTTCAAGTGACTTAATCAACAGAGTGGTTTTGGGCCCCGTCTTCCATATAATGCCATTGAGATCTCTAACAGAAGACTCCACTGTGATACAATGAGTGCCAACAAGGATGAAGTTCAAGAGGAACTGTGTGCTGAAGTAATCATTGTGGGGCTCAACCATCTGCTCCATCTCATTTGTCAAGCCATCAAGGGGCATCTGAAATATGAAACATCAGGAAAATAACTTACAATGTGTCTCTAAAGAAGACTTCAGTTGCCACACAGGATGTTGGTTGCTCAGACAACATTACAATTTCCTGAAAAGGATTACATACAGCGATATGCTACATCTTCCATTTAGCCAAAATGCAATTATCAAAAACTGCTCAGCTGTCAGTGTCTATATCTAAAACCCAGCGTTTGGGAACCACCAACTGGTCATGACAAGGGATCAGCGTTCTCTCAATTGAATACATTTGTTTCCCATTGCAACACAGCTGTGTGATCTCAGCAGAGGACAATGCTAGGACATTTCAGCAGCACTGCCAAAACAGCAACTGAAGAAAAGAATTATCTGTTGCATCAGCCCTTACTTCCAAGATGCATTCCTTCTCCCAAGTAAATAATATACTGGGTCGGGGGGGGGGGGGCATTTCCCATGAAGATTGGACATGAGATCATGACTTGGTATTTTATATGGTTTTCAATCTGTTTGATTTATTGATATGTGTTTAAATTGTTTCTTTACTTAGATTGTTTATATTTTGATGAGATGTGTTTTACTGTCTGCCTGTGTGGCATTGAATTTTTGTCAGATATGTGAGCTGCCTTGAGTCCCCTTCAGGGTCAAGAAAGGCAGGGAAGAAATGAAGTAAATAAATGTGATCTGCAGCATCTACATCAACTCCTATTCAAGAGTTTGACTTTCCAATGATGCAACATTCCCAGAGAAGCTTGCACTCACAGTAAAACAAAGGAAGAAAATTCTTGCTAGCCAACAAGTTAAAGAAGATCAGAGATCCACATTCTCACGCATTTCAGACAGCATAGCTATCGACAATTTATGACTCTATTCTTCATCTTACCTTGTAGTCTTGCCCAGATTTGGTCTGCAGTGTCGAAGACACATTTAGGCAGATAGATTGAATTTTGCGGAAAAGCCCTGGTTTGGAGCCGTGCTGAACCACTCCTTCTACTTTTAAGGCCAGTTGTTGGTTATTCTGAACAACAATAGGTTCAGCAGGGTTACGTGGAGATGGGGACAAAGCAAGCTGAAACAGATCAAGATTCATATTTAATAAGTTGTTCGTTTCTTTTTAAAATATTACATTTCATTCAAGGAAACAGATGCTCATTCGCAAACTGATCTGACTGGTTCAAAATCTACCTGCATTCATCTGACTTTCCACTGTACTTCTCCATATAAGAATTAAGATAAGTGAAATGAGAATTAATTTCACTAACTGTATGCAACTTTTTAAAGTATTCCATGATGTATCTGCCTTGTCACTGAATCACCCATTTTGTTAACAAAAGTGACTATATTATATGATTGTACAACAAGATTGCCTATACCAGTGGTTCCCAACCTTTTTTTTTTTTTTTTACCAGGGACCACTCTCCAACGTTAGTACCAAAAGGATTAGAATCAGTTTTTGGTCAACTTTAGATTCAGTTTGGTTATTTAGGGTGCCGATTCAGAAAATTGCATTGGATAGACCACATCAGCTCTAGTTTCTGATACAGAACATATGCTATCCAGTAGTCACCATCTGCTTGCCCATAGAAAACCATATTTAATAAGCTTCAGCACTGTAAGAGGGATTCGCGAGACTAGTTGCTTTCATTGCAATGGCGCAGTAACATTGAGGCCGTGGACCATATTTTAGTTCTTGGAGACCACTGGCGGTCCACGGACAACAGGATGGGAACCACGGGTCTATACTCTATAAGGTCTCCTGTGTTTTTAGTGCTCTTGATTTTTTCATTAATGTTTGTGCTAGTACAAATTGGCCACAGGTGATTAGGTCAAGAGAACAATACATGGCTACATTTATGAAATGCAGAAAGTATTTTTAAAGGACTGTGAGTATTCCACAACTGCTTCCCTGATTTGCAACCTGGAATGTTTCCACGTTATAGTAGTTTTCCACTTAATTCTGCTGTATTTGTGAAACAGTGAGCAATGAAAACATCTTACATCTACTATCTAAGCATGAGATTGTTCATTTAACTTTTAAAAGACAGGGTTTCTAGCCAGCTGTGTTTTAAAAAGGGAAAGGTTTGTTAGTCCAGAATGCATGGGAGTGGAGAGGAGATTGCCAAGAAGGGGGTGGGGGTACGCATGCTGTCTGCCCACAATCTTTGTGGGCATAGATATATACTCTCTGTAGCAGTGGGGTGCAAATGACCCATATCCACAGCTTACTCCCTGAGCAAAGTTGTAGCATTCAGAGGCACATCATACTTGCAGTGGCCTTTTTAACCTAACCACCAGGGACAATGGTGCGTGTTTACACTTGTGTGCATTATGCAGCTTGCTCTGTCCATGTTTGGGGCCATAAAACCATAAAGCAGTGGTTCTCAACCTGTGGGTCCCCAGATGTTTTGGCCTTCAACTCCCAGAAATCCTAACAGCTGGTAAACTGGATGAGAACCACTGCCTTAAAGCAATACCCTGGAATAAAGACAGAGAAGAAGAATTCATACATTGCTATAATTGTATATGAAAGTAACTCTAGTCATCCCAACTGGAGGAAAGTGCACTGGACATGAATGTTGCAACAATCTGCAATCTTCTGGTAAGCCCTCTTGCTTGTTAAGAACCCTTAACTTTTGACTCCAACAGCTGTTAAGTATATATACTTCAGCAACTTCAAACACATTAACTCAGCTATTATTTACACAGTCAACTGATTAAAAGAAGGGAGTCCGAAACTTGGTATGCCTGCTCCAAAGAGAAAATGTAGTGCAGCTGTTCCCAACCAGATTAGTGCTCAATCAAAACATAAAATACACATATTCCATAAATTGAATGTATTTAATCCGCATCTTTTAAATATCTATAAGTCTAAGAGTAAGGTTGTCCTGTTTGTTATTACACACCAATGACATCCTGCTACAATCCACAACTCTATGATTATAAGAAAACTATTCAAGGCATTGAGTTGTTGTGTTTTCCAGGATGGTTGGCCATGTTCCAGAAGCATTCTCTCCTGACATTTTGCCTCCATCTATGGCAGCCATCCTCAGAGGTTGCGAGGTCTCACACCCTCTGAGGATGCCTGCCATAGATGCAGGCAAAATGTCAGGAGAGAATGCTTCTGGAACATGGCTAAACAGCCAGAAAACACACAACAACCCAGTGATTCCAGCCATGAACGCCTTCGACAATACATATTCAAGGCATTATCTGAGAATTTAATTTCTGTTTCTTCATAATACAGCACTTGAACACAGTATATCTTCTGTACAGTCAGAATCACCACACAACTGTAGTATCTGTATGTGACATGTGCAAATCAAAAACATGAATCTTTAGATTCAAGCAACTAAGAAAATATGCAATCTGGTATCACTGTGCATAGATAGACTGGTTCTTTTCAATATTCATTAGTATAGAAGATCTTTCTATTTATTTAGAAGCCTAACTACTTTATAGGAAGGATAGGAGGCTAAAGGCATAATAGCATTTGAAGCAGTGTTGAACCAAACAGTCAGTCAATAAAACCAACCATTAAAACAGGACAGGAAAAATCGAGCAATAAAATAGACCACAAGAGTTTAAAGAGTACATTAATGAGTATCAAAATATGTCAAACCATCGAATTTAATTGCGTAAAAAAGGTAAAAATTCACAGGCTCCACCCAGCTTGGTAATGCCACCAAAGTTTTGAAGTGACCAGCATTAAGTGGAAATGAACAATGAGCACAGACTCCCTTCTGGCATTTCTTTCAGAAATACGACTGTAGAAATGAGCACATCTGTACATCATACACCTATACAACTTGAATATTACTTTTGTGCAACACCAACATTATTTTTCTTCTTAATTATGAGTTACTAGCCATCCCCTGCCAAGTGTTGCTGTGGCCCAGTCTGTGTATATGTGTATATGTGTGTTTGCGTGTGTGTGTGTATATGTATGTATATATATATGTGTGTGTGGTTTTGTGCATGCGTTGTAATGTAATTTTGGGGTGTTTTTTTTTTTGCTTTTTAAATCTCTTTTGCTGTGTTTTTCAGTGTTTTTATGAGTGATGGTCACTTGTTGGCCTGATTGGTGTATTGTGTCCAAATCTGAGGTCAATTTGTCCAGTGTTTTTTGACTTATGTTAATCCCACTAATGAACAATACATTTTTATTTATATAGATGGGTGTCACTTTGGGAGGGCAGCAAAATTATAGCATTGATCCCAAATAACAATTCTCCTCCCAAATTAAATTTCCCTTCAGTTGCCAAAGCATTGTTTAATACAGTTTAGGTATTCAGAGGAAAGGGGGAAGCAATTATAATGGAATGTGAAGATTTCTGGATTTGAGAAGTTGGGAGGAGACATGATTGCCATGTATAAATATGTGAAAGGGTGTCATAAGGAAGAGAGAGCAGGTTTGTTTTCTGCTGCCCGTGATACTAGGACACAGAGCAATAGGTTAAAATTACAGGAAAAGAGATTCCACCTGAGCAATAGGAAGAACTTCCTGACTGTACGAGCTGTGCAAGTCGAACTCTTTGCCTCAGATTGTGGTGGATGCTCCTTCCTTGGAAATTATTAAACAGAGGTTGGATGGCAATCTGTCAGGGATACTTTGATTGTGCTTTTCCTGTATGGCAGGGGATTGGACTAGATGGTCCATGTGGTCTCTTCCAATTCTATGATTCTATGGATGATTTTAACATCTGACTATTTGATAGGAGACTGAAGGACAATTTCATGGGGGAAAGAGGGGAAAATTCCTATCAGGGAGGCATTCAGGCAGAACTTCAACTACACCTATTACTACTTCAGGTTGTTGTAATAATAAAAAACTTTATTTATACCCCACCACCATCTCCCCGATGGGGACTGGCTTACATGAGGCCAAGCCCAAACAACAAATTACAATAGAGTTGGTCTATGTGATTATGTAATTTATTTAATATCACTGTTATTGTTATGTAATAGGATTTTATATTGTTGGTTTATATTGTTGTTATTGATACTGTTGGCATTGAATTGCTGCCTGTGTTAGCTACCCTGAGTCCCCCCTCGGGGGTGAGAAGGGCGGGGTAGAAATGGCGTAAATAAATAAATAAATAAATACCGAAAACATGAACAATAAACATCATAATTACATAAAACATGTGAATACATAACAATATAAAATTACAATAAGCACAATCACAATGACAATGGGCAGACTACATGTAATGATTAAAATAAAAACTAATTAAAACTAATTAAAAACTCGGGTGAGATAAAAGAGAGAAAGATTATTTGTGGAGGAGGGCTCATTATAGTGGGGGTTGTGGAGTATAGACCAGTGGTAAGTTTTTCGGGTTGTATGGTCATGTTCTAGAAGCATTCTCTCCTGACGTTTCGCCTGCATCTGTGGCAAGCATCCTCAGAGGTTGTGAGGTTGCCTTCGAGAATACATATTACTACTTCACTTTACTACTTAGTCATTTGTCCAGTTTTCAGCTCCATCTTCTTTTTCTACTCTTGCCCACCTCCTTTGCAATCCCCATGAATGCTGTATCATCAAGCACCTAGCTCTATGAAAGTCCAGCCAACCAGCCACAATAGTTTCCATCTAAGAGGAAAAAAGCTGCACGGGGCTATTGCTTATGGCCATTAATTTCCCCAGTCTTAGAAAAAGGCAGAAGAAAAATTAAGAAAAACTATAGAAAATAATCGAAGGGTGTGTCTGTTGCTATCCAAACCTGTTTAGAGCAGCGGTACAGAGTTAATCCAACGGAAATGCTCCTTCTCCCCATGCTGCTCCCTGCCCCATAAGGCAAAACATATGCATACCCTGTTTTGTTCAACTCTTGCTGTGAACTGGCACAATACAGCTAGAGTAATATTGCTAGGCTGTAAGAACACAATAGGTTTGTCGCTACTATCCTTCCATGTCTTACAGAATCAAGATGGCTGGGCAATATGTTTCTTCCAGACGAAGTAAGTGTTTTGAAAAGCAATGAGAACTTAAATGGCAGTGGAAGTGCAAGACACAATCTTCCACACACCTGTCAGAAAACTGATGTAGTTCCCTCATAGGAGTAGCAGGCAGCACTTCATAGGCAAGGACAGAATTGCTCCTTCACATATTCTTTGCAAAGAGAAATTCATGTGAGGAAGAAGTTACAACTAGGTACAAGTTTTGAATTAACATATCTGCACGGAAGATAATAAAATGTAATGGATATTATTTCTGGATGCTAATAGCTTGGAACAGTTGCTTCAGGTTTGTTTTTAAAATAGTTTTATAGCTCAAGATCCCCTTCCTTTAGTTATGAATCAGGAAGATATCATGGTGACATAATCACTTGCAGACAATAAGGAACTAAATATGTACAATGTGGCGTCGAAAGCTTTCATGGCCAGAATTACTGAGTTGCTGTGAGTTTTCTGGGCTGCATGGCCACGTTCCAGAAGCTTTCCTGATGTTTCACCCACATCTATGGCAGGCATCCTTAGAGGTTGTGAAGTTTGTTGGAAACAAAGAAAGTGGGGTTTATTTATCTGTGGAAAGTCCAGGGTGGGAGAAAGAACTCTTGTCTGTTTGAGGCAAGCGTGTATGCTGCAATTGATAAACCTGGACACAGCATATTATTTGAGAACACAGAAATCCTGGACCACTCTAACAACTACCATGTCAGACTACACAGAGAAACCATTGAAATCTACAGGCATGTGGACAATTTCAACAAAAAGGAGGAAATCATGAAAATGAACAAAATCTGGTTATCAGTATTTTAAAAAACCTCTAAAATCAGGACAGTAAATAAAAAACATTCAAAATGGGAATTCCAGACAAGAAATAACCAGGGCCAGTTAATCACCTCCCAAAAAAGGATTCCCCCAGGCAGGAACCAGCCGAGCCTTGAAGCTGCAAGTCTATTCAATGCTAATCAAGGTGATCAATTGCAGCATTCGCACTTGCCTCAAACAGACAAGAGTTCTTTCTCCCACCCTGGACATTCCACAGATTTATAAACAGAGCTCACAACCCCCAAGGATACCCTCAGGAGAGAATGCTTCTGGAACATGGCCATACAGCCTGGAAAACTCACAGCAACCCGGTAACTAGACAGTTGGATCACTAGTTTTCTTACTCTTTCACCTGCCTGTCACTACATGGATTTTGAAGTCTAATTTATTTTCTTTAACTGTAGTTCAAATCTAGTGCGAGCACAGCTTACCTTAATGCTAGTTGACTGCAGCTTCTGGAAAAAATACCTCTGAAACGACAAGGGAACTTTCAGCAAGGCAATGACTGCGCTGCATAGACAAGCCGTGTGCTGGAACAAAACAATGCCAAGCCAGATCAGACTTAATCCTTTTTATTGCAGGGATAGGAAGCAGCACACATTTTAGGGGTTATCACCACAGTTGCTGGCACTTAAAAAACTAAGACAAACCACCATGAAGATTATGGAAGATACCGAGATTGCAAAGCTCCCCAGTAAATCCAGTTGCCTTCCGGTACAGCTTTCAGATAATTTGGGAGATAGCCCAATATTGTTCTTTCCTCTGAACTTTTCCTAGGTATGTAATGTTATCATTAAATTACGGGGCAAAAAAAGTAAAAGCTGATTTCTGGGATTTTTAAATATTTCCTGGGGGTCTGACATCATCAAGAGGCAAATGCGCAGCCACACATGGCAGTCCAAAAGGAAGGGTTGACAAGGAGTGAAGTAACATCAGGTGTTCTTAGAAAGTGAAAAAAAACTGAACAGGAAACTTGGAGGAAATTCTAAAACTTTTAGGAGAACAGTCATGCAATATGTGGTGAGGAGTGTTCCTGTGACTCAAGTGGCCAGAGGAAATGAACATAATTTATTATTTGTTTACTTACTGTATTTCTATACCGCTTTGCTCATCTCAGGGGGGGCACTTGAAATAGTTTACAACATAATAATGGCAAAATTCAATGCCTAACATACATATAAAATCTAAACAATGAACATATAACCATGCATTAAAATCAGTAAGACCATTAACCTAAAAAATAAACAACATTTAAATATGAAGGCATAGAATTAAAACATCTAATATAAACATTAAAATCACATGATCCAGACTTCTAGATAACACCAATGGCCTATCAAGTTTAGTATGAAACTTCTCATTCTGGGCAACCAGATGCCAATGGAAAAGCCTACTTATAGGATGCTTTGCTACATTGCATGCTTGTGCTCAAGCACTATTTTTATTTTTCTGCAGACATTCACATGACTACAAAATTTGCCTGTTTCTGTGCTCAAAGTGTACAAAAGTTATCAAAATCCTGTTTTGTTTTCAAAGAGAGCAAATAGAAATCAACACTGGAAGCCCTAGTTCCAAGACAAGGCAGTAGAATAAGCTCACTCAAACAAAAGAACATTATTCTCCACCTTGCATTGAAGTTAAAGCCAATGGCATGTGCGTTCTTCAATGACCGGGCTCAATAAGGGACACTCTGCCCTGGTCAAAAGTAATACTGAAACACCATCACCTTTAACAAGTAAACTCAAGATGGTGTTTAGCGAGCTTCCACAGATGGTTCCTGCTTGGCAGCCATCATAGCAGCACATTTTGCTCAGTGAATTCTGGATTACACCTGAGTAAATATTTGTGAATCAGTTCAATGCAAAGGGCCAAGCACTGCTCTCTACCTTCGTACAGTTTCAGGAAATGAATTGCAGATTACTTCTGATTTGTCACTTCTAAAGTTACGCTGCCAATATGAAATCCAAGTCATAAAAACTAATACACTCTCAGAACAAAAGAAATCACTTTCTTTCTGGACATTAAAAAGCCATTCTGTCATGAAAAACCAGCAGATCTGACTTCTTGACATGAGGAAATGTACAAGACCAGTATTTAGAAGCCTTGAAGGCAGGACAGCTATTACTTGCCATGTACGACACAGGGGTATATTTTCTGTTCAGTGATTCCACTTCCTCCAACACGTGACTGAATACAGACATCATTCTTCTTTCATATTCGCTTGTAGCATGTGCCATTCCTGCAGAACCATATTCCTGAAAGCTAAAAAAGAAATTAATACCAATGTATATCTTCTCGAACCTGCCATCAGAGCCTTGAGTATTTCTACACACCACTTTAATCCTCCTGGTTGGAAGAAAAGACAGAATAAATAGTGGTATTAAAAAATATTATTAGGTGGTGCCATTTTGCCAGGTTGTCTTTTGATCTGCCCATTCCACTTCTGAGTCTGTTCAGGGACTTCCAAGTTGCCCATTCTTGGTTTGCTCCTGGAGGAAGACCCTCATGTTATGTGCAAGGACCTATCTTTTTTTTTCTAGGTGTGCCACCTTGCATAATAATAGCAAGAGGATGGAAAGGAAATGATTGCTCTACATTAGATCACTTAAAATAGGACAATTTACTCAAATAGGACAATTGAGTCCCCCTAGGGGTGAGAAAAGCGGTATATAAATACTGTAAATAAATAATAAATATAAAAATTGACCTCTCAAATGAACAAGAATGTCTAAAACACAGTCCCTTATTCTGCACATTAATGAATATAATAATAATAATAATCTTTATTTATATCCTACCCCCTTCTCCACAGAGACTTGGGATGGCTTACAGCAAAACAAACAAATACAATAAATATAACACAAACAATAATCACATATCAATTAATAAAACAATATAGAACAATACTATAAACATAAATAAATAATTTTAAAGACTATAAAACCCTCTAAAACCAGTATGTAAGGCCATTTAAAACTAGTAATTCCTATGACCAGAGTATCCAGGCTATAAATTACAGTTCTAATAACTATTAAAAATCCTGTCCAATAGGATGGCTTATACTTTCAGTCATTATTAAAGGCCTGCTGAAACAGCAAAGTTTTCAGTTCCTTCCTGAATGTTATAAGGGTGGATGCTTATCTGATTTCCCTGGGGAGGGCATGAAAACAGTGAAGTGACATGATCTCCGAAAGTTTGAATAAGTCCATGGAATGGACATCACTGGTTGTTTTTTGCTGTTAAATACATCAACTTAAAAGTTTACTTGTAACTTTGATTTTTATTTTTCTATGGACAATATTGACTCTAAAAACCAAATACATGTTGCTGTATGTGGAAAATAAACAGTATCCACATCTATGGTAAACATGACATCTCAAGGAATCAGCACAGCCTACTTCAACAGCTTCCACAATGTAACAAACATCTTCTGAACCATAGCTTTTAACATAATGATAAAATCAATTGCGCTATTCAGATCAACATGTTTAATTTACACATTCCCAGTCCTTTTAATGTTTCCTGAAGTGCGCCACCAAATCTAACTTGCATCTCAATTTTCAATACCCTGAAACCAAAAAAAATATTTATTTACTATATTTATATCCCGCTTTTCTCGACCCCGAAGGGGACTCATGGCAGCTCCTGAACATAATGTGCATCAGCAAAAAGAGTGCTCTTTGTAATTTGGCCAAAAAAAAGGTGTGCATCACTGTTGCTGCCTACTTAGAATTCCTTAATTATAAACAAAAGTGTTAGAACACCACAGTTTCCAGCAATGGAAAAGAAAACCTTGGGTGTATTTATGCTGTAGAATGAATCCATTTTAATTGCCTTGGTGTAATGCTATGGGATCTTGAGGACTGTAGCTTTACATCTTGAGCCTTCTCTGCCAAAGAATGTAGATGCCTCACCAAACTACAAATCCCAGGATCCCATAGCACTGAGCCGTGGCCACTTAATTAGACATGACATCCCTTGAAGAAAAGCTCCAGGAGCAATTTCCCCTTTTGCTTTGGCTCAGCACTAAGATTATTGTATGATGCAAAATTAGTTTGCACCCCAATTTTGGCAAGGTTATTTAGCCAAAAATAGGTAAGCACTAGATTCAAGTAACTATGGTAATATTTCCATAAAGATTTCTCTATATGTGTCTTGCTCTCTGGACACATGTGGAGACATGTGCATGGCAGTTGTTTGTGTACCACATTTAGCAATGAACTGAATCCAAGAGAACCACTACTTAAAAGACAGCATGTGTGTTCTATTTTACAACTACAACCCAGCAGTGACACATGCACGACATCTGTTTATATTGTATTTGCTATGCTGGCAAAAGGACAATGTCAATTCTGCAAAATCCATCCATTGTGAGTTGTAACTTGTTAGTAACACAGCACAAGAACCTCCCTTTCTCACCTCCTTCCTGGGAGAAAAGGGAAACATTTGGACCGTAGAGCAGAATAAAAACACTGCTGTTTCTGTTCCTCCAAATGTATTAATGTACACATACTGTATGTATGTATGTATGTATATGTATGTGTGTGTATATATATATATATGAATGAGAATGAAAGAGAGAGAAGAAATACTCTGAATTTTGTAGGCCTAAGGATGACACAGGAAAGGGATAATTGGAAATACAAACTACGGCTGGTGAGAAAATTAAGCCAATGTCAATCCTATGTATATAGATCCATCCATCAGCCTGTTTTTTTCATTCAACTGGACATAACAGAGGGATACATTATATGACGACGACAAAATAAAGAAATGATGAAAGGAATACATGGAACTTTAGTATACAAAATAAAGATCTATAACTAAAAATAGTAGGGGCTGCATTATTTGGGGTTGCAGTGGGGTGGCTCCATTTTCTCCTTTAAACCACAGTTAGGATTAATTAATGAGGAAGAACTTCCTAACTGTGAGAGCTGGTCAGCACTGGAGTGTGGTGGAGGCTCCTTCTTTGGAGGCTTTTAAACAGAGGCTAGATGGCCATCTGTTGGGGGTGCTTTGAATGTGATTTCCCTGTTTCTTGGCAGGGGATTGAACTGGATGGCCCATGAGGTCTCTTCCAACTCTTATGATTCTATTATTCTAATCAGCTTCAGACCTGGGTGAATAACAAGCTGCAGGTGATTGAAAACAGAAGCTAACATTTTGATTGCCTCTTCACAGCAATACCGAAGAAAAGGAAAGTAGAGATTCTGAAGCTCATTTACATGACATTAAATTCTTAGGGCTTCTATGAAGTTTGTGTGTTGGTACATTTTGAGATTTCCATGTTAAAGTGAGCTGTTATGAGGCCACAATATTTTCCCCCCAGTTTTTAACCTCAAAGGATCTGATCAAGCACCTGTTATAGCAGAAGAAATCAGAACAGGCCCAAGGGGATATTTTATTAGTGCTAGCCTTATATTGGCATCATCCCCAGTGTAACTCCAACCATATGAATGGAAGTGCACAAGAGATTAATTATCTTGTTCATTTAGGGAACTGAAACAGCTAAGGAGGAAATCACACACTATTCAATATGTAGAGGGATCTTGCAGCACCTTTGAGATGAAGAGCAAGAATTTGGTTAAATGGCCATTAGAAAAAATGTTGGTAATAAGGGGCTGAAGAAAGTATGCTTGCATCACACTTACCTTGCAGAGTCAGGATCTAAGATCAGGGCTTCAATTGCATGTGATATCAACAAGCAACTCTGCTGTTGTCTGGTGTAAAGTTAAAGGTGAACACATAAAATATGTGAAGTCTGCTTCATATTGTACATAATGCAATACCCATGAGTTATTATAATTTAAAGGTCTTAATTACAGGGTGGTGACAGGGAGATGATAGTTCACTGTGAATTTGAGTTCAGCAATACAAGTGTTTACTTTCACTCTTACCCTCTGGCACGGTTGGGCAAAGAACAAAGGTAGGCTCTACTTCCTGCTGTAAACTAACTTCAGTTTATTATGACTTATAAACTGTCCCAAATTGTATTAATTTAAAGTATGGGTTACGGAACCAATCCAAGACAAAACTGTCGATTCTCATCATGACTCATTTGCAAAGAACATAATTTCAATTCCAGAAGCATTCTCTCCTGACGTTTTGCCCACATATATAGCAGGCATCCTCAGAGGTTGTGAGATCTGTTGGAAACTTGCGAGGATGCCTGCCATAGATGTGGACGGAACATCAGGAGAGAATGCTTCTGGAACATGGCCATACAGTCCGGAAAACTCACAGCAACCCAGTGATTCTGGCCATGAAAGCCTTCGACAACACGTGATTTCAATTAACCACAATTTGCCTGTTTCTGGCCCAGTAACAAATTCAAGTTGAATTGAACCAGCAAGATGACCATAGTTTTTCAGTGTTAGAACAATGCTGTTATGTGGTGCCAAACATCTTGACTACCCTATGCACACATGGCAGTAAGATTTAGTCAGTTCTGGGCTCTTTGATTTATATTGCATACGTCATGGGAGATTAAAGAAAAGAAGGGAAAATCACATTTGTTATGCACAGATAAAGCAGTGTAAGCTGTAACTGAGATCTAGGGGAAAGTAAAGTTGTTTCTCATCACCTGTGAAAAACCCTGAAAGGGTCTGGTGAACAGTTCAGATAATGTGTTTAGGAACATTGGCTGCAGCCTGGAGCAAACATGTGCACATGCATGCAACTGGTACTTCAGGTGCAGTAACAGCTCTCAGTGCCAAAGAAAGAGGGCAGTAGATCATTGGTTCAGAACTAGGAAAACTTACTTTTTGGACTCCAGTAGTAGTTCTCAACCCGTGAATTCCCAGATGTTTTGGTCTTCAACTCCCAGAAATCCTTACAGCTGGTAAACTGGCTGGGATTTCTGGGTGTTGTAGGCCAAAACAACTGGGGACTTGCAGGTTGAGAACCACTGGACTAAGCTCCCAGAAACTTCCAAGGGGTTCCATAACTTTTTGAAGTTTTTCACATAAGCCTCTTAAACAAAAAGAAAAGTGGAAGAGGTAAACAGATTCTTGCTGGGGTTTTTTACATAGCTCTTTGCCAAGCAAAATCCAAAACCAATTCCATATGAAATTCTTCTTTTGTGATGGAAAAAAGGTTTCAGGTTGAATACCTTGAACAAAGAAGGGAAAAGTCTCGGGGAGAATGATGGGGGAAATCCTCTCTCTCTGACACTTTAAAAAGCCATAAATAACTGATGGATGGAATTGAGTGGACTTTGCCAAATTAGATAGAGTAATATTTGATTTAGTAAGAAGAATTTGACAAAATATCTGACTGGTATGTGAACTGGTATGTGAAAACTATGTTATGTTTGAACCCCAGGTTCTGCGCCCTCCTGAACTTCCCTAATAAATCTTTCATTTGAAGCTACATCCCTTTGAGGAAAATGACAGGGCATTTTAAACAGCAGGATACAGCTCCACGTTCCTCAGAGTTGCTGAGTCTGCATCAAAGGATGATTGATAGAGATCTCCGTATCTGGCAGCTAAATTGCGGAATTCTTCCATGGAGAGTTTCATCTGTGGTTTGGGTGGGGAGAGGTACAGGCGGAGAAAAATAAATCACTGCTCATGACTCATTAGATAGACTGCAGACCAAAGTGGAGAAAAGCTATACAACTCTCCGCTATGCCATTCTCTCTCTGCCCATTTTCTAAAACTAATTTTGGGTCATAAAGACAAAAGATCACACACGCACCTCTGATTTAAGTCTTCAGTTTGCTAGTCTAATTGGCAAGGCTCTGGTGTAGATACCATCTCATCTGTCCTGGGAGGAATGACTCTATAACTCCACTTTTCCTAGGAATGCAGCCTCACCTAAATCTTGTTGAATTTGCCTGCCTTCTGTATTTCCAATCTCCACCAGTCATACAAATGGACATAGTAGAGGCTCTTAGCAGGCTGGTCAGAATCCAGTTAGAACTCACTGTTTGTGTTTCAGATTAATTTGCTCTCTTCGTAGGTACTTCTGTTTTGAATCCTGCCAAGTTTAGTTTCCTCTTCTCTATTGATTTGTTCTTAAGCTTCTACCCTTACTATACAATACATGTCTTGCCTTGCTTTCTGAACCATTTCCAACAATGCCTGTACCTACCTGCATTTTTCAAGTATCTCTTAGAAGCAGGTTTTTTCTCTTCATCCATTGAATATTCTCCCCATAGTTGGCTAGACCTATTCTAGCTTTTAAAAGGCTGGTGCACGCCACTGAACTCTGCCAGAGATTTGTAATCTGGAGATTGAAGTGCTTTTCAAAAATTCTGCCCTGTTTCTTGTATTATTAATTTGTTCAAATGTCAGGACTTGTTCATGCATTTTTAAAATTGTGTTATGGTTACTACCACTCTTCCTTGTGTACTGAATTGCAGGGTAAAGGTAAAGGTTTCCAATTGACATTAAGTCTAGTCATGTCCAACTTTAGGGGGTGGTGCTCATCTCCATTTCCAAGCCGAAGAGCCAGCGCTGTCCCATAGATGCCTCCTAGGTCATGTGGCCAGCATGACTGCATGGAGTGCCATTACCTTAACACCGGAGCGGTACCTATTGATCTATTCACATTTGCATGTTTCTGAATTGCTAGGTTGGCAGAAGCTTGGGCTAACAGCGGACCTCACTCCACTCCCCAGATTCGAACCACCAACCTTTTGGTCAGCAAGTTCAGCAGCTCAGCGGTTTAACATGCTGCACCCCGAATGCTCTGAGAAGCAGCATACAATATCAATATATCATTTTTGTACATTTCAGAGTGTTCTACGGGAATTTAAACACAAATATATAATAACTAATACATAGGTTATCACTGATTTTTTTATTTATTTTAAATCAATACAAAGCTACTGGCTAGGATTCTTTTAGCAAATCAACCAGTGTAACAGGGAGATAAATAGATCAGGGGGATAAAAATTAGCCTTTAACCTGGCCGATTTACTTCAGTATGAACCTTTGTGAAATAAGGAAAGAAGGAAAGGCTTTATGAAAAGACAGATAACTGCTTTAAACAGTTCATTCCAACAGTGGTGTCAATGAAAACAATTAACATTGTTTACATTGTGATTTGTTTTGGTTTTTTGCCTACATGTGTACCCAGACTTCTTTCACCTGCAGATGATTGCTACTTCCCTGCTGTTATCCCACTATAAAGCTAGATAGTAAGATCAATATTATATGTACAGATGACCTTTACTATCCTAACAATTGACTGCAAAAGGAATCTCATATTCCGCTAATAAACTATTCAGCGACTTCCCGTATCTTAGAACACCACAAAGACAGCAAAATCAGAGGAGAGGACCTACCTGGTTGGAGATCCGTCCACACCGTTGGAGGTCGCTACCTGAGGCCATGGCAATTGTTGTGGCAATGGCAGGTGGTGGACTAGTCTTCAGACTGTTGCAGGTGCAGATGAGCTGAGAGAAGGCCTGGAGAAGGTCAATCCGGAGTTTGACAAATCCACACTGGAAGCTCAAAGGGTTAAGTGGGGTGCTGGCAGCCTGAGGAACAAGGCATAGGTGAAATATGACTTGGAGGCAGATAATTGGATGGAAAGCAAATCTTTCAGTAAATGCCCATCTTTCAATAGTTCAGAAGTAATTTGTATATGTAAACCTATTGGGGCCAGACCAACCATGATGTTAAATTTTCAAAAATGTTTAACAAGGCCAAGGATTTCCACAAGTGCCCAAGGCTGTTTTATGAGACTTTCCCAAAAATGTCTTGTTGACATAATATAATGTGGCCACTGCCTTATCTCAAGCAAAAAGAAAAATAAATGATACATTTTTCAGTGTGCAGCTTTAAGCAATATGTAATTAGGTGCAGAAAGTCTGAAGGACAGAGAAGAGTGGGATACATACCATTGTGGCCGGGCTTTGGCGCAGCTAGTTAATAACCAGCTGCATTAAATCAGTACTGACCGAGAGGTCATGAGTTCGACGTCAGCCCAGATCAGAGTAAGCTCCCGACCATTAATAGTCTAGCTTGCTGTTGACCTATGCAGCCTGAAAGACAGCTGCATCTGTCAAGTAGGAAATTTAGGTACCACTTTATGAGGGGAGGCTAATTTAACTAATTTACGACACCATAAAACCTTCCAGCAGCGTGCAGAAGAATGAGGAAGTACTCTATCAAAGGACCCGGTGTCACAAATGGACGGTGAAGCAGCAGCTCCCCCTATGGCCAGAACTGAGCATACCCTCATAAAGCCGGAAAAAGCTGGAATGTTAAATTGCCTCTTTTTCTGACTATATACATTGTATGTCTAAATGACATTATTTATTTATTTATTTATTTATTTATTTACTGTATTTGTATACCACCTTTCTCAGCCAATTGGCGACTCAAGGCAGTTTCCAACAAATCAGTATACATAAAACATAATATAGATAAAAAACATTAAACAGTATAAGACATCACAAAAGCAATAAAAACAACATTGAATGTTTGCCATGTATATGTGCATTGTAATCTGCCCTGAGTCCCCTTGTTGATGAGAAGGGCGGAATAAATAAATAAATAAATAAATAATATAGTGGTGCTGTGTATTTGCAAAGGATTGTCAGGAAGCCCTTAAGGATTTATTTAAGTTTATTTCTTGAATGTATATCCAGCCTTTCACTCAAGATTGACCTCAGAATCTTTAAGGTAGTTGTAGACTTCTCTGGGTATGTAGCTACATAGCTCTGTTTCTTGTTTTCTGTTGTTTTTTGTTTTCGTTTTTTTGCAGCAGTGTTTTCTCAATTAATGCATTTGCTAGAGTTGTGCTGATGCTGGGAACTGAGCTAATAAACAGTCAAAGAGCAAAGCCAAAGACACAAAAAACAGTCAAATCACTATTTGCCCAGTGAGAAAACAAATTAAAATACTGTCTTTTCAAGGCTTCATAAAAACACGTCACATGCCTCCAGCTCCCAGAAGTCCTAGCCAGCTTGTTCAATAGTCAGGAATTCTGGGTGCTGAAGTCCAAAACACTGGAGGGCCACAGTTTGAAGAGACCTACTCTAGCTAACAACAAGGCAGCAGGAGATGACGGGATCCCAGCTGAACTGTTTAAAATCTAAAAGATGATGCTGTCAAGGTGATGCATGCCATATGCCAGCAAATATGGAAAACACAAGAATGGCCATCAGACTGGAAAAAATCAACTTATATCCCCATACCAAAAAAGGGAAATGCGAAAGATTGCTCAAACTTCCGTACAGTGGCCCTTATTTCTCATGCCAGTAAGGTAATGCTCAAGATCCTGCAAGGAAGACTCCAGCAATACATGGAGCGAGAGTTGCCAGATGTTCAAGCTGGGTTTAGAAAAGGCAGAGGAACGAGAGACCAGATTGCCAATATCCGCTGGATAATGGAAAAGGCAGGGAGTTTCATAAAAACATCTATTTCTGTTTTATTGATTATTCTAAAGCCTTTGACTGTGTGGATCATAATAAATTGTGGCAAGTTCTTGGTGGGATGGGCATCCCAAGCCACCTTGTCTCTCTCCTGAGGAATCTGTACAAGGACCAAGTAGCAACAGTAAGAACTGACCACGGAACAACAGACTGGTTCAAGATTGGGAAAGGCGTACGGCAAGGCTGCATACTCTCACCCAACCTTTTTAACGTGTATGCAGAACACATCATGCGATGTGCGGGGCTTGATGAATGCAAAGCTGGGGTAAAATTGCTGGAAGAAACATTAACAACCTCAGATATGCAGATGACACCACTCTGATGGCCGAAAGCGAGGAGGAGCTGAGGAGCCTTCTAATCAAGGTGAAAGAAGAAAGCGCAAAAGCCGGGTTGCAGCTAAACTCAAAAAAACCAAGATTATGGCAACAAGAATGATGGACAACTGGAAAATAGAGGGAGAAACCGTGGAGGCCGTGACAGACTTTGTATTTCTAGGTGCAAAGATTACTGCAGATGCAGACTGTAGCCAGGAAATCAGAAGACGCTTACTTCTTGGGAGGAGAGCAATGTCCAGTCTTGATAAAATAGTAAAGAGTAGAGACATCAGACTGGCAACAAAGATCCGCCTAGTCAAAGCCATGGTATTCCCTATAGTAACCTACGGATGTGAGAGCTGGACCTTAGGGAAGGCTGAGCGAAGGAAGATAGATGCTTTTGAACTGTGGTGTTGGAGGAAAGTTCTGAGAGTGCCTTGGACTGCGAGAAGATCCAACCAGTCCATCCTCCAGGAAATAAAGCCCGACTGCTCACTGGAGGGAAAGATACTAGAGACAAAGTTGAAGTACTTTGGCGACATCATGAGGAGACAGGAAAGCCTAGAGAAGACAATTATGCTGGGGAAAGTGGAAGGCAAAAGGAAGAGGGGCCGACCAAGGGCAAGATGGATGGATGGCATCCTTGAAGTGACTGGACTGACCTTGAGGGAGCTGGGGGTGGTAACGGCCGACAGGGAGCTCTGGCGTAGGCTGGTCCATGAGGTCACGAAGAGTCGGAGACGACTGAACGAATGAACAACAACAACTCTAGGTCCTCCAGTCCAACTCTACGTTCAACTTCCAGAAGCAGACTATAGAATTGTGTCGGGGACCTTGACATGCTTTGAAAAACCTTACCAATCAAATCAATGAATCATCAAATCCACAGAAGTTAAACTTGCAAATGTGGAGAACTACAGTTTTTAAATTTCCTAAGTATTTCACTTTTCCTCCAAGGTTAGGGCACAAGACCAAACCTGTGAGACAGATAAACTGTGACTAGCTTCAAGGTCACTTCTTAGACTCTAGGATGAGAAGGAATTTGATCCCAAATTTCAATTGCCCAAATGCAATACTCTCTTATTTCCTAAAGCCATTTCACGGCAAAGTGGTAGACTTGGCATTTCTCACATTTGCAATGAATTATGAGAGAATAATGTTATATAAGATGCTGAAACTAAGCCTCCAGCGCATTAAATGTCAATGATATGCAAATTGTGTTGTTCATGCATCCAAAATATAAAGTATACACAACTCCTTATAAATATATTCCTAATGTCACAAGAAAAGTTAGCTTCTCTTGCTTAAAGGTTTCCTATATGCTGAAAATAGCTCCACTTCAGCGAATGCAGCATTTGATTAAATGTGGTAAACAAGAGAAGGAAGCTATTTTATAGACAGGAAGTTTGGCACTTGGCAGGTTATTACAGGAGGAATCAGAAACTGCTCAAATTGCAGCCAAGATTGGTATTGCTCGTACTTGCCCTCCTCTGTGCCACTTTGAAATAAAATAATAATAATGCAGGCACCAGAACAGTCCTCCCCAAAACTAGTTATTTCGACTTGATCCGAGTACTTGAATAAACTATTTAAATTACCAATGACATGACTGCTTGAGTAAAATTAGTTACTGTCCCTTTGCTCAGTTCATTAGCAACCACACTACTAAGCAGATATGCTGAATGCTGAAACAAATAACCTCATTGCTAAAAAGTGTCTGGTCCTGGAATTGGTTGCAACTGTGGAGTGTATCTAGTTGAGGCTAAGGCTAACCCTTTACTATACCGACTTCCAAGTTCTTTCTAAAGATAACTCCTTGTGCTGATGATGACCACAAAAACCATGACTGGCTGAGATAGCGGTATCTGAAGAACTTCCCTGATTACTGATATTATGCTTGAAGGCCCTCTTGTGTGTCCCAAGCACCCCAGTAGCATGCTTATTTGGAACAAAGGCTAAGGTTTTTTTGGTATTACATTTCAGCTTCATTCTCATTCTTCTCCCCTAGAAAGACAGCTCTTCTCTGAGGCAAGAGGTACCACTAACCCATTATGATGTAAATCTGCCACCAAGTTTGACATGATTTTCTCAGAGGTTCCCAAATCTATGTTAGCAATGCTTATCAAAATGAGTCACAAATGGAAGTGGGGGAAATTTACCTCCTTGTCTGAGTCAGATCGGGGTTTCCTCACTTATTAGACTTTAAACAAATATGTATTGCTCTGGTATTGAAAGTGGCCTGGGCTCTAAGTTTGGAAACTGAAAAGCACTAGGACTGGCTGAAGTCATCAGAAGAGAAGTTGCAATGATTTGTTGATCCCATGTCTTAAACTGGCACTACTGTTTGGGATTTTCTTTGGCAACTCTTGTGCCTAGAGAAAAGGGCTCTGATTGGAATGGATACAATAATGGAAGATACGGCAGGGGTTTGTTTTTTTAAAAAAACTTCTTGGCTGGTGACCTGGCTGAGATACCTCAGACTGGGAAACCAAGGCCTCTCTTTCTGTCAGGTCTCTTTCTGGCGACCTAATGATGATCCTTAGTATCAGAAGAAAAGGCCTCCCCTCCCCACATGTCCATGTCAACTGGGTTAGCTCCCTCCACCTAGCTTAAACCTATGAACCATCGTGATTAAGATCATCTGGGAAGACCCTGCTCTTGGTCCTGCCTCCGCTGCAGGCGCGTCTGGTGGGAATGAGAGACAGAGTCTTCTCAGTGGTGCCCGAGGGGCTGTGGAACACCCTCCCCAGTGATATTAGAGCAGCTCCCTCCCTCCTGGCCTTCAGAAGGAAAGTGAAAACCTGGCTCTGGGGTCAAGCCTTTGGAGACTAATCTATAGTGCAATATTAGTCTCAAAATATGTACAACTGATCTTTGGAATGGCCCTGGATTACAATTGATTTTAATAGTGAAGACAATGTTTTATATGTCTTTATATGTTTTAACGTGCATTTAATTTTAATTTCAATTTCAATTTTAATTTAAGTGTATTCTGTTTGTTGTCCAAAGGCATTGAATAGTTGCCATATGTAAAGCCCCCTTGAGTCCCCTTCGGGTAGAGAAAGGCGGGATACAAATAGAGTAAATAAAATAATAATTAATAATCCCTGGGCAATAAAGTGATCTACGCTGTTGGCTGCAAAGCCGCATGCTACTGGACTTGAAGAAGGGGAGAAGGAGCAGTTGTTTACCTTTTCATTCTCTCATTGGCATGAGTGAATCTGCTGCAGTGATAATTTCTTGGCATATAATAGCTCAGAACCACGCTGCTAGTTTGGGGGGCCCTTTCCTTGAGGTGGAGAATGCTCATTTTCTCGTCATTCTCTCCAAAGCCACTTCCCTTATTGACCACTGGTCCATTTCTGGTTGGTAGGTGACAGCACTTGGATGCATTAGCATCCTCACTCCTATACTCCCATTCCTTTTTTCTGAGCTCCCAGTAGAGATTTCTGATCTCCAACCACAGATGGGGAAACTGATTTGGAGCGGAGAGATAGAGATGCTGGGAAGGCCAGAGATGCTTTTAAAAGTTTAGAGGGCGAGACTGAAGGTGCTTTCTTTTATAAAAGAAGAGAAAGCTAAGAACAGGTAAAGAGAAGAATGGTGAAAAATATACGGAAGGGCTGGAGCAGATGCAACAATGAAGCAGAGTAAAAGAAAATCATGTCTATTGGCGCAGTAAGTAATAAAAAGACTGACTTTGTAAGGACAGCTACCCTATCTTTGAATGCTGAAAAGTCTTTTCTTTTTCCTGCTTCTTTGAGAGAGTTGGTAGAAGATACCTAAAACTATGGGCTATTCCTCACTTTTCTGCTGGGATGGAAAATGACACTCACCGTTAAGGATGCTATTCCTTTGTGATAAGATTTTAGCGATTCAGCAATGCAAGAGAGTGCTGAACTGTAATCATCCTCTTGCAGCCCAGTTAAGCATTGCTCTGCATTGGAGAACTCCTTCAAACTGTTCAGCCAAAAGTAGAAGTGTTCCGAAGCAACCTGAGTCAGCAAGCTTTGATAGAGCTCTCTAGCCATGCCGTGGTTACCCTACAACGGAAACAAGAGATTGTAACTGAAAGACCACAAGCCTCTCTGTATTTACCAAAACAACAGAATAGTAATGAATACAGACTGAAATAAAGGGGAGGAGGTTAAAATCAATCTTGCAATGAATAAACTCAAGGTTTTTAAAACTTTGTCAGAGTGTCTTCCTCCCTGCCCTATATTTGTTCAGAAATATGCTCCAACTAACCATCGCCACGAGTCAATATACTGTAATGGCTTGAATTTTGGATTAGGACACTGGAAGATCAGGATTGGATTTTCTGCTTGACCATGGAGTCCCACTGGGTAATCTTACGCAAGCCACACGCTCTCAGCCAGAGGAAGGCAAGAAAAATCCCGCTTTGGATCTCCATAAATCAGAACAGACTTGAAGACACACAACAACAACCAATGCCAAACCGCAATCTTTTAATGTTTAGCCACCATGGCCACCATTCTGGCTGCAAGTGATGTGAACAGTAATCCATCCAAAGTTCAAGAATAATGTTTCCTGAACCCCATACAGGCCATCTCCATACATGTACACGAACTATAATCTCTCATTCCATATTTTCAACTTCAAGAGCCACAACAAAGTTTAATTTTGAAACTGCAGGAATATATTTGATATTTCTGAAGAATACTTGCCCTATTCTTTAGTAATAAAGCCCAGACTGAGAATTCAACAAGTTTTGCAACTTTTTGGTTGTAACTTAAGTGACTGTCTTACCAATATCTAATTGTTTATTCTATTAGGCCAATATGACTCTAAACCAGTATTTCTCAAATACTGCTCCTCCAGGTGTTTTGGACTTCAGCTCCCAGAAATCCCAGCCAATTTACCAATTTTAAGGAATTGTGGGAGCTGAAGTCCAAAACATCTGGGAGAACGCAGTTTAAGAAATTTTGCTCTAAACATTATGCCAATTAACAATAATGTTTCTTCTTCCCACACTTCATTGCAAAGTCATGAATTCATCACTTGAAGTCAGTTTATTTTACATGCTTTTACACACAACAGGCAAGACTGAACCAGGGGACTGAAACGTTCCTGTCCTGCAGTTGAGTGCCTGCAATCTCTGCTGAGTGAAGTTGTTGCCACAGTTGTCAGCAGGATATAAAAAATCTGTAAGGCCGTATCCACTTCACTGACAATTAGTTGTATTAAAAAAACCCATTTCAAACTATAAGTGGAGATAGCTCATATCCTTTTCCAAAAGTAGATTTCAAGGAGGGTTTTTTTTTTGCCAAGTGCAACATTTCATAATAAAAATTATCAGAAAGAACTCTTGGATACATATAAAATAGACATTTAGGAAAAAAAATCCTTAGGTTCTAATGCAGTGTTTAAGGACTAAATGTTATTATTAACTCTTATTTTAGGACACACATGCTTGGTTGATTCAAGCCTGTAATGCAGTGCTCTTTATGCCATCTGTTGTGAAGGACCAACAGGGTTTTCCCTCCAATGTGTGAGGGATTGACATATTTGTGCCCACTGACAATAACGGTTTCCTTCTTTCTGTAAATTCTTCAGGGACCAGCAGCCAATGGCTTGGAGACCAACACTGGTTCATGCACCATCAAATACTTTGGGTGTTGCTGACATAATGCAGACACGCTGTGGTCCAAACTGACATCAAAACTTTGAGAATTAGACCCCTGATCAAGAGCCTGCGTGCCCTAGAACAAGAAGCAGTGTTTTCTGGTTCCATGGTTTTATGGTGCTTTGCTTTGCCCATCCCATCAGGTGTTTCTCCCGGTCCAAGGAGCTCTGGGGCTTGAAATTCTTGGTATGACAGTACATGTTGATCAAAGGAAAACACATCTCCTCTCTCATTATCCTAGTTTAACAGCACATGCATTCTCTCTGATGGAGAAAGGTTATAGCCTGAGGCACAGGCAGGAAGTGCAGCAGTTCCAAATCTTAAGTTTCTGATTGGCTGCAGCAAACCACACAAGATCTGAACAAGAGATATGTAGATATAAGGAAACAAGTTTCCAAAAATATACTCAGGCATGAGCTACAGTTTAATTTTATTTTTTTCCTTACAGTAAATGGGAACCTATCAAGTATAGAGCCATAAATCACTGAATACCAAAGTAAGGATTATCTATGCCAATTTCCATGTATGGTTATGAAAGCTAAACAGTGAAGACAGATAGGAAGAAAACCAACTCATGTAAAATGTGGTGCTGGTGAAGAATTCTATGGATACCATGGACTGTTACAAAGAGAAATGAATGGTTCCTAGAGCAAATCAAGTTTGAACTCTCAAAATCTGGACATATCATGAAAAGATGAGACTCATTAGAAAATACAAAAATGCATGGCAAGATAGAAGATTCAGGAAAAGAGGAAAGACCCCATTATATATGGACTGACTAGTCAAGGAATCTATAGCCTTGGGATTGTGGGATCTATTATAACAGGGCAACTTAGAGTTATCTAATTGACAGGATCATCATAAATCAAATTTGACTTGATTGTAAAGTAAAGATTTCCCCTTGAAATTAAGTATAGACATGTCCGACTCTGAGAGGTGGTACTAATCTTGATTTCTAAGCCAAAGAGCCAGCGTTGTCCATAGACGCCTCCAAGGTCATGTAGATGGCATGACTGCATGGAGTGCCATTACTTTCCTGCCAGACCAGTACCTATTGATCTACTCACAATTGCATGTTTTCGAACTGCAAGCTTGGCAGAAGCTGGGGCTAACAGCGGGAGTTCACCCCACTCCCCGGATTCAAACCACCACCTTTTCAGTCAGCAAGTTTCAGTAGCTTAGCAGTTTAACCGCTGCACTACCGGTGGATTTGATAGTAATTAGCAACAAATGGAAAATTGCAATCTGGGCTCAATTTTGGTGTCCCAGTAAAACACATCCCCTCTTTTACGTGGGGAACTTCAAATCTAATCAACTGGCAGGGTGCTAAGAACATGGGATGTACAATGGTATTCAACTTCCCACATTCTCTCAATGCTATATTCCAGAGTTCTGGGAAAAAAATCCTGCTGGATTTGCTACACTACTCATAAGAGTTTATACTAGGCTTTGGGCTTCAGAACAGTTTTATTTTTCCACATAATCAAATGTCTTAACTCGATTTTAAATTTAATTTTGCCTTGAGATAGTGCAAGGAATCCCTCTCCAGCAAAAATACAAGCCTTTGTATCACAGGAAAAGGGCAGAGTTTTCTTGAAAAATATCACCTTCATGTCGGCGGTTTAATCCGGGAGGTAGGGTGAGCTCCCACTGTTAGCCCAGCTCCTGCCAACCTAGCAGTTCAAAAACATGCAAAAGTGGGGAGATCAATAGTTACCACTCCAGTAGGAAGGTAACGGTGCTCCATGCAGTCATGCCAGTGGCCACATGTCCTATGAGGCATCTACAGACGATGCTATATCTTCGGCTTAGAAATGGAGGTGGGCACCACCCCAGAGTCGGACACAACTAGACGTAATGTCAAGGGGAAATCTTTACCTTTACCATATAGTATTAATTTTAACTACAAATTATCGGTCTTGCTTATAGGGAAAACCACTGATCACACACATACCATTCTGGAAGCTTGCCTGGCTATCCTGTAAGCTGTCCATCCATTGGAGACATTTTCAAGCTGTTGTTTGATAACAGTTTTCACATCAGAGGATAAGCTCTTTTGACTGGCAACAAATATTACTGTAGCAAGAGAGACCTGATAAAGAAAAAATTAACCAGACAAGCATGAATGAAAAATAAAAGAACACAGGATCTATGCAGGAATGAAGCTGATCAGGTATAATATTGTACAAAGAGATCTTGAAGCACCTTTGAGAGTGAGAGAAACAAAGTTCATAGTATAACTTTGGTAATATGAGGTTGGCTTTGATGAAGTTGACTGAGTTTATGAAAGCTTGTGCTACAAACAATTCCCTCTCAGTTTCATAGGTGCTACAAAATCCCTTAATATGACCTCCTTATCCATGGAATCAATATCAATATTCCTCTCCTTCCACTCCGCAAAGTTTTTCCAGTCCAAATAATAAGGCATTTGGGGATAACACATGTTTAGTCAAAATATAGAGTTCACTATCTATTAGGCATGGACAATCCATGGTTCTGAATGGTTCTAAGGTACTTACAAAACTAAAGGGCGCTGGTGCCTTGCTTCTAAAGTGTTGCTAAAGTTCTGGTGGTGAAAATTTCAGAACACTAACAAAACTTTCAAAATTTCATTATAAATGGCATTTCCTAATTGGTTCTGTCATAAAAATAGCCAATAATGAAATAATAATGAAATTTTGAAAGTTTTGTTAGTGTTCTTAAATTTTCACCACCAGAACTTTAGCAACACTTTAGAAGCAAAGCACCAGCGCCCCCTAGTTTTGTAAGTACTTACAACCATTTAGAACAATGGATTGCCCATGCCTACTATCTATAGTTTCAGGTATCCATGGTGTGTGTGTGTTTGTGTCTTGAAAGATATCTGTGGGATCTGGGGGCCATAGTGTATTGATGAAGACTAACACAGCTAAGTCTTAAGACATGAGCTGTCCCCATTGATAAACTTTTTTCCTTTTCTAGCAATAAATCCTTATATAAAGGTGAAGTGGATAAAAACTGTGGTATGAGATTCTGGGTTATGGAGAAATAACTTTCAAAGGGTGGGAGGGGGGTAAACATATGATCAAAATGGAATAGTAATTGGGACTAAACAGCATAGCTAACAATGAGGAGTAACAGGAGGTTTTGGGGCTCTTTCATCACTCTGAACAATCACATGCAAATGTGGCCCTTTTAATAGACTCTAAGGAAAACACTGATTTACAGAAAAGATATGGAATAAAATCTTGACAGTGAAAACATGATAAAGACCTATGCATTTTTAATTCCAAAAAAGAGATAGTGATGTTGTATATTTAATACATCCAATTGTGCGTGTTAAAGCCAAATATAGAGTCCATGTGAAACATGTGCCACCCACTGGATTAAACAGGAATTCAGAAAACCAGGACTCTAATTTTCCTCAATAAAAAAGTTGCACTGAAAATGATGGGACTTATTATTCTGGTTTTAACTTTGGGATAGAAATTTTTCATTTTCCATTGTTACCTAAATATAAACGTGTGTCTAAGGCCCACTTTGTAGATACCATAGAAAAGGATATGTCAAAGTGGTGAACTTAACCATCTTCCTTTCAGCTACAAGATTAGTTTACACTTATTTGTTTAAATTAACTCCATACGTTTACTTCTTCGGTCTTTCTTCTTCAGTAGCATTTCCCCTTTCTATTCTACCCCTTCTTCATGTTAACCCTGCACTTTATATCTGTGGTATATACCTTATACCACAGATATCTCCAGCAAAGGATCACCGCCTTGTCGGGGCGCTGGAGCTTGAGCACCTCAATGATGTCATGAGCGAAACCGTGAAGGGACACCCAAGACGGGACGGTTGTGGCAGAGAGGGCAGACCAAGCGTGATCCCTGGGGAAGGCAATGGCAAACCACTCCAGTATCCTTGCCAAGAAAACTAAATGGACCAGTACAACCAGAGATATGTCGGTATGCCATTGAAAGATGGGACTCCCAGGTCGGAAGATGGCCAAAATGCTACTGGGGAGGAGCAGAGGAGAAGTTCAACTAGCCCCAGATGTGATGATGCAGCTAGCTCAAAGCCGAAAGGAAGGCTAGCGGCCAACGGTGCTGGAGGTGAACGACGAATCCGATGCTCTAAAGATCAACACACCATAGGAACCTGGAATGTAAGATCTATGAGCCAGGGCAAATTGGATGTTGTTATTGGTGAGATGTCAAGACTAAAGATAGACATTCTGGGGGTCAGCGAACTGAAGTGGACTGGAATGGGCCACTTCACATCAGATGACCACCAGATCTACTACTGCGGACAAGAGGAACATCGAAGAAATGGAGTAGCCTTCATAATTAAGAAGAAATTCGCTAAAGCGGTGCTTGGATACAACCCAAAAAATGACAGAATGATCTCAATTCGAGTGCAAGGAAAGCCTTTCAACATTACAGTGATCCAAATATACGCCCCAACCACAGCTGCTAAAGAAGCAGAAGTAGATCAGTTCTATGAGTATCTGCAGGACCTACTGGATAATACACCAAAAAGAGACATTATTTTTATTACAGGAGACTGGAATGCCAAGGTGGGAAGTCAAATGACAACTGGGATCACAGGCAAGCATGGTCTGGGAGAACAAAATGAAGCGGGATGCAGGCTGATAGAATTTTGCCAGGAAAACTCGCTGTGTATAACGAATACTCTCTTCCAACAACCTAAAAGACGGCTTTACACATGGACCTCACCAGACGGTACAACACCGAAATCAGATTGACTACATCCTTTGCAGCCAAAGGTGGCGGACATCCATCCAGTCGGTGAAAACAAGACCTGGGGCTGACTGTAGCTCAGATCACGAACTTCTTATTGCCCAATTTAGAATAAAACTAAAGAGATCAGGGAAAATACACAGACCAGTTAGATATGATCTCACTAACATTCCTAGCGAATATACAGTGGAAGTGAAGAACAGATTTGAAGGACTAGATCTAGTAAACAGAGTCCCAGAAGAACTATGGACAGAAGTCCGAGACATTGTTCAGGAGGCGGCAACAAAGTACGTCCCAAAGAAAAAGAAAACCAAGAAGGCAAAATGGTTGTCTGCTGAGACACTGGAAGTAGCCCAAGAAAGGAGGAAAGCAAAAGGAAACAGTGATAAGGGGAGATATGCCCAGTTAAATGCGCAATTCCAGAGGTTAGCCAGAAGAGATAAGGAACGATTTTTAAATAAGCAATGCATGGAAGTGGAAGAAGACAACAGAATAGGAAGGACAAGAGACCTCTTCCAGAAAATTAGAAACATTGGAGGTAAATTTCAGGCAAAAATTGGTATGATAAGAAACAAAGATGGCAGGGACCTAACAGAAGCTGAAGAGATCAAGAGAAGGTGGCGAGACTATACAGAAGATCTGTATAGGAAGGATAATAATATTGAGGATAGTTTTGACGGTGTGGTGAATGAATTAGAACCAGACATCCTGAGGAGTGAGGTTGAATGGGCCTTAAGAAGCATTGCTAACAACAAGGCAGCAGGAGATGACGGGATCCCAGCTGAACTGTTTAAAATCTTAAAAGATGATGCTGTCAAGGTGATGCATGCCATTTGCCAGCAAATATTGGAAAACACAAGAATGGCCATCAGACTGGAAAAAATCAACTTATATCCCCATACCAAAAAAGGGAAATGCGAAAGACTGCTCAAACTTCCGTACAGTGGCCCTTATTTCTCATGCCAGTAAGGTAATGCTCAAGATCCTGCAAGGAAGACTCCAGCAATACATGGAGAGAGAGTTGCCAGATGTTCAAGCTGGGTTTAGAAAAGGTAGAGGAACGAGAGACCAAATTGCCAATATCCGCTGGATAATGGAGAAAGGCAGGGAGTTTCAGAAAAACATCTACTTCTGCTTCATTGACTATTCTAAAGCCTTTGACTGTGTGGATCATAATAAATTGTGGCAAGTTCTTAGTGGGATGGGCACCCCAAGCCACCTTGTCTCTCTCCTGAGGAATCTGTACAAGGACCAAGTAGCAACAGTCAGAACTGACCATGGAACAACAGAGTGGTTCAAGATTGGGAAAGGCGTACGGCAAGGCTGCATCCTCTCACCCAACCTTTTTAACTTGTATGCAGAACACATCATGCGATGTGCGGGGCTGGATGAATGCAAAGCTGGGGTGAAAATTGCTGGAAGAAACATTAACAACCTCAGATATGCAGATGACACCACTCTGATGGCCGAAAGCGAGGAGGAGCTGAGGAGCCTTCTAATCAAGGTGAAAGAAGAAAGCACAAAAGCCGGGTTGCAGCTAAACGTCAAAAAAACCAAGATTATGGCAACAAGAATGATTGACAACTGGAAAATAGAGGGAGAAACCGTGGAGGCCGTGACAGACTTTGTATTTCTAGGTGCAAAGATTACTGCAGATGCAGACTGTAGCCAGGAAATCAGAAGACGCTTACTTCTTGGGAGGAGAGCAATGTCCAATCTCGATTAAATAGTGAAGAGTAGAGACATCAGACTGGCAACAAAGATCCGCCTAGTCAAAGCCATGGTATTCCCTGTAGTCACCTACGGATGTGAGAGCTGGACCTTAGGGAAGGCTGAGTGAAGGAAGATCGATGCTTTTGAACTGTGGTGTTGGAGGAAAGTGCTGAGAGTGCCTTGGACTGCGAGAAGATCCAACCAGTCCATCCTCCAGGAAATAAAGCCCGACTGCTCACGGGAGGGAAAGATACTAGAGACAAAGTTGAAGTACTTTGGCCACATCATGAGGAGACAGGAAAGCCTAGAGAAGACAATTATGCTGGGGAAAGTGGAAGGAAAAAGGAAGAGGGGCCGATCAAGGGCAAGATGGATGGCATCTTTGAAGTGACTGGACTGACCTTGAAGGAGCTGGGGGTGGTGACGGCCGACAGGGAGCTCTGGCGTGGGCTGGTCCATGAGGTCACGAAGAGTCGGAGACGACTGAACGAATGAACAACAACAACATATACCTTATATCTTCACCTATGCTAACTTTCTCTGTGAAGAGTATTCTACTATAGCATTACCTTTCTGGCCCCATCTACATTTCCATATAATACAGTTTGAAACTGCATTATATGGTCAGTATAATAAAGGTAAAGGTTTCCTCTTGACATTAAGTCTAGTTGTGTCCGACTTTGGGGGTGGTGTTCATCTCTAGTTCCAAGCCGAAGAGCCGGTCTTGTCCATAGACACCTCCAAGGCCATTTGGCCAGAATGACTGCATGGAGCACCGTTACCTTCCCACCAAAGTGGTATCTATCGATCTACTCATATTTGCATGTTTTTGAACTGCTAGGTTGGCAGGAGCTGGGCTAACAGCAGGAGTTCACTCTGCTCCCCGGATTCGAACCACCAACCTTTCGGTCTGCAAGTTCAGCAGCTCAGCAGTTTAACCTGCTGCACCACCAGGGACCCCATGATCAGTATAGACTCATATAATGCTGTTCAATGCAGTCAAATGGTATTATATGGGTCTCTACACTGACCTTATAATGCAGTTTCAAACAGCAACATATGGCAGTGTAGATAGGCCTTTAACTTCTTTTCTGAACAAACTTCTCAAAACAGATATTCTCTCTTTCACTATCACAGAATGGGTTTATAGGTCTTTTCTAGTGCTGAACTAATAAATTCCTAACAATCCCCCTTCTTCTTTACACACACTATTTCTATTTAACCACAATCTTGCAACCAAGCACTTGATTTTTCCCCCTACAATTATAAACTAGCCAGAATATAGGGACTACATAAACAGTAAACTTCATGATATTCCATGACATTTTCCTAGGGAGAAAAGACCTCAGGAGGAGAACGGGCAGTAAAAAGCCATTTACTTGCTACCAAGGAATGCTTTACACTCCATTTACTAAGAGAGCAAACTGCTAAATGAACTGTCAAGTTACAGCCTGTTCCATAAGTAGCTTGCTAAATGTTTATTCAGTCTGATTCCACCCAGACCCAGATGCTATCAAGAGCAATTATCCTGGATCAATGTTTCTCACCAAAAGCTCTTGCTGTTTGTCAGAAGCTGACCGTCCAATCACTTTATAGAGATCCATCAAGTCTCCCAGCATACCATCCCCTAAAACTGGCAACTGCATAGCAATGGCTGCCAAGCAATGGCAAATGAGGATCCGGGCTGCGTCCTGAGTGCTGTGCAGCTGTGTCAACAAGGACTCGACAATGGACTGGCTGAGATGGGGGCGACACTTGGCCAGCTTCACCATGCAAGTGAGTGCTCTCTGCATTGGAACAAGCAACATTTTGTCAAAATTCATTCTCCATCTGTCACCTTTCAACAGGTGCAAACATCTGTCACAGTATTCAGGTTACTAAGGAGCTACACTATGAAGCACATTATACTATCACATAATCAAGGCTTGCAATTTTTTAAAATCAATACAGAACTCTCTGAACTTTCTATTTTCCCTTATCTATTAACTGAAAAGTCAATCTGGATCTAATGCTAATGTTTAGGACTATGTTAATGAGTCTCGGACTCTTGAATTTCTCTTTCTCGTCTCCATTTACTTAACGCAAAGACAATGACTACATCCTGGTTTTCTAGTTTAGAGTTAACCAACATTTTGCATTCCAAAGATCAGGGTGTGTAATTTGTGGTTCTCTAGATATTATTGGTCCTTGTTACCAGAGACAATGGTGAAAGAGACTATGGGCTGCAGTCCAAAAAGATCCAGAGGGACACAGGTCACTCGTCCTTGGTTTAAACAATGCTTTGTTACAGTAAGTCAAACTGTGGTTTATGAACATGGCTTGGTTCAACAAAATAGAGTTTTATTCAACCAGAGGTCCCAGTCTGAACATAAAGCCTGATGTGTTGTTGAAGGCTTTCGTGGCTGGGGTTGCTGTGAGTTTTTTGGGCTGTATGGCTACATAAAAACTCCAAACATCACCCAAGTCAAAAAAGAAGCACAGTTAAACCCCTGGTAGACCTTGCAAAAAGAATCTCCGAATCCCATCTCCTCCAAGGTAAACCGGACCACCTAAACTGGGCTCTATAGGCCAATGGATACTCCACCACAGACATCAGAAGAGCTGCAAGACCAAGAACAAGCCATGAGCGTAAAGACAATGATCCCCCAGAGGAAAAATCTTCTTAGCATACATCAAGGGAACCACTGACTGCATAGGTAAGCTGATGAAGAAACACAACCTACAAACTATCTACAAAAATCCAACAAATGCTATGTTCAGCAAAAGACAAGAGGGATCCCCTCACCTCTGCAGAAGTCTACAGAATACCATACAGCTGTGGACAAGTCTATATAGGGACCATCAAACGCAGCTCTCAAACATGAATCAAGGAACATGAAAGGCACTGCAGACTAATTCAACCAGAGAAATCAGCCATAGCAGAGCACTCGATGAACCAACCTGGATACAGCATATTATTTGAGAACACAGAAATGCTTGACCACTCTAACAAGCACCATGTCAGATTACACAGAGAAGCCACTGAAATCCACAAACATGTGGACAATTTCAACAGAAAGGAGGAAACCATAAAAATGAACAAAATCTGGTTACAAGTATTAAAAAAACCTCTGAAACCAGGACAGTAAATAAAGAGCAGCACTCAAAAAAGAGGGTAATTCCAGGAAAAAAACAATCATAGCCAGCTAACACCCCCAACCAAGGATGCCCCCAGGCAGGAAGCTGCCAGGCTTTGAGCTACAAGGCCATTTAATGCTAATCAAGGTGGACAATTGCAACATTCACACTTGCCTCCAACAGACAATAGTTCTTTCTCCTACCTTGGACATTCCACAGATATATAAAACTCACTTGCCTAGTTTCCCGAAGAGAATGCTTCTGGATCATGACCATACATCCCCGAAAACTCACAGCAAACCATGAAGTCTGATGTTTTTATTATTATTATTATTATTATTATTATTATTATTATTATTATTATCATTATTATCATCATCATCATCATTATTATGGAAGTTGCTTTGGCTCCGACTCTGGGAGAAAGGTAACACATAAGTCCAATAAACAAACAAACAAACAAACAAACAAATAACTTCATTCTTGTGGCCATGGTAGAAGGATAGAGTTGATCAAGTCTATCGGTGATGCTAAAACAGAAGGGGGAAAATGCAGCCCTCTAAATATTTCTGAACACGATCTTTCACTCTGGCTAATGATGGGAAATTATGAGAGTTAAAATGTATTAAAATCTGGAGGGCCACAGCTCCCCATCCATGTGTGAAATCATAGATTAGTGTTACATCAAAATCAGTACTTGATTATAAAAGAACTAGAATACAACCCAATGGATTCAAATTAGAAGAAAAGAGATTTTGCCTAAACGTTAGAAATAAAATTTTATTTGTGAGAGAGATTGTCTTGGGATGGATTTTCTATCTGGTGGTGTTTAAACAGCGGTTAGGTGGGTTTCTTTCAGAAGTGCCTTACTTTCTGCATGGCAACGGTTGGTCTAGATGACCTCTGTGTTCCCTTTCAACTCTAAGATTTTATAATATTAAGATAGAAAGTGCACAAGAACAGGAGAGAGATACTTCCTTGCAATTTTATCCTTCAGTAGTGGATGAGTCAACCCAAATTTTAATCAAACCAAATCAGGTCAAATCTTCTCTTGATGCTTCTTTAAGGTTCCACTTTCAGGATTGACTGAGATCTTCAGTACTGACCTTGTTCTGAGTACAGCCTGAAATGCTCAGATACGCATCTACTTTCAATGTGAAACAGGATTATTACTACAATTTAATCAAATCCCAAAGCATCCCCAGTGGTAAACACCTAAAATCCATTATGTAAGTATCTGAGATAAAACAACACAAAACAAGAATATTATTTACCTTTAAGGTTGCTTGAGTGCCTGGGCTGCTGTCTTGACTACAAAGAACAAGAAGAGATTCAAGGCCAAAGACTGCATCTTGCTCCAATGGCAGGAGATCTAGGATCAAGATCTACATGTTATTCCATACTGTCTTAATATTAGCTACCTGTTCTTTTGACCTTCATTTATTTTGGAAGTCTGAAATACAAGACACACCTTACTACCACAACACAGCAAAAGGCAGAAAAAATTTCAGAAACAAACAAATTCAAATCCCATCAGATTTAACACAGCTGTGGACAGATTTCAAATAAAATGTTTTCAGTTCTACTTGAAATGGTTCTCCTTTTTGGTCATTTAAAGAAAACAGTTGTTTGATTTGGCCACCAAACTGGAGAGCAAGGTCACCTCGTTCATCAAGCTATCATAGAGAGAAAAGAACAAGATGTCTCGTGCCTACACAGGCAGTGATATGCCTTTCAGCCTCACCTTTGCTGATTTATCAATGAACACACTTTAATCCATGAAGTTATTTTCTGATTATATTTATTAACCCTTCAACATTATTATTCTGCAAGGAGTGAACCCTTCCATTACAGGATCAAAGTGAAGGAATGGGGTACCTACGGAGACAGAATAGTCACCCAACACAGCAAGATGGTTCTGATACACAATGTCATGTTTAGAATTGCAATTGTAAAATAGAAAGTATTTGTGGGCTTCTCATCTGTCATAAACATCTCTTATAACATAAAGCCCATATTTTATTGTACTTTGCTTAAGTTAAGTCTAAAAAAAAGGAAACAGAGGCAGGGTAATTGTGTTATTCTAGATGTGGATAAAAAGCTCTCTCTCTGAAAGTAGGAATCTTCCTCTTCTCTCAGGTGGAAGAAGGAAGAAGGCTCACCCCTCAGGACCCTTGAGTACCAAATTTGTAGTTTCTAGAAGGTTTATCCTGCTAAAGCATACACCTTATTTATTCATTTATATATTTGTAAACTGCCTTTCTCACCCCGGGGGGGGGGGGGGGGGGGGGACTCAAGGCGGTTTACAACATACCAACAGCAAAAATTCAATGCCAATATACATGTAAAAACAAAAATCATAGTAACTAAACCCTAACATAGAACTATAAATTAAAATCATTAAACCATAAACATGATACATAAACAACATTTAAACTTTAAATATTTTTAATATTCTTCTACATTGTCCCTGTCTTGGGAAGTGGAAGCATTGGAACCTTTCTCAAAACCTTGAAGGACCTTCTGGAGTAAGAGAACAAATAATGCCCAGCAGTATATATATGCCCAAGAACCATCTGCAGTCAAGACCGCACCATTTGAGGATAAAAGGATGCAAGGACACATTCTTTGTTCATATTTTCAGTTACTATATCCTTTTCCTTCTCTATATCACCACTAAACCTAAACCTTGCGCTCTCAGTAATGTAGTCTCACTCTATTATACCCTTTGGACTTAAACCGAACAGGATCTGTGATCACTCCCTCCAGATCAATACAAGGGCTTCTGTACAGTCCCCCAGTTGCCATGGGGACAAGGAGGCTATGGTTTTTTTTTCCTAGCAAGGATTAAGAAAACACAAAACCTATAAAACCACATTTAGGATTGGGTAGTATTTCCTGCACTCAGCTGGCTGCTGAAAAACTGGTGTGGAAAAGAATAATAACTTACACAAAGCTATATTTCTCCCTGTCTAACATTAAAATATGAGAGTATTGCTGTCAGTTTCCTTTCCTCCCCAAATACTGAACAGCTTAATCTGCAGGGATTTTAAAATTGCATTTGTTTTCTTAAACAACCAACTTTGACTAAACCTCAAAGGATGAGCAATGGCTTAAAGTGATTGTCAACTTTGATGCAGGCCCATACACGATATTTTCTGACTAAAATCAGTGTGCCAGAACTAAGTGTCTTTATACTGGTAGAGCTGAAAAGGCATGTTTCACTTTCATCACCAGAGCAAATTACCTTAGCAAGAAAAAGTGACAAAAGTTAATTTGAGTTTGAGCCCCCAGATTTAACTGCTAAGATAACACTTCAGAGGTTCTTGGCTTCTCAAAGGAAATAAGAGCACATTACACCAAACATTAATGATAGTGCAGCCACAGACACACGCACGAGTTACCTTTTTCCTGACAGGAAGCAACTATATTTGTCAGAACTCGTACTCCATGAACAGCAATGCCCTGGTTATTGTGGTAACAGCACTGCTGAGCTAGTTTGATTAAATCAGATGATCTTGATGAAGCAGCTGTCACTCCTAAATAAGGAGGAAAAAGACATTTCTAAAAAAAAATCATAGCACTATACTGTTAATTATAGGCATACCTCAGTTTACAAAGCCTCTGAGAAAGAAGCTCCTTTTAACAAAACTTTTCACTAAGTCTTCTGGAGGAGTACTTAAAGCATCACTGGTATCAGGAAGAGGGCAAAAAAAAAGAAGACCCTTTTTCATGTCGGGAGCGGCTTGAGAAACTGCAAGTCGCTTCTGGTGTGAGAGAATTGGCCGTCTGAGAGGCTTCTCTCATGTTCCCGCATGGGGAGATGGAGCTGACAAAGGGAGCTCAACCCGCTGACCTATTGGTCAGCAGTCTTGCCGCCACAAGGATTCAACCCACTGCGCCACTGGGGGCTCCTAAAAAAAATACTGAAAAAACACAAACACAACTTGCAGCAGCTCAGGAGCAGGCAATCTGGCCGGTCGTATTTCCCTATATAAGCCACTCCAGGAGCTTGAGATCATCCTACCCCCACTCTGAACTTGTTTGGTGGGGAAATGAGAGAGGACCTTCTCGATGGCACTTCCTGGACTCACCTGCCAGGTGGTCAGACACTGTTCTTTCTGTCCATACTGTCCTTTCAGCCAAAACCTTTTTTATTTTGATAGGCTTTTAACAATAAAAAGTATTTAAAGAATGGGTTGAAAGGGTTACATTGTTTTAGAGTGATATGCTTCAATTACTTTTTAACACCACAAACAGTACAACTTTTAACAATAGTGAATCAAAATTTATGGCAGTTTTTTTAAAATTTTGCAGTTCTCAACAGGAAGGGGGGGGACCCCTCTTTCTACCACCCCAATGCCCTGCACATGACACAAGGAATTAGAAAAATGTAACTTTTGTTTTGTTTTCTACATGAGGCTTCTTTGAAGGCAACAAGCAGCATACATACAAGTTTTCGATAAACACAAATAATATTACTTAGAAAGCCAAGTCAAAATTTGAGGACCCCTGTATGTAACTGTTTTTCCAACTAAGCTTCCCCCCCCCCCAAAAAAATCATCTCTGAGGCCCATTCTTCCTCAAATCATTCCAAACTAGACTGCTAGAAAATATCTGAAATTGAAATATAAGTCTAGATCCTTCTAAATGGAATGATTGGGACCCCCATACCTCTGCATTAAAAAAAACCAATCTATTGGGTGACATTAGGTAGCTCATTATTCCTCATTCTATTTGGCCTTTCAAGGTTAAAATGCAAGTGCAAGTTCCTTACAGGAACAGTTAGACACAGAGACAAGAAATTATTCATTCATATGCAAAAGGAGCAAATATCATAAAGGTGACTTTATGGCTACATCAATCTTCTGATTAAATTGGAGTCAGTAGTGGCATTTGGTCCATTCTCCTGGGACACTCTATACTGCTGTTTAAATTATGTGGTATAATGGGTTCTCAGTCAATATTTCACTAGTATGTAGTTGTTGGCATAGTCTGGAAAGACAGAAATGGCATGTAGCACTAAAGCAGGGTGGAAGTGAATTGTACAATAATTTGTTTTATTGCACCTGCACCCAAGCTTACGCCTACTTGCCCTTGGCAATTTTCTAAAGAAAGTCACTGAACTGGACATGCACTCCATTATTTCAGTCATTCTTGCAGTCCTTCAATTCCAAATAAAATCAGCTTGGCTGTCTGTGAATGACTTCAGTGCCTTCAAAGGGAAGGAATACGCTGTTCAACATCAACAGTGTCCAAAAAGGAAAAGAAAAGCACCACATATATAATTGTCTACAGAAGAAAATAAAGGTTTGCATGCCAAAATTGGCCTGATCGAATCTAATCATACCTGGACCAGCGTTGAAATACTGCTTGATGGCTATTGTCCCTGACAGTGTGGAAAGAACAGACAGCATGCCTAATTTCAAACTGTCATAAGGGGTTTGAAGAGCACATTCACAAAGTTCCTGAAAACAAAACAAAAAAAATATCATTATTTTAGTACATGGAAATAATTCCCATGTGCTGATTATGACATGATGACTGGCAGATGTATTTTGCTTGGTTATATGCTGCTGGCCACGTGAAGTACTAAAGGCAAAGGTTTCCCCTGACATTAAGTTTAGTCATGTCCAACTCTGCGGGGTGGTGCTCATCTCCATTTCTAAGCCAAAGAACGGTGTTGTCATGTGGCTGGTATGACTGCATGGAGCACTGTTACCTTCGTGCAGAAGCGGTACCTATTGATCTACTCATGCTTGCATGTTTTCGAACTGCTGGGTTGGCAAAAGCTGGGGCTAATAGCAGGTGCTCACCCCGCTCCCCGGAGTCAAACCACCAATCTTTCGGTTAGCAACTTCAGCAGCTCAGCGGTTTAACCCACTGCACTACCAGGGGGCATTTTATTACGAATATTAGAATCATGGCGTTGGAAGAGACCACAGGAGGCATCCATTCCAACCCCTGCCATGAAGGAATACAGCATCAAAACACCACTGACAGATGCCCATCCAGCCTCTGCCTAAAATCCAGCAGAGAACATTAAATATTCAGTGTTTCATACATATGGAATGTGTTTGGATATAAAAATATTGCTGAAAATTCCAGATTATTTAACACTGGCTGATAAACATGTCTGGAATAAAAACTGAAAGCTGGATTCTAGTAAACAAATTGTTGTTGTTGTTCATTTGTTCAGTCGTTTCCGACTCTCTGTGACTTCATGGACCAGTCCACACAAGAGCTCCCTGTCGGCTGTCACCACCCCCAGCTCCTTCAAGGTCAATCCAGTCACTTCAAAGATACCATCCATCCATCTTGCCCTTGGTCGGCCACTCTTCCTTTTTCCTTCCATTTTCCCCAGCATCATTGTAAACAAATTAGTATGGCTATATTATATGGTTAGGAAGCTGGATTGGGATTTTGGAGATCAAGGTTCATGTCCCCATTCACTAGCAACTAGTATTGAAAAACTAACAAGGAAGCAAAAGCTTTCCAAATCTGGGCAACAAGTTCATCAGAGCTCTAACAAAGCAAAGCTTAAATCCAGGTTCGAGGCTGGATTCTTGCACTTTGTCATCAGCAAAAAACAATCCAAAGTCCTGGCTTTGAGCTAAGACAAAGATTTGTGTAATTGTTGGTTAGTATAAGTGCTCTACCTGGCAGGCTGAAGAAAGCAGAGACAATCAGATAACTAGGCTGGGACTTACAACTTTGCCTGAGGCTACCAGACAGGCAAGAATTAGACTAGGGTCTTCTTGACTCAAGAATGATACCATACCAGATTTTAGGTACAGCCGATGCGAGGTAAAGAGTGGTTCTACTTATTCTCATCTATAATGACAGTTTTACACAAGCAAGTCACTTTTGATGAACATGACTGTATGAAATCATGCATAAAAACTATTACGAGATATGAGAAGCATTATGCTTTGGAGTCCATGGAATCCTGTCCATTTATATTAGCATAGAAATGGCATCAAGGTAAAAATTATGGCTATACATTAGAAAAAAATTAAACCAAACAGTATTATGGTATCATAAGCTCTGTGGGCAACAGATTTTTTAAAAATAAAAGCCAATATAGATTATTAATTAAGATGACATTGAAGGTAATTTCCAGTGTGACTCATCTGATATATGCTCATAGCTTCTGAATCTGTCTATAGCGTTCAGCCTCAAAAAAGAAGCCAAAGCAAGGCAAGGCAAGACCAAAATTTAAACTGTTGGTCCATTTTGCAAATTATATCTAATAAGAAGATTCTTCTACACAGATCATAAATACATTTGTTTCCCAAAGAGGAGTGCATGGGATTCTCCAAAGTAATTACATTTGTTCCATCGCAACATGCCAGATGGAAAAGCGGTATCCTCCAAACAGTTCCAAATGTTAATGCAATAATAAATGGGGTTTGCTTTTATGCAAAACTAGGGATTCTTTTGCTTTTATGCAAAACCTGGTGATGCAGTGGGTTAAACCACTGAGCTGCTGAACTTGCAGACCGAAAGGTTGGCAGTTCAAATAACTTAACTCTATTTTAAATTCCGTTTTGCCTTGAGACAGTGAAAGGAACCCCACTCCAGCAAAAACTTCAAGGCTTTGTATCGCATATTTGTATATTTCTTGAAAAATATATCCTTCATGTCAGTGGCTTGAGTCCGGGGAGTGGGGTGAGCTTCCACTGTTAGCTCCAGCTTCTGCCAACCTAGCAGTTTAAAAACATGCAAATGTGAGTAGATCAATAGGTACTGCTTTGACAGAAAGGTAAAGGTGCTCTGTGCAGTCAAGCTGGCCACGTGACCTTGGAGGTGCCTACGGACAACACCGGCTCTTCGGCTTAGAAATGGAGATGAGCACCACCCCCTGGAGTCAGACACGACTAGACTTAATGTCAGAAGAAACCTTTATCTTTAGGAATTATTAATTAAAAAGTAAAAGTAAACTCTGATAGAGGCATTTTCTTTCTTGTAATGACGTAATGCCATCATTAAGCTGAGCAGTGAGAAATAAGTCTCATGGGAGAAGTGAAGTCTTTATAGCAATCATTCATATTTTCCTACAATTTCCCCTTTGGTTTTATATCAGGAAACCACATTATCGACATTTTGCTAGAGTAATATAAAACCTTAATAAATCTTTAGCATAAAGGCCATTTTCTAAGTCACTGAAGTAAAATCAAACATCCAGAGTAAGCAAATACACAATTTGGCTTTTATAGAACTAAGCTTGGCCTGTTTTTCCCTTTCTCCCTAATTGATTGCATCGCCTTTTGTTCAGTAACTCCATGGCATCATATATGTGTTTCCTCTTTTAACATCATGGCAACTATGGGAAATGGATCATAACAAAAGACAGTGTTTGGCCCAAATTCATTCAGCAAGTATCAATGGGGATTTGAACCTTCAACTCCCAAATCGCAATCCAACATCCTAACTATGAATACAACCATACTAATTGGTTTATTGGAAGTTAGCTTTTTTTATTCCAGACATGCTTATCAGCCAGTTGCTATCAACAATTATACAAATTAGATTATACTTTTTCATTCCATTATGAAACCAAATATAGAATTCTATATTGCCATCACTGCATAAGAATTATTTTCCAAACTGGATTGCAAACATTTCTGTCAAAAGGCAAAGAGGAATAAAAGATTTTGACAAGGTCAAAAATAACTGGATTTTCTGAGCTCTTTTTAGACAAGAGACATGAAACACCAATGCCAGAATTTGCTATCTACAGAATGAGGTGCAGAAATTAAATCACACTAGAAAACCCTGCCCTCTAATTACCAGATAGATTATTGTTTATTAGATTTATAAAATTATACTCTTGCCTTGGAGGCACTCAGGGCACTGTACCATAAAGAAACATCAATGCTACATAAAATTATAGGAACAAAGGCACACAGCCACACGATAAAATTTACATGCACAATGAAAATTAAAGAGCAGAAAATCACTGAGTGCATAAAAGAAAAAGACAGGCTTCATGACCGATCTAATGCAGGACAAGGAAGGAACTGATGTTACTTTCCTCAACAAAGAACTCCATCATTGGGATACAGCTAGAGAAAAGGCACAAGGCTCCTATCAACCAAGCCTTTTTAGCTGGTGAGACATACATTATAATGACCCCGAACAACTGTTAGGCCCATCTACAATGCCAAATAATGCAGCTTCATAATAGCATTGAACTGCATTCCATGAATCTACACTGCCATATAATGCAGTTCAATAGAGTTAAATTGCATTATATGGCAGTCAGTGTAAATGGGACCTTAGTTGGGGTGGGTAAAATGTGCCCACCAGGAGTAAAAATATTACTTCCAAATTACCTTTAGGAAATGAAGTGGACATTTTTGCCACTTATTGAGGACTTCTTGAGATTGTACATAAAACCTTAGGGCAACAAGACAGAAGATCTACATCTGGAGTAAATCTCTCTGCATATTTGTTTAGGAATAAACTACATCAAATTAAATAGGTTTTATTTCCCAATTTGTGTGTTTAGGAGTTCAGCCCAAGTAGTAATAGTAATAGTAGTGGTAGCAGTTCTGTTTCAAAACAAAGATGGTATTTACATACCTGAATATTCTCTCTGTTCCATGTATGTGGAGTTTTATTAGCTAACAGCTTTAGATCTTGAATAGCAAGCCTCTTTACTGCTTCTCTTGGGTCACTCCTCAAGTACTGCAGCAAGAGCTGTATCTATGAATTCAAAATGAAATTAATGTTGAATGGGTTTGTCAATATACTGACAGTCCCCAAGTTACGAACAAGATGAGTTCTTTAGGTTTGTTCTTAAATTGAATTTGTTTGCAAGTCAGAAAAGTTACTTTTTTAATGTGTAATTCCCGCCATCCATATATATACAGTATATATACAGTATGTATGTACACGTGTGTGTGTGTGTGTGTGTGTGTATATATATAATATCTTTGGGTAGCATAGGGAATGGTTAGTACCAATATAGCGATTATTTTGCTGCCTGTGCCTCTGTTCAGAAGATTTCACCTCACTTTCCGTCCCTGTAATAACTGGATTTTGAAAAATTTGATTGTTGTGGAAACAAGGATTGATAATAAAGTTTCAGTTGAGACACTTTTTCCCCATGACAACTCTGACAGGAAAATCCGCAGGGTAGATTTCTCTCTTCCTATTGTCTTACCCCCATTTTTAACTATGACTCCTTTGTAAGTTGGATGTTTGTAATTCAGGGACTGCATGTATATGCAAGCAAAAGCAATTAAGACATAAGCATATACATGAATGCTTATGAAAACTAAACAGACGGGGTGTGTGCATGCACACACACAGAAATTTAAAATAATTGATTAAATATTTTATTTTCTTTATATACCACACTTGTACTTTGCCCCTCTCACCCCAAAGGGGACTCAGGATGGTCTCACAAAGGCGAAATTCAATGCTGTTTATACATATACATATTGGTAAATAAACAACTACATTAAAATAAACCCAGTTAAAAACATAAACATTAAAACATTGGTTAAAATATTTATTTATTTAATATAGATGTATCTCGTCTTTCTCAACTCAGAGGGACTCAAGACAGCCTTACAACAGGCAGCAATTCAATGCCAAATATACATGTATCAAAACACAATTTCAACATAACTTATTAAACATAACTTATTAAAAACATCAATTAAAACATCATCCAAAACATTGCACAGGGCCCTTCCTTTTATAACAAAATTCTTTGTCTTCCTTTGAGTCCAAGAGAATGTAACTTGCCCAAGGCCACCTAATAAGTTTCCATGGCCAAGGGGTATTTGAACTCTGGCCTCCAAAATCATAGTATAACATTAAAAACGCTGCACAATGGCACTTACATTTACATATATATTTATGCCTGTTTCGTTTCTCCAGTTTTTATAAGTTGAATCATGTACTTTTCTTCAGTTTTGCTTACAAAAATGGCACATACAATATGTGTATGTGTGTGTGTGTATATACACACACACACACACACACACATTTTATACACCTCTGGAGGCTCCATTGGATCATTAACTAGCCCATATTTATTAATGCTTCCAAGGAATACAGAAAATATATGCTGGTTCTATGGCAGTATATGTTCCTTAATCTTGTAGAAGTGCAAGAAAAAACAGACACAGAATGAGAAGAAAATATTCTTGCTACAGGGGAAAAAATACTTTTGTTTCTAAACAGAAAAAAAATTGCCATCCCTCATGGCTGCTAAGGTAGGTGAGTGACGGCTGATAATGTCTATGTTCATTTAGGTTTTTAAAATGTAACCATGACAAATAATTTCACTTACAGTTCCTATCGGTTTTGGCTCCAGAAGCCTTAGATACTGAAATCCATTGATGCTCAAGTCCCAATACACATCATGCCGTAATAAAATGGAAAAATCAAGGTTTCCTTTTTGGGTGTTTTTTGTTAATTTTTCAAGTCATAAATGGGTGAATCCATATATGCAGAATCTGTGGATATGGAGAGCTAACTGTGATAACTGAGGTATAGGTAGATTAGGCGAAGCTGAAGGCATTACCTGCTTAGGGATATCCACCAGAGAGGAAGCAGCGAGCAAGGTAAAGGTGTGCAAAGTAACAATGACCATCTTGGTGGAAGGGTAGGATGTCACCAGCTGTTGAAGCAGTTGGCGAGCTCCAGAGGCCAGGCTGGCATCGTGATGCATATGCTGCAGGATGGGGATCAACTTCAGCTTCAGGTCTACTGGAGTAGCTAAACCTAGAAGTATGACAGGAAAACAATGATTTGATTTGATTTCCAGGAGAAATCAAATAGATCAGTGTTTCCCAAACTCTGGTCCTCCAGATGTTTTGGACTTTGACTCCCAGAATCCCTGATCACTGGCCAAAGCAGCTGAGGTTTCTAGGAGTTGAAACCCAGGATCACTTGGAAGAATAGAGTTTGGGAATCATTGAAATAGATGGGAAAGTGAGTTTAATGTAGTACATCAGTATCAAAATTACATGCAATATTTGACAACAAAAACAGGGCTTCTTTGCAGACATTCAAACTTTAAACACTATAAAATACGACTGTGCCACAGAGACATCATCTGCCAGGGTTACTCATATGAAGCAACTGCCATTTCCTTTAAGAAAAAAGTAGCATTCCTCTTCCTCTTTTCTCAACTTGATATGCTAAGAAACCATATTAATTTGAAAGCCTTATTCTATAAAAAGACTGTATAGACTGCAATTATAGTTTAAAAGCAAGGTAACTCAAACTAGTCATTACAAAAATGCAGCTGGGTTGCTTAGTCATCGCTTCCCATTTACTTTAACAGAACAAAAAATGGAAAACCGTATATTCTGATTTTTCATGTGGAGTCATTCAACTATTATTTGGAACCAAGCTTTCTCTTTCATTATAGATTGCAGCAGGAGCAAAGAGGGCGAAGTACAGAAGAAAGCTTCCTTGTTCATGAAAAGCCCAGCTTATTTTTAGTTCAGGTACCAGATGATTCAGGTAGCATAATAAACTCTGGATTATCATAATGGAACACATAGCAGCAAGGACTGAACAAGGACATGCATACTTGCTCATCCCATTCCTCTTCCAATATTGCCACAAGAAAAAAGTTAAATGCTTTCATTTCTATTTACCATCTGTTAATAGAAGTGTTAGAAACCAAAATGGTTCTCCGTGCTTATTGTCAATGATAATTTCCAATATAAACTCATGGTATTTTAAGCTACAACTTGTTGGGTTCAGCCACAAAAACAACAAGAAGCTTAGGTTAACCAAAGATTGATATAATTTTTTTCTAATCTTGCAGCCACGCTAGAAGAAGTGTCATGGATGGAGAAGGCTCATTGTTGCTCATTGTTTTTGTCATAAAGCAGAAGTGGCCAAGGGGTGGCCTTGGGCTCCACCCAATTGCTGCATTTTGGTCAGTTTATGTGGCCACCAGATATCCGAGGGGATGAAAACTGGCCGTCACACTTGTTGAAGTTACATCTCTGATACATCATAATTAACTGCAGGGGTGGAAATAATAAATTCCGCAATGCCCCACTGCTATAGTACATCCTGCTTCTCAAGACAGTCACTACAAAAGAAAAATCCCCCAGAAAAAATTAACAGAAATGTGCCTCCGGGACAAAATGAAGCACATGCCACTACTTTCTTTGGGATCAGGAAAAAAAATAGAAAACTGGAAGTGAACTTTTTTACACCCAGAAAGTGACTGGTACAAGTGCAAAGGTCCAGAGACTGTAATGTGGGGTTTATATGGCCCTTGGCCTTCCATGGATACAAACCCCTGGTGTATTATGAGATCTAAATAATTTTTCAGCACTTTCTTACTCTTTCACTATCTTCTAAACCTGTTATAAATCATTTTAGTTAAAAATATGACAAAGAAAGAGAGAACTCCACTTCAAATATACAACATTAAAACACTATATTACAATAAGAGATGCCAGGAAAGAAAAAGAGCAAAGCATTGCAATCTCCAGGTCTTCAAACTGAGCTGCAAATTCATTGGGATATATCAGCCAAAATGCCAAAATGATTTTTTTTAAAGGAAAGAAGCCCCACATCAGAAGCATGAATACAAGTACAAATGCCAATCTGAAAATTATTTAAAAAATAAATTATTACGTAAACAGCTGTACCTTGAATCATTTCACTGATTTTGTTACATATTCCTCCGGCAAAATCTCTATCAATAGTAGAGAAGAAGAAATTAGTTATAGAACTGAATGAACTACAAAAAGACTGAAACTGATTTTTCTGACTCACTGCGAGCAATAATGTTCATTAACATGCTAGTTTGTTCAGATTATGCCACTGTAATCATGCACAACTGTGTATAATAACACAGGGAAAACAGAATAAGCAAACCCTAAGCAGATGACACAAATTGACAGACAAGAATTGCCCCCAGCAATTGAGAAATCTAGATCTTTATATCGTCCTCTTTTGTCAGCTAATACTGACCAAATGAACAATATATTAAACCAAATGATACAATGATGTAATTATGCCCCCCATTACTCTTTTCCTCTGTAGGTTCTTTAAAAAGGCTGCTCAGAGATTTGAGAAGTTTCAGTGAAGACAGTATCTTAAGATCTGCACCACTATTATTTCAGCATAGCTTAAAAAAGACAATATCACACTATTTTTGCTTCCAATTATACTGAAAATCCAGAAACCCTTATTCTGAGAAAGCAGATTTAGAGTAGAATGCATCTAGGGACCCTTCCACACAGTCATATAATCCAGAATACCAGGGCAGATCATCTACAATATCTGCTTTGAACTAGGTTATCTGAGTCCACAGTGCCATATAATCCAGTTCAAAGCAGATAATGTGGGATTTTATACAGCTATGTAGAAGGGGCCTAGATAATTTGGTTGCAACTAGTTTTGTGCAATGCATAAAAGACTAACAGTACAATTCAACTTCTTATGAGTGCAACAGCCTGGGAAATAAAGGAAAAAAAATGCTTGGTTTTTATCCTATCATTTTCCTGAAATCATTATTGATTTTGTATCAGTTTTATCCATCAATGGAACAAAGTCTGCTACAAGACAATCACTTATTTATTACTTAAACTTTATCCCATTTATTACCTCAAATCTAGCAGCAACTAACCACAAAATAAAAATCTTTTAACAAGTTATACAACCAAGCACAATATTTATTTGTTTGTTTGTTTGTTTATTGTGTCAGGGGCAACCAAACAATTGTATTACATTTCTAACAGAACAAAACAAACAAACAATCAGACAAAACACAAAATTTGCAAACTTGGTAGTTGGTTAAATGTCCTTTGACCAGTATCTGGCCACTTGGAGTCCCTCTGGTGTTGCCGCAAGAAGGTCCTCCATTGTGCATGTAGCAGGGCTCAGGTTGCATTGCAGAAGCAACCAGAAGCACAATATTGATACACACTATTTTGATGATGCTAGGTAAACAATCATTGCTCAGACTCAGTTTTCTTCCTTCTACAATAAAACGCTGAAATATTTGTTGCAGGGATTGCTAATATTATGTAGATAAACCACCATATAAATGGCAAGTATTCAATGTCACTGCCTTTGCACTCATGAAAAACAGATGTTCTGCAGGCATTCTACTTACTTGGACTGAGCAGAAAAATTAGCTGCAGCAAAAATAGCAGCTTCAACCTCTACATTATCATGAGAATCCAGACTCTGGCGAATACTGTGATGTGCATTTTTCCTTTCTGGAATTATAGATGCCATGCTACCCAACATCCTGGAGAACAAAATAGAGGAACATGAAGAAAGAGCTCAGGAACCTGCTTATGATGAACTACGCTTTAAATATCTTGCCATTCCACCAACAACAATAACAACTTTATTTTTGTATTTTGCCACCATCTGCCCGAAGGGACTAAAGGCGGCTTACATGGGGTCCAAGCCCAGTCAGAGAAAGGTTAAAATATAAAACAGTAAAATTAAAATAAAAACATCATAAGACATAACCATCAACAATCAAACTATCAAAACAACCAATAGCCGAACCTAGAGGCTATGTCAAAGGCCTTTTTTTCCTGCCCTTTTCACATTATTGTGCCATTCTTGATCACAATACTGCTGCTATCATAAAGCCTGCTTTAGGTGTGCCTTGATTCAGAATAAAAAAAGGTGCTCAAACCAACTTGAAACCTCTCTTTCAAGTAACAAAATAGACACTCAGCTGTTCAAAAATGTATCACCTAAACATAAATCAAAATGTCCTTTTTTACTGTGTCTTTTCAATGTTATCATACAATATTATTCAGTTGTTAAACATAAACATAAAATACATTCTGGGCAACTTTATTGCCATTTCTTCACACTGTTGAAATTGGAATCTTGGGGAACCATTATAATCCAGTCATAGAATACACTTTTCCCTGCAGCTCAGTCAATCCCTAACTTATCCAATTAAAAATGAATCCATGCAGTAGAACTGGGAAAGCCTCCATCAGATACCCTGAAGATCATTTGCAAATCGGAGGAAACAGTACAAAAACTAATAATCTTTCTCACCATACACCTGCTTAATATGTTCACAGTGCCCACTATTAGCTACACCCTCCAGCAGCATCTGGGCAGATGCTGCATCTGGGCAGATCCTTGCTCAGTTAAGTGTGCATACCTGAGTGTGATGGCGCGTGCAACTGGATCGTTACTGTGAATAACTGAGAAAACTCTTTTCACAAACTCATCCACATTCAAGATCTTCTCCAAGTGTTTCTCACTCTGCTGAGTAACTTTCAAAACACAGAGTCTCAGGAAGTTGTTTCTGTTTTGAAATAATATTTTAATTACTAAAAATCATTATGTTTCCAGTTTCTATAAAAAGTCTGAGGCAGGTAGCAATAGAAAAACAACAGTACCAAAGAATCATAACTACATCACAATGACAACTGAATGAAAGTCCAAAAGTGGAAAAAATAAAACATAAGTGGGGTTTCCTTAGCAAGACTTGCTATTGTTTTCCTCTGAGGTTGAAAGAGTATGGCTTCACCAAATCCCACTCAGTGGCTTTTTATGATCAAGGTGGGATTCAAACCCGAGTCTCCCTGAGACCTAGACTACGACTCAAAATGCCATAATCATACTGGCTCTTGCAAATGAATTAATAATTAATAATCATAATTAAAATTCCAGTGCAGAGTGAAAACTGCAAGCAAAGGGTTTCTGAGCAGATGTTATGGCACAGAAGAGTTCTTAAAAGGATGACTTTGCCATATATCAAATGCGTATTAACAGGCAAAAGGCAAAAAGAAGCATCCCTGAATAGGAAATTTCCATGCCAGGGAGCAGGTACCTACACAGCTTTTCTCTGGTTTCCGTAAAATGCTACAACACAACTTCCACGATCTATCACTGAGGGTCCTTCCACACAATAGCTATAATCCAGGCGAGAACAAGTTAAGGGGGGGGGGGGGCAGATGAATTTTTTTGCTAAATGCGCGCTCAATCGCAGCAATGGAGGGAAAACCCGTTTCAAAAAGAAGGGCTGTGAGGACAGCAGGGGAAGAAAGCCCGGGACCGATCTGTGTGGGGACCTGCTCTGATGGTTTCTTATCCTTCCCTTTTAAATTCGCATTTTGGCACTGTATGGAAACACCCTGAGTGGTCCTATACAGAAGAAAATTTCCTAGTCAACCTGCTTCTAACCACAATGGCCCAAGAAATGGCTATCAGCATTTCTTTGAATTAAAAGCAACTCAGTGCTTCAATACTACGTACAAACCCAGAACATACAAGTTTAGCTTACCCAACTCTGAAAACATCAGCAAGTTTTAAAAATGCTGAGTTAATTAGAATCGGGAATGGATACTTCTGAAAGAGTCTGGGAAAACGGACAACAGCTTCACACTGCTCCCCAAGTTTGCCAGATCGAAGACCTGCAACAGAAAGTAAAATCAGCACAGCACATAGAAGCAGAGATAATGAAGCAGACTATGAATGCTGGGTGAAATATGTAACATGGCCATCTTATGCTGAAAGTTAAGCAGGGTCAACTCTGGTTATTACTTGGGTGGGAGACAAAGGGAGCATTTAATTAATTTAGGCAATTTATATCCTGCCTTTCCCCATTCAAGGGCCTAAAGCAGAGCATTAATACTGGATAATTCATGCAGTTCAACTGCTGTAATTGAATGCTATGGAATCATGGGAGTTGTAGTTTTACAAGTTTTTTTTAGCTTTATCTGCCAAATTTTGTGTTTAGGTCTGGGCCCTATCACCAAGATTATGGAGAAATATGCAAATACAGGTCTTCCAGAGAATGGGTACAGAGGAGGGCGACTAAAATGATCAAGGGTCTGGAGAACAAGCCCTATGAGGAGTGGCTTACAGAGCTGGGCATGTTTAGCCTGAAGAAAAAAAGGCTGAGAGAAGACATGATAGTCATGTATAAATATGTGAGAGGAAGTCATAGGGAGGAGGGAGCAAGCTTGTTTTCTGCTTCCCTGGAGACTAGGACGCGGAACAATGGCTTCAGATTACAAGAAAGGAGATTCCATCTGAACATTAGGATGAATTTCCTGACTGTGAGAGCCGTTCAGCAGTAGAACTCTCTGCCCCGGAGTGTGGTGGAGGCTCCTTCTTTGGAGACATTTAAACAGAGGCTGGATGGGAGGGTACTGTCTGTACATTTTTGTATATAGTGTAAATTAAATGTGATGTGTCATATTTGAGTAGTCTAAAAGCCACTTCTGTCCTGAGGAGCAGTTGGAAGTGTTATGGCCTGACACTGCTACTTTATTTATTTATTTATTTATTTACAGTATTTATATTCCGCCCTTCTCACCCTGCAGGGGACTCAGGGCGGATTACAATGTACACATATATGGCAAACATTCAATTCCAAAGACACACAACAGAAATAGTCAGAGGCTATTTAACTTTTTTCTGGCTGCCAGGGGAGCTGTCGCTTTCATCATCCATCTGCGACTCTGATGAAGTACTTCCACATTCCCCACATGCTTTTTGCTGGAGTCTTTTTTTTATGGCCTCGTAAATTTTGTTAAATTAGCCTCCCCACACATAGGTGGTACCTAATTTTCCTACTTGACAGATGCAACTGCTTTCGAGTTGCAAAGGTCGACAACAAGCTACATAATTGGTCGGACACTCACTCCGACCCGGGCTGGCTTCAAACTCATGACCTTGTGGTCAGAGTGATCTTAATGCAGCTGACACTCAGCCAGCTGCGCCACAATCCCGGTGTTTACTTATATACCAAATTATCTCATGAACTGAAGCGGCCATCTGTTAGGGGTGCTTTGAATGCAATTCTCCTGCTTCTTGGCAGGGGGTTGGACTGGATGGTCCACGAGGTCTCTTCCAACTCTGTAATTCTAAGTTATCCCAAACATTTCTGGTCCAACGCATTTCAGATAAGAGACACTCAACCTGTATGAAGGATTATAACGACGGTAAATCAGAAGTCACTTCAATTTTTCTATGCTTTCCCTCTGGCTGTACTTTTCTTTTCTTTCTTTCTACCTTTGTTTACTTCCTCTTTCCATCTTACCCTCCTTTTATTTATTTATTTACAGTATTAGACCACACCTGGAATATTCTGGGCACCACAATTCAAGAGAGATATTGACAAGCTGAAATGTGTCCAGAGGAGGGTGACTAAAATGATCAAGGATTTGGAGAACAAGCCCTATGAGGAGTGGTTTAAAGAGCTGGACATGTTTAGCCTGAAGAAGAGAAGGCTGAGAGGAGATATGATAGCCATGTATAAATATGTGAGAGGAAGTCATGGGAGGAGGGAGCAAGCTTGTTTTCTGCTTCCCTGGAGACTAGGATGCGGAACAATGGCTTCAAACTACAAGAGAGGAGATTCCATCTGAACATTAGGAAGAACTTCCTGACTGTGAGAGCCGTTCAGCAGTGGACCTCTCTGCCCCGGAGTGTGGTGGAGGCTCCTTCTTTGGAAGCTTTTAAACAGAGGCTGGATGGCCATCTGTCAGGGGTGATTTGAATGCAATATTCCTGCTTCTTGGCAGGGGGTTGGACTGGATGAGATTATGGTTTTAATGATTGTTTTATTGCTTATGGATGTATTGTTTTAATTTGATTTATGTCCAACTGTAGTGTATAATTGTAATTGTTTGTACTGGCATTGAATTTTTGCCATTACTTATGTGTAAACTGCTTTGTGCCCCCCTCGGGGTGAGAAAAGCGGTATACAAATACTGTAAATAAATAAAAGTAAAATAAATACAGTTTGACGCCACTTGAATAGCCATGCCGGCATATAAATGTCGTAAATAAATAAATAAATAGTTTGGTGAGGCACCAGCACAATTTGGCAGAGGTTGTAAAACTACAATTCCCAAGATGCCATCGCCTCGAGCCATGACGTGTCAGACAGCACTAATTCTCCTGAAAACAAACCCCGCCTCTCCCTTTCAAATTCCCCGCCTCAGGATAAAGGGGCGGGGCTTCGGTCAAACAAGGCCATCACTGTGACTTCGGCGCATGCGCACATCCCTCGCTTTCCCTCTTACCTTTATCCAGCTCCATGAGGGCGGAGTTTGCATCCAGTTCTTGTTCGCCATAGCCGGCGTCGGCAAGAAAGGATTTGGAAGCCGAGGCCATGTTGTTGTGTAGTATACAAACAAAACCCCTCAGAGGAAAGGGAAGGAGAGAAAAAAGTTTATTATTCCCATTTCCACTCGGACACAACTCGGCGCGCGCCGCCTTTCCTCTCCCTCACGAGCAGAAGCTAGCGCGCATGTGCAGACAGGCGCGCGTGCGCCTTGACGTGCCTAGCGCGCATGCGTGCAGTCTGTTTTTTTAGGAGTCGATGCGCATGCGCCACTGCAAGAAGAGCCGGTTCTCGCTTCAATGGAAAGCTGACGGGCGGTGGGCGTGGCCTCGCGGGGGACGGAGGTAAAGTAGGAACCAATAGGAAAACAGGGGCGTGGTTTGTGTTTCTGCTATAACCAATGGGAAGGAAGGAAGTGACTTTGGCGCGTAGTTCGGGTTGGCGGGAGTTCGGGGATGGACTGGGAGTTTCAGTTGGCGCCGCGCGCAGAGCCAAGGAGGTCTTGAGCTCTGTTTACCATGCTGTGCCGCTCCCTCGTCCATCGCTGCCAAGGTGGACCGCATGGTGGGTTTGGGGTTCTGTGCTTGCAATATATATTGAAGGGAAAACATGGGGATTTTAGTGCTCTCCAGGTGTTTTGGACTCCAACTCCCACCATTCCTAACAGCCTCAGGCCCTTTCCTTTTCCCCCTCAGCCGCTTAAGCGGCTGAGGGGGAAAAGGAAGGGGCCTGAGGCTGTTAGGAATGGTGGGAGTTGGAGTCCAAAACACCTGGAGGGAGGGCCCAAGTTTACCCATGCCTGGCCCATAAACACTGAAGCAGAAGTGACCTTTGGTATTGGCAGCTAATTATTGTTTTTCCCCGCCTTATTATTGTTTCTATGTAGGTCTGCTGCCAAGATTTCCCTTACAGCACCTTCTAGGGTGCTATTCTTGTACTACAGAAGATGACCACCCATCCTTTGGAGAAATGGGAATCCCGGTTCCTCCTTTCGGGTGCACCTTTTCAACAGGTACAATGGAGGCGGTTGTCCAATTTGTGAACATTTGTAGTTCTTTCCTTTTGTGTTTAGATTATGATCAGTAGTCCACGGTGGCACAATGGGTTAAACCAGGGGTCCTCGAACTTTTTAAACAGAGGGCCAGGTCGCAGTCCTTCAAACAGTTGAAGGGCTGGATTATAATTTGGAAAAAAAATGAATGAATTCCTATGGACACTGCATATATCTTATGTGTTGTGCAAAAAACACATAAAAACAATACAGTAATTAAAATGAAAAATAATTTTAAAAATATAAACTTATTAGTATTTCAGTGGGAAGTGTGGGTCTGCTTTTGGCTGATGAGATAGAGTTGTTGTTGTGTGCTTTCAAGTAATTTCAGACCTAGGTTGACCCTGAGCGAGGGCCGGGTAAATTACCTTAGTTTGAGGACCCCTGGTTAAACCCTCATTTTGTTGAACTGCTGACCTGAAGGTTGGCTGAATTGTTGACTGGAAGGTCGGAGGTTCAAATCCGTGAGAGAGGGTGAGCTCCCGTCTGTCAGCTCCTGCCAACCTAGTGGTTCGAAAACATGCAAATGTGAGTAGATAAATAGGTACTGCTTCGGCGGGAAAAGGCAAAGAGACACTCGCTGGCCACACAACCAGGAAGGTGACAGCTCAGGCTCTTTGGCTTGAAAATGAAGCGCCTCCCCAGAGCCTGAGATGAGCATCACCTCCAGAAACTGGAAATTTGCCTTTGTGTATCATATATAATTGTAAACGCACTGACTCTTTGTCTGTGCATGTAAATAATAATAATAATAATAATCAACTTTATTTATACCCCGCCACCATCTCCCCAACGGGGACTTGGGGCGGCTTACATGAGGCCAAGCCCGGACAACATATTACAGCAAAATAAAACCAAAACATAAGTAACAAGCAACAGCATCAAAACTACATTAAAAAAACATGAATACAATAAAAAAATAACATTCCAATAAACACAATCACAGTGTCAGTGGGCGGGCCACATGTGCAGGATAAAATGTTTAAAAACTCGAATGAGATAAGAATAGGAGCAAGTTATTTGCAGGGAGCTCATAAATAAACACAGGGTTGTGAAACTAAACTTCCCATTAAGGGGGTGCATACTCCAGTGACTGAAGCGTTGATGGGAGTAGTAGTGTAATGTTGTACACCTACTCGCCAAAGGCGCAACAGAAGAGCCAGGTTTTGAAGTTCTTTTTAAATGTTTGTAGTGTAGTGTTTATAAATGTTGCAATCCGCTCTGAGTCATGTTTAATTTGATTTTAACTTAGTGTTTTATCTATTGTTTTAAATTGTTATATTTGTTTGTATGTTGCGGCATCGAATTGTTGCCGGTTGTAAGCTGCCCTTGTGGGTTGAGAAGGACAGGGTAGAAATGTTGGAAATACATAAATAATAAATTGGAGAAGGGTGGAATATAAATAAAGCGTATTATTTGATACATAACAAGATTAGTATACAGCAAACAAGGTCACTCTGCTGGCTTTTGTATTTGATTTCCCGTCAGACACTTCCCAAGTGTCTAGGACTGTGTGATGTATCAGCGAATGCGTGCAGATCACAGATAGACATCTAGTCTTAATGTCTCAATACTGTCCTGTAGGTTTGTCTCCATTTTACTTCTGTGTTTTTATTTTGTCAAGAGGTAATCGGTATTTGTAACAGAGTATTATACAGTACTGTTACTTTTAAAACTTTTAGAAACATAGACATTTTGCTTATTTATTTTCCAGCCCCCAATGCACAACACATTCTTGCTGTTGCAAATGAAGAGGGGATCATTAGGCTGTATGATACTCAAGCATCAACAAGCAGCAAAAAGGTTTTTAGAGGTAAACACAACACTTGATTGTGCTAAATTGTTCTGATAAATGCTGGGTCATTTTTGGGATGTGCTTAATCTACTTGGCATTCTTGAAAATTTGAATTCTACAGCATACAGAGAGGTAAATAAATGGACCATATTCTTTTAACTCATAATGATTAATGTGAATTTCGTTTTTGTTTCCCTTCAGAATGGCAAGCTCATTCAAATGCTGTTTTTGACCTTGCCTGGATGCCCAGAGAACACAAAATTGTGAGTAAAGTAGTATTATCTTGCCCTTATGTGCAACGGGGCTTAGAAGAAGCCAATTTTCTAGGAAAGTAAAACATTATGGTCAATGGACATATTTATGGGGGAAATTGCCATAATTATGGGGGAAATTGCTGGACCTTGCAATACAAAGCTTGAGACAAGATTATTTCCAAAACCCTTCTGATTCCATTAATTCTATAAGGTATATGTATTTTGCATTCTAAGTGCTAAGACACATCTGTAAGTCTGTTAACTTGTACTCTCAAGTCAAGCTATACATATGCTTGTTTACTTTCTTCATGTACACCCAAGAGTAGGTCGCACTGAATTTGCTGGAGTAAACATGTAAACAGGGAAGGCAGAGCGAAGGAAGATAGATGCTTTTGAACTGTGGTGTTGGAGGAAAGTTCTGAGAGTGCCTTGGACTGCAAGAAGATCCAACCAGTCCATCCTCCAGGAAATAAAGCCCGACTTCTCATTGGAGGGAAGGATACTAGAGACAAAGTTGAAGTACTTTGGCCACATCATGAGGAGACAGGAAAGCCTAGAGAAGACAATTATGCTGGGGAAAGTGGAAGGAAAAAGGAAGAGGGGTCGACCAAGGGCAAGATGGATGGATGGCATCCTTGAAGTGACTGGACTGACCTTGAAGGAGCTGGGGGTGGTGACGGCCGACAGGGAGCTCTGGCGTGGGCTGGTCCGTGAGGTCATGAAGAGTCGGAGGCAACTGAACGAATGAACAACAACAAACATGTATATAGCATTTCTCTCAAACTTTGCTGTACATAAGATAGTGAAGGTTTCCCCTGGCATTAAGTCTAATGATGTCCAACTCTGGGGGTGGTGCTCATCTCAATTTCTAAGCCAAAGAGCCGGCGCTGTCCATAGACACCTCCAAGGTCTTGTGGCCGGCATGACTGCATGGAGTGCCATTACCTTCCCGCAGAAGTGATACCTATTGATTTACTCACATTTGCATGTTTTCAAACTGCTAGATCAGCAGAAGATGGGGCTAACAGTGGGAGCTCACCCCACTCCCCAGACTGCAAATAATAGTTAACTCATTTTTATCGTTCAGGTTACTGCTTCAGGAGATCAGACGGCAAAAGTGTGGGATGTAAGGACTGGTGAACTTCTTGGGGTGTGCAAAGGGCACCAGTGCAGCCTGAAGTCCGTTGCTTTCTCCAAATTTGAGAGTGGTAAGTGTTAATGTTATCATCATCATCTGGTCATATTGACAATCCCCCTTTAAGAAGAGAACATGGGAATTTAAATCACCCAATTGCAAAACAGAGCTGGGAGTGTGGAGGGCTAAGAGCCTGGATTAGAATGGCCTGGACATATCTCTTGAGGAAGAGGAGAGTTCCTCAAAGGGATTTGGTATTGACCTTTGTCCTTTTTAAAAAAAAAAATGAAGCATCCTATTTTTATATTTCACAGCGGTGTTCTGTACAGGAGGAAGAGATGGAAACATCATGGTCTGGGATACTCGATGTAATAAAAAAGGTATACTATGTATCTGTTTATTTTATCTCCATTCTCCTTCCCCCAGCCTTCATAAAGCTTTGTAAGGCTTTTACCTCTGCTGAGATACAAATATAATCCTGAAACTAAAGCCCCTTCCACACAGCTGAACAAAATCCCTGCTTTGAACTGGGATATATGGCAGTGTGGACTCAAATAACCCACTTCAAAGCAGATATTGTGGGATTTTTCTGCCTTGATATTCTGGGTTATAGGACTGTGTGGAAGGGCCCTAAGTTTATGATGCAGTGGAGGTTGCTTTTAACATTTGTTCTTGAAAACCGCTTTCCAGATGGATTTTACAGACAGGTGAAACAAATAAGTGGAGCCCACAACATAACAGACAAGCAGACGCCCTCCAAACTAAAGAAGAAGAAGCAGAACTCAAGAGGCCTTGCTCCCTCAGTGGTAAGGATCCAAAAGCTAAAAGGTGTCTTGCATTTTGAAAAAGTTAGTTCTGTAAGTTGTTCTGTTATGGCTTTTCCAGGTTGAAATCTCTGAGCTCAAAAGTAAACCGGAAATAGTAAATGTCAGGAAGAAAAGTGAGCAAATGTGGTAAAACAGATCTTTGCTAGTCCCCAGTAATAGTTATCCTCAATGATTCCTTGCTTTCAGCCAGAGAGGTGAAGAAACCAAAAGGGTACTGTGACATCACAAGACAATTTTGCTAAGCCGATCACTACCAGACAATTGCCTTTATTCAGTCTGACACACAAACATCTCTCTTTGCATTTTATTCTTGTGTGGTGTTTGTTTCTTTCACATAAACCCCAAACAAAATGACCAGACAATTGTGGACTCCTAGGCTCCTACACTGCCATATAATTTTTCATCATTGTGGTGATTACTCGCTGTTATCCTTACTTGTGTAGATCTGCTGCCTTAATTACCTTTTTCTGCATGGCCTCTTGTGTTTGTGACTGTTGTGTGTGTGTTAAATGACTGCTATAGCCTCTGCATTTGCCTATAGTGCCTTACCGCTATCCATTTGTAAATGATGGATAATTTCAAAAACAGGAGATGAAGAAGAAGCTTACTAAGCTATGTTTACAGGGAATGCCAAGATAAATGGCTAAGATATCAGTTAAATTGGATGACCAAGAAGTTTTTACCCTGTCTTTTAATGTTATCTTTTTAACCTGTTTTGGGTTGCTATTCGGTTATACAGCTTGCTTTTAACTAAAATCTATTGTTGTGTTTATTAGTTATTTTTACTTTAATTGGGTTGCTTCTATTAGTTTTGTTATTTTAAGTTAATTGGTGCTGTTTGTTTATTTTTTCCAAATTTTGTTGTATTCTATGTGTTTTGTGTTGCACTTTTATTGTGCTATTTTGTAAGCCTCCCCAAAGCCCTTTTGGGAGATGATGGCGGGATATAAATAAAGTTATTGTTGTTGTTGTTGTTGTTATAAATCAGTGCTGAAATTATTTCAGGTAACAATTGCCTGTTCAGAAAGAAACTTTTTTCTTGCTCCTCTTTTAAGGACTTCCAGCAGAGCGTGACCGTGGTGCTGCTTCAGGATGAACATACCCTAATCTCAGCAGGGGCTGTTGATGGGTAAGAACTCTATTCTTGCATAAGTTTTAAATTCCCCCTTTATCTTTCCTTTATTCAGCCAAGAGTGTTTTAATTAATGTACATGTTAAAGATCTGTTAAATACATTTCATATTGGATTGCTAGTTCATATGAACATTACCAAAGCAGAGCCTATTACTCCCAAGATTGCTCTACTACTGAATGAGTAGCGATTGTATGTTTTAATTTTCATTGCTGAATGTGTTAGAGAAAGGGAAGAGGCCACTGATGTTATGTACTAGCTAGTCATTGTCACTCTTAATACCCTAGTTAAAGGTTCCTTGATTGTACAGAAAGTTGTATTCTTCTTGGTGCAATGATGCAGAATATGAAATTCTGTCTCAAATTTTAGTGTCATCAAGATATGGGACTTGCGAAAGAACTACACCTCTTACCGTCAGGATCCATTACCTTCCAGGTCTTTCAGCTACTCTGGGAACAGCACACGAAAACTAGGTATGGCATAAATGTGGGATGGAAACAATAGCTCTCTGACTATGTATTGTCGAAGGCTTTCATGGTCGGAATTACTGGGTTGTTGTAGGTTTTTTCGGGCTATATGGCCATGGTCTAGAGGCATTCTCTCCTGACGTTTCGCCTGCATCTATGGCAAGCATCTTCAGAGGTAGTGAGGTCTGTTGGAACTAGGAAAAATGATTTATATATCTGTGGAATGACCAGGGTGTGACAAAGGACTCTTGTCTGCTGGAGCTAGGTGAATGTTTCAACTGACCACCTTTATTAGCATTTGATTGATAGGCAGTGCCTGGGGCAATCTTTTGTTGAGAGATGATTAGATGTCCCAGATTGTTTCCTCTCTGCTGTTTTGCAGTTGTAATTTTAGAGTTTTTTTAATATTGGTAGCCAGATTTTGTTCATTTTCATGGTTTCCTACTTTCTGTTGAAATAGTCCACATGCTTGTAGATTTCAATGGCTTCTCTGTGTAGTCTGACATGGTGGTTGTGAGAGTGGCTCAGCATTTCTGTGTTCTCAAATAATATGCTGTGTCCAGGTTGGTTCATCAGGAGCTCTGCTATGGCTGACTTCTCTGGTTGGAGTAGTTTGCAGTGCCTTTCATGTTCCTTGATTCATTTTTGGGCAATGCTGTGTTTGGTGGTCCCTATGTAGACTTGTCCACAGCTGCATGGTATACAGTAGACTCCTGCAGAAGCTCTCTGACTGCTTGTCTTTTATATACAGCTTGAATGCCCCTTATATAAAATGCTTGTGACCCAAAATGTTTACCTGTACTCCATATAAGCACATAATGAGATATGGGGTCCCTCCAGATTATATGTTATAATATGTGTAAGGTATCAAAGAGACAGCTTGGGACCACACTTTACCCATCCTATTCTAGAACTTCCTTTGTATATTTAGGACTCCTTCATTCCTCCATCTCCCTTATGCCAGCATGGCTGTGACTGGGTACATCTGTCATCTAAAGTTGATGACTTCCTCTGAAAGAAAAGCTAGCAGTAAGATAGTGGCCAAAATGGTGCCATTAAAACCCAAGAGTGAGATATCTGTGTGTTGCAGGAGGAATGCAACAGTAAATTAACATTTTTTAAAAAGAGCATTCTGCATGTTAAGAACTACTTTATTTCAGTATGAGCTTTCTTGGATGTAAAGCACACTTAATTATGCTTTAACTTGTGTTTTTAAAAAGGATCCCTTTTCTGTTGGCATTTATGCATTTTTCAAAAAATGTGCATTTTTATTTTAAAAAATCAATTTTTGAAGGGTTGCCAGGTGGGTGGTGCTCCAAAAACACCTCAGAGAGGACAGAATATAACTGCAGCCAGCTGACAAAAAAATGGAAGTAAAGGGGCATTGCTCGATGACACAGTAAACCAGGAAGCTTTTAAACAGAGGCTGGATGGCCATCTGTCAATATTCCTGCTTCTTGGCAGGGGTTGGGCTGGATGGCCCATGATGTCTCTTCCAACTCTATGATTCTATGACTCTGAGGACTTTTGTTCTGGATCTCACTTGTAGCTCTCAATTTTCTCTGAAGAGTGGGATTATGTATATTATTTAAACAATCTTCTTTCCTGTAGGTTATTCTAGTCTTGTTCTGGATTCAACTGGTACCAGCTTGTTTGCTAACTGTACGGATGACAATATATATATGTTCAGCATGCCAAGCCTCAAAACCACTCCAGGTAAGAATACAATTAGTAAAATAATGTCAGTCATATGAAGTATTGATTAAGATCGGGAAGGTATGATCTATGAATTCCTTGTGTCAGTCGTTTCCTAACTCAAAGTCCTGTGTGAAAAGTCTCTCTGTGATGCCTGTTTTAGGGCTAGAGTGAATTGAACTGCAATCTGGCATAATTGATACCTTAAGTCATATAAACCCAGCCAGTAATAATGTGGAAAGCCTTTCCTTTCACAATTCTCTTCTTCTGTTACATTTTATTTTCCTGTGGATGAGATGACAAATCATAATAAAAACGTTTTAGCATCTTGATTCAAAATATATTTGCATGGCACAGAACTCACACACATGGTACGGCATGGCTAAGATATTATTACATCACAATTTCTCTGATGATTTTTCCAAGATTATGGATGGACAAAGTGCGGTCCTGGAGGACTAGACTTTGGAAATCATCACAATATACTGTTCTAACAAGCCTAGGATTCTTCCATAAAGTGTCAGCACTTGCTTCCTCGTTTTTCTTAGCAATTAGTATATAATGTGTGTTGCCACAGTCATAGAAATAGTATACAGTATATACCATATGTACTCAAGTATGACCCAAGTTTTTCAGCCCTTTTTAAAAGGCTGAGAAATCACCCCTTGGCTTATACTCGAGTCAAAATTATTTATCATTTTACTCTGTTATTATTAGTATTACTAATAGTCTTAGTCTTATCTTAAATTACAGTTTTACATAAATATTCAAAAACATTTAACCTACTAATGGCTCAACTAATGTAATTTTATTGGTATCTATTTTTATTTTGAAATTGCCAGTACCTGCTGCATTTCCCACCCTCAGTTTATACTTCAGTCAATACGTTTTCCCAGTTTTTTGACATAAAAATTAGGTGCCTCTGCTTATAATGAGGTCAACATAAAGACACTAATGGATATCTTTAATAAATTACCGTATATAGTTGAGTATATATGGTAATTTATTAAAGACATCCATTGATAGGCTTAATTGCTGTATATCCTTGACTCTAAGATAACATCTTTTCTTTATAAACATCTCTAAAAACAGAGTGCATCTTAGGCATGTGGGTGATGATGTATAAAAGGTAAAGATTTTCCCGTGACATTAAGTCCAGTCATGTCCAACTCTGGGGGTTTGTGCTCATCTCCATTTCTAAGCCAAAGAGCCAGCGTTGTCCGGAGACACCTCCATGGAGCAATTATACAGGGTGCAGCAGCATAACTTCCTTTTTTCAAAACTTAATGAAACCCATTGTATGAATCAGAATTTTTTCTTATAATGTAGGCGCATACCTAAAGTTTTGTTTTATGTAGTTTTGAAGATCAAATTAGGTAGGTGACGTCCCCCATTCTCCATACACTGAGTAAACTGATTTCTGGTGTTTGTCATGATTCATGCCAGCATAGCAGGCGTTATGTTGGCAATTTCTTCCTGGATGTTGGTCTTCAAATCTTGTAGGGTCCTTGGACGGTTCACATAAACACGGGATTTCAAAAAACCCCATAGGAAAAAAATCACAAGGGGCCAAATCTGGAGAGCGGACCGGCCACTCCAAATCCCCCCTAATTGAGATGAGGCGCTCTGGGAAGTGTCCCCTCAAAATAGTCATCAATGCTCTTGAAGTGTATGCAGTTTCACCGTCTTGTTGGAACCAAATGTCCCTTAAGTCCAACCCATCCAGCCGTGAGAAAAAAAACTCCTGTAACATGTTTACATACCGGTCCAAATTCACTGTCACTGCGACTTCATTTTCCTCAAAGAACCAGGGACCAATAATTCCAGCTGAGGAAATGGCACACCACACTCTGATTTTAGGTCAATGCAAAGGCCTTTAATGCAATTCTCGAGGATTGTTGTCAGCCCAGTAGCGCATGTTTTGTTTGTTGACGGATCCACACAAATGAAAATGGGCTTCATCAGTTAAAAAAAAACAATAGCGTCCTCAGGAACGACTTCGAGAAGAACCTCACACGTGTTCCTCCAAGAATTGAAGTCATTTTCAGAAAGTTCCTGCACAATTGCCATCTTGTAAGGATGGAAATGAAGATCATCATGAAGAATTCTCACAGAACGAACGGAAAGTCCAAGGGCAGATGCATGTTTGCGCACAGAACGCTGTGGTAATTGCAACATTGACGCTCTCACTGCCTCAATGTTCTCTGGTGATCTAATGAGCCGAGGGACTCCAGTTCTTCGTCTTGTCACACTTGCAGTTTGTCTGAATTTAGTGACCCACGTCACAATTGAATTCCGGTCCGGGACAGGGGCCAATGGGGCTAAATTAAAGCAAATCTGAAAGGTGCGCTGGGTTGCGATCACAGAACATCCCCTCGAAAAGTAGGTTTCAGCGGCAAAAGCACGTTCCTCACTGTTCCAATGCATGATGGCGACTGAACTGTGCCAGGACAAAACTTTATACTCCCGCCTCTTGAACGAGACCACTAGCACTCCGCTACGTCTTCAACCGACTGAATTGCACGCATTTTAAAAAAGAAAGTTATGCTGCCACACCCTGTATATCTCTTATCTCTTATCTATCGATCTATATGGGTTTTTCAGTTGGTACTGAAATTAGTATGTGTCTTAGAATCAATGAAATAGGATAGTCTTTTTACAAACTATAGATCTTGGAGAATGTGTATTTTCTGCATCTCAGTAGAGCCTCTTTCAGGCCACCAGAGAGCAGCAAATAGGCAGAATCCAGTAAGTTTGGAAAGAGCAGGTGCTGCTCATTTCCCTTTTGTACTCCATCTGATTGAAATCTCTCTTTGCCTCAAGAGTTTCTTGAGCATAATTGCTTCACCTTTTCCCCCTTTTTGGAGGAAACTCAGTGGCAGACGAACCTTCTGTAGAAACATGTCTGCATTCCAAGGGTCTGAGCTCATACTGCACCCTGTACACTTGAATATCAAAGGGAACTGTACAATCCCAGTGAGAAGACAAACGGTTATTATTATTTACAATATGCAGGCAGTCCCCAAGTTAGCATAATAGGTTCTGTAGGTTTGTTCTTAAGTTGAATTTATATGTAAGTTGGAACAGGTACATTTTAAAAGTGTAACTCCAGGCACGCGCACACACACACACACACACACACACACACATACATATATAGCTTTGGGTAGCATAGGGAAGTGTTAACACCCCTGTGGTGTTTGTTTTGCTGTCTGTGCTCCTGTTCAGAAGATTTCACCTCACTTTCTCTCTCTGTGATAACTGGATTTTGAAAAAAAAATGGGTTTTTGAGGAAACAAGGATTGGTGATAAAGCTTCATTGGAGACATCTTTTCCCCATGATGGCTCTTCCAGGAGTAAGTTTCCATTCCGAGGGATAGATTTTTTTCATTTCCTGTTGTCTCAACCCCGGTCCTTCACTATGTGTCATTTGTAAGTCAGATGTTTGTCAGTCGGAGATTGTCTGTATAGACTTTAAACCATAGGTGCAACATGCATAACTTTTCTTTACGGATTCATACAAGAAAAGGATGTGCATTGTCCAGAGAAAGTTTGGAAAGGGAAAGAAGATGTACAAGTGACCTTCCACATTTGTGGGTTTCACTTTTGCGGATGTGATGATTTGCACATTTGATTTATGTGTTCTCTCTAGAAATCTCTAGATCCTCCAGCATGACTCTATGGTCAACTTCCACTGGATGACCCATAGATTCTTAGGGAGAACATTTCTCTAGGCATTTGTAGGTCCTCTGTCATTATTCTATACTTAACTTCAGGCAGAAATTGACCACTGAATGGTGGTGGAGGACATAGAGAAGTATTCTCCCAGGTAATAAAACAGCGTTTGCAAATCATGCAAGCATAACGTTAGAAGAGAACGTCAAGGGCCATCTAGTCCAACCCCATTCTGCCCTGCAGGAACATAGAAGCAAAGCACTCCTGACAGATGGCCATTCAGCCCCTGCTTTAAAGCCTTCAGAGAAGGAGACTCCACCACACTCCCAGGCATCATACCACACTGCTGAACAGCTCTTACCATCAGGAAGTTCTTCCTAATGTTTAGCTGAATCCATTGAATCTATTGCTCAGTATCTTGGCCTCTAGAACTGCAGAAAAGAAGTTTGTCCCCTCCTCAATGTGACATCCTTTCAGATATGTAAACATCACTATCATATCTCCTCTCAGCCATCTTGTCTCCAGTATAAACATACCTAAATCCCCAAGCTGCTTCTCACAGGGCTTGGCTTGCGGACCTTTGGTTATTTTAGTCATTCATTGTCACTATCGTTCTTGAATTGTGCCCAGAACATACAACCCATAATAGATACTGATTCCAGTTTGTGTTCAACTCTTGGAAGTACATACTAGACACATTCTGGGCCTAGATGACCTGAAACAAATTTCTGTCCCATTCCTAATAGAGGCCCTCTGTAACGTTCTGTGCTCAACATGTGTCCTTTCCAATCCTCCCGTCAGTCCTGGGTGTTTTTGATCCAGATATAACTTTCCCTGTTAGTGACATGTACTTTCAGTTCTTGACATATCAGAAACCTTAGCTATGTGGGGCAGTAGTTCCAAGACATAATAGATCAGGTGTGGTGTGGAGAGTTCTTAAAAATAGCCATGGGACCCGTGCCACTCGGCCAGTTAACATCCTCCTGAAGAAATAAGATACCAGTTGCAGGAAATGAGTAACAGCTTCCCTGACATGCTGAATGCCAGAAGACTTAAAGAAATAGCAGGAACTTGTGAGCCAGTTAGTTAGTAGCTAACAGATACCTCTTTGCTGGCAGAATCTTTAAAATCTGAGAACCCTAAGTTAATGTAAGTGCTTCCTGGGTTGTATGGGAACTAAATGAGTCTTGCACACAGTCATATTAGCACAAAAAGGCCCCAGTTGCTACTGAGTGTGAGACAGACTAGAGGTAGCATTCAGAATACAGCTGCAGTAAAGTTGCTGTCACTCATTGTGGTCAGACATTTGGAACAACATAGAGCAGTGGTTCTCAACCTGTGGGTCCCCAGGTGTTTTGCCTACAACTCCCAGAAATCCCAGCCAGTTTACCAGAAATCTCCAGCACGTCAACGACTTAAATCAAGACATAGTTTTCTTAGATCTACAGAGACACTCGCTGGAACACCCCAGCAAGCGAGAGTCCAAAAGTGGCAGGCCCAAACCCAGCACCTCAATCATGGGTGATACCAGATGAGAGACTCCCCCCTGGGCACACAGAAGACTGGGCGACTTGGAAGGGGCTGAACAGACTGCGCTCTGGCACCACGAGATGCAGAGCCAATCTTAAGAAATGGGGCTACAGGGTGGAATCCTCGGCATGCGAGTGCGGAGAAGAACAAACCACTGACCACCTGCTGCAATGCACCCTGAGCCCTGCCACATGCACAATGGAGGACCTTCTTGCGGCAACACCAGAGGCACTCCAAGTGGCCAGATACTGGTCAAAGGACATTTAACCAACTACCAAATTTGCAAAATCTGTGTGTTTTTTTTCTTTTTCTTTTTAATCTGTGTGTTTGTTTTGCTCTGTTAAAATTGTAATACAATTGTATGGTTGCTGATGACACGATAAATAAATAATACCGGCTGTTAGGATTTCTGGTAGTTGAAGGCCAAAACATTTGGGGACCCACAGGTTGCGAACCACTGTGGTAAACAAAGGGATGTCTGAGAGAGTACCTGACAGGATTATGAAAACCACTGGCATAGAGGATAATTTTGGCCTGGATAGGGTAGGATGTGGACATAGTTTCCTAGTAGCAAGGCCTGTTTTTATGTACTGTACACACTTTTTTCTGGTACGCTTGTCTCCCAAAAATCCTATGCCAGTTGCAACCCTACTGACCTGTCTGGTCTCCACAGGAAGACTTGAAATTGGGAGCCTGTTCTGCCCCACATTGAGCTTGTGAATGCCCAGTATTCCCCCCTATGCAGACTTTATAAATCCCCATGGATCAATTTCAGCAATTAGCTGGGATGAAGCTTGGGAATGCATTAGCAAGGGTAGGGTCCAGTGAGTGCAGACATTTGCTCACACCAGTTACCTCATAATGGGAATGGGCAGAAGGAGATTAGATGAAGGGTCCTAGTGAAAATGTTTTGTTTTCCTTCACATCCATGCCCTTTCAAATATCTCTGTTTGCTATTATGCTCTTCTCCTTAACTATTCCAATCCTTACCACAGTGAAACATAAAAAAAAACTAAGTTAGTTGGCCTAAAAGATGAAGGGTTATGGCACAATGGAGACACTGCCTGACAGATGTGACAGTACTAGGGCAATGTGACAACCAAGGTTATAGTTTGTACGCCCTTTCTTAGAACCCTGCTTTCCCTGCTAACATTTGCTGTCCTTGTCTCCTATATTTCGGCTTCCTATGGCAGCTAGTTTTAACTACAGACATTTCTGCATTTTAAATTGTGTTATTTTATATTATTTTATGTGTTGATAGTGATTGTTTTATCATTCAAAATATTTATTTATTTATTCAAATAGGCATGCATTTGCAAGTGTTTGTCACACAATCACAATACTTTCCATTTATTAGTGTTCCATAATCGTTTCTCAGATAATATATTTCCTTTATTTTTATTTATTTATCGTGTCAGGAGCAGACCAAACAGTTGCGTTGCATTTTTTGACAGACAAACAAACAAAACACAAATTTTGCAAGCTTGGTAGTTGATTAAATGTCCTTTATATTTCACATTTGCAAGTGTTTGTTGCATAAGCGCAATACTTTCCATTTGTTAGTGTTCCATAATCATTTCTCAGATAATATATTTCCCTTATTTTTATTTATTTATCGTGTCAGAAGCAGACCAAACAGTTGCGTTGCATTTTTTAACAAACAAACAACACACAAAGTTTGCAAGTTTGGTAGTTGATTAAATGTCCTTTATATTTCCTTTAAGGAGGCACAATCTACTATTTAAATAATACATACAAAAGTATCATAGACTCTTGCTTAACATCCGCTTCCTACAGTCTTATAGGATCTTCTATATACATTTTTAGTTTTTATAATTTTTATGTGATGTTGTATCATTTACGTTATATACTTCTCTGCAGTGTCTTGTAATTCGCCCCGAGTTTCTTTTGGAGATGGTGGCAGGATATAAATAAAGGTTGTTTTTGTTGTTGTTGTTGTTGTTGTTGTTATTATTATTACTACTACTACTACTACTTTCGGCCTTTCTGGTGATAACTACCCATGGGGGCTATAGTAAAAAGACCCCACTGCTGTTAGGAATTATGGGAGCTGAAGTCCAAAACACTTGGAGGGCCTAAATTTGCCTTTACCTGCCCTAGTGTGAAAAGAAATGTGCCTAACAACTTGGATTGGGGGATGTGACTGAGCAGGAAACCCCTGTAATATTGGCCTGTGTAGTCAAAACTCTTCTAAGTTGAATCTGTTGTTGTGCTTGTTCCCCACCCTCTTCCCTCTTGTACTTCAGAGTCACTTTTCAGTGGGCATCAAAACTCCAGTTTCTATGTCAAATCCAGCATTAGCCCAGATGACCAGTTCTTGATCAGCGGATCCAGTGACCACAATGCCTACATTTGGAAGGTAAGTAGCAAGGATCCCTACCCAGGGTCTGCCACCAACTTTGCTGTTTTATCTCTGTGTTTGTTATGTCTGCAGCGAAAGTGAGAAGTTCCTCACAGGGCTGATGCTGGGTGATGGAGTTCTGGGAGTTGCAGTCAAGAAAAAAAATACTCTGCCTTCTGTGTGGCATGCTGCACATAACTTACATAGCTGTCAAGCCTGAGCATAAGCCTAGATATAAAGCAGAGCCAAATTTCTGCCTTCCTCTTCTCTCCTTGCTGCTGCTTATTTCAAGTTGCTGATCTTAATCTGGTTTTAATGGGTCTATAAAATCCCTCTTCAATTCTATTTATTTGTCTAGCTATGACAAGGTGATAATTTTTGCTTCATATTTAACAGGAATCCACATTCATCAGCGTCTGGTTGATTTAATTGTTTCGATTGTCTCTCGCTTGTTCCTCCCGCACTTTCCCCTGTTTATGGGCCCTTGCATCAGACTTGGGTCTGCTCCTCCCTCCTGCATGCCTGCTCCTGGCTGCTTAATTTCGAAGAGTTAAGACCTCTGCATTATTACAGCAAGGGCTCAGCCAGAGCCTTGAGCAAAATTCCTAAGCGCTGAGTGGCAGCTGAGAAGCTTAGCCGGCATGTTGAGCTGATGTGTGGGGAAAATGCAAATATTTATTATGTTATTTTTTCCACTCTCAAGTATGTTTATTTAGAAATTTTGAGGCCAATCCCATCGAGAATGAAACAAGCAGGATGAAATACTGCTTTCTGCTAAATTACATTTCTGTGTCAAAACTAAAATAATACAATTTGCCGAAAGCTCATCTGTATAAAGAAGGGAAGATTTGCATACTTCTCCAGTAGGCTTCTCCTCTCCCTCAGGGGCTTCTATTATCTTGGTGCTCTGAAAACAAGATGAAGGGGGCACTCATAAGCATTTGGGAACAAAATTAAGGAAGACAGCTGGCCTCTCCAGATAGGGAATTCCTAAGCTTCTTAGAACTACCTTAAAAGCTTGTGTACTGAATTCTAAAAGGCTATTGCCTGGATTCATTCATGTGATTTGCTACATAAATTTGCGTATTTCTTCCCAGTTCACTGTTCCCTGCTAAGAACAGTTCAAACCCTGAGGGAGTGGGGCAGTGGACCCTCCAAATATTCCCGATTGAGGATAAATTGTGATGTCTTGCTAATATCTACTTGATTCTGATGTTGAGTAGAGAAGTGGGAAAGCTGGCTTGTAATTTGTTAGGAACTGTTTCTCTTACTCAGAACTATCAGTATCTGCTGGCAAAGTTACATTAGCAGCCCTAGACCAGTGGTTCTCAACCTGTGGGTCCCCAGATGTTCAACTCCCAGAAATCCTAACAGCTGGTAAACTGGCTGGGATAACTGTAAGTTGTCAGCCTAAACACCCGAGGACCCACAGATTGAGAACCACTGTCTTAGACTGGACACCAACAACACAATGTATGTGGGTTTGTGGTTAGTGTGGAGGGTTGGCAACCCTTTCTGCAATTGCAGTTCATGGTGTACAAATGCAATGCATAGAAATAATGTCTTTTCACAAACTGTTATGTATACTTTACCACATGTATAATGGTCCCACATGAGCAACTTTGCTCATTTATTTTTTTACAGCTTTTTTACCCCATCCGGGGGGGGGGGGCTCAGAGCGGCTAACAAAGGCAGCAATTTGATGCCACAAATCAATCAATAACACAGTATAAAACTTAAATACATACATAGTTAAAACAATAGCAATTAATTATGACCAAATTATCATAACAGTCATTAAAACAATACTCAATCCACAAACCCATTGATAGAAAAATCAAACCGTATCCTCATATATATCATCTTGCCAATCCATTTCCAGTCAAAGTGCTGCTTTATGTTTATTGTCCGAAAGCCTGGTCYCAAAACCAAGATTTTAATTTCTTCCTGAACGCCAGGAGGGATGGGGTCGATCGTATTTCATTTGAAAGCGTGTTCCACAGGCGGGGGGCTACAGCCGAGAAGGCCCTGTCTCTCCTCGCCAGYCGCTTATGGTGCTGTTGGCTTGATAATCACCATTGTGCATTGCCCCAAACGCAAACAGATCAGCAAATCACATTCGAGATGTATAGTGCATCTTAGGTCTGTTTATATCACTAACAAAGGGCTGACTTTTGTCATATGCTCGGTCCTGGGCTATGGCTTTTTGCCTCCATTTTAGACATTGGGACAGTATGGCATTTATTATTTTTCCAAACAATTTTTCACACTTGAGACAGGAGCTAGTTGTAACGACACTACTCTCTTGAATTACTCTTTTTATTTATTTATTTATTTATTTATTTATTTATTTATTTATTTCCTGTATTTATATCCTTACTCTTCTCACCCCAAAGGGGACTCAGAGCGGCCTTATAATCGGCAGCAATTTGATGTCGTATCAATAGACAATAAAAATAAACATTTACATTAAAACAAAAAAGTAAAAAGCAATATAAACATTAAAACACATTATTAAAATCATGCAATCCAAGGACATAGTCAAAGGCCGTTTCGTTCGTTATTGTACATAATTCCACTTCACTTATTGCACTGCACTATTGGCCAAAGGCCCATGCTTTTACTTTCTTTCTGAAAGTCAGGAGGGAGGGGGCTGACCTGATTTCACTGGGGAGGGAGTTCTATAGCTGAGGGGCCACCACTGAGAAAGCCTTGTCCCTCATCCCACCAACTGCACCTGCAAAAGTATCCAAGTATCTGGTTGTATGAAAGAAGTAAGCTTTTGTTACACAGCATAATGCAACAACGTTACTGGGAGTCATGATTTAGGCAGCACCAAAGTATTTGGTACACACATATATATAATTCGCAGTTAATGCAGACTTGTTTCTGTACATGGATTAACTTTTCCAAATGGGATCATCTGTCAGTATCTCAGCCCTTTTCTGTAGGCTGTCCTTTGGCTTCAACTTCTTTTATCGGGAATGTTTTTCTTTTTCCTTCAAAGGCACTGAATAAGGCTTATAATTACATTATAAATAAGGCAATCCAGAGCCAACCTTTTCCCGTTTGTGCCATCTCATAATTCTGAGATGAACATTTTGAGAATGGATAGGTTTTGGGGTGTTTTTTCCTCTGAATTCTACGCACTTTATCCAGATGCAGAGGGCATTTAATATCCCTTCTGAATCTAGATCCAATAGGAAATAAGGTTCTTTTGCCTGCTCTCATTAATAAGGGATTAAGGGATCTTGCTACACTTTGAGAGAAAAATCTGCTAAATGTAAACAAAGGTATTTTCTCTACCAAGAGCTTAGCTGTCTTCCCTAAAAGGGCTTTGGTTTCCATGGTATTGTCTGCTTTGTGAAGGAGGGTGGATTTTAAACAGGACATTGAGGAAAAAATAGGCAAGAAGCAGATCTAAACTTGGAAGGAAAGCCCTCTTAAAATGAGTTGAGCAGACTCAATCAGTCTTCTGTATTCTGCTTAAGGCCTTTATATATAGCTTTCAAGCTGCCAGGGCAAAGAAATGGCTTCTGCAAAAGAACTGGATCAGGCAAAGTGGAGCATCCTTTCATGCCTCTATGCCTTTCATACATCCTTGCGAGCTTCATTTACACACATGGTGAAAAATATGTTAGGCCCGCTTAGTCATCAGTGCAAATCCCCATCAAATATCACATTACGAATAGTGACTCATAGCTTCAGGAAGCAGAGCTTATTGAAAAATAGAAATAGGCATCTGAGATTCTGCTGCATGGGGTTAACTTAGGTTACTCCCCATTCATACTCAGTGTAATGATTCTGAGTGCGTGAAGTAATTTCTTTTCAATTGCTCTTGAACCATTTTGAAAAGCTGCTGCTGGTTTAGCACAAATGTGTGACCAAAACCCAGTCCATGGCATTTATAGAATAGGCATGTGAATTCCAGAAAGAGGAGACCTTGTATCTACGTGGTAGTTACAATAAATAATAATAATAATAAAACTTTATTTATACTCCGCCACCATCTCCCCAAGGGGACTCGGAGCAGCTTACACGAGGCCAAGCCCGACAACACATCAAAAGACAAAAAGCAATAAGCAAATAAAACAATACAATTAATATAAATCACATATAAAACAATAACACGCACGGATTTAAAAAATAAACGCTGGGTGTGAACAGAGGTAGGTTGTATCTGGTAAGAGGGTTTTAAAAGAAATAAAGGGAGGGCAACCCAACGAGTAATTAAAGTGCTTCTGAGGACATTTTACTGGGAATTATTTCCTTATTCGGAGAAGGCACACTGAAACAGCCACGTTTTCAGGCTCCTCCTAAAGACTGCCAGTGTGGAGGCTTGCCTGATATCCTTAGGAAGTGAGTTCCAGAGTCGGGGGGGCCACCACAGAGAAGGCCCTCTCTCTCGTCCCCACCAATCGCACCTGCGAAGGGGACAGGAGCGAGAGCAGGGCCTCTCCAGATGAATGAAGAGATTGCGTGGGTTCGTACACAGAAATACGGTCACGCAGGTAGGCAGGTCCCAAACTGTTCAGGGCTTTGTAGGTAAGAACCTGCACCTTGAATTGGGACCAGAAAATGAACGGCAGCCAATGGAGCTCCTTAAACAGGGAGGTTGACCACTCCCTGTAAGTCGCTCCAGTTAGTAACCTGGCTGCCGCCTGTTGTACCAACTGAAATTTCTGAGCCGTCTTCAAGGGCAGCCCCACGTAGAGTGCATTACAGTAATCCAATCTGGAGGTGACTAAGGCATGGACTACCCTGGCCAGATCCGACTTCACGATGTACGGTCGCAGCTGGTGCACGAGAATCATAGCGTTGGCAGAGACTACCAGGGCCATTCCAGCACTGTTGACAGTCCAGCCTCTGTTTAAAACCTCCTGCCCAACAACTATCAGGAAGCTTTTCCTAATGTTTAGGTGGAATATCTTTTCTTACAATTTGAACCCACTTCTCTGCACCCTAGTCTCCAAAGCAGATGAGGCCTGACCAAAGCAAAATAGAATATCTATCTAGATACTATACTCCTCTATTTTTGGACTATATCTCCCAGAATGCCCCAGCCTGCTAAGCCACTGGCTATGCAGGCTGTGGGTTTCTGGGAGGCACACAGTAAGAAGTAACTTTTCCAGTCTCTGATACAGGGAGTGATCTTTCATCTCCTTTGTCATGCTCCTCTATAATGGGTGTATATTGTATTGTCTCCTGTCCGTACGAAGGATTGTCACTACTACTCCATTCATGAGTCTCCTTTACAGATATGTAGGTTTTTTTCTTTATCTCATCCTGAGTTTTTATCATTGTATTTTAACATGTGGCCCGCTCCTTGTGATTGTGTTTGATTTTCTATTGTATTATTTTGTATTGTTTTGTTATATTTTATACTTGTCTTGTTTTATTTTAATATATTGCCTTATGTTTTTTGTTACTGTATTGTAATGCATTTCTGGGCTTGGCCTCATGTAAGCCGCCCCGAGTCCCCTTTGGGGAAATGCTGGCAGGGTATAAATAAAGATTATTATTATTATTATTACAGAGAGCCACAAATCCCGCACTCGTATTATAGAAGAAACAAGGTTTAGCATAGCCAACAAAAAACCTCTTGTAATTGCATTTCTAAATAACTGCCAGATAGAATACTTCTCCCTTCCTATTTTGCATGGAGTCATTGCAAGCAGGTCTAGCTGCGGGGCCTGTTCTAAATTTATTGTGCTCAAAACAGCAAGGGCTGTCAAAGGGTGTTGGAGTGACCTGTTAAGGCTGTATGTAGTCCTCTGCATGTACTTGGAAGCAGGTTTCACTGGACTCTCCCAGATGCAGTTGTGTTGTAATTTTCATTTAGAGAGAAATTTGAATGCATGCTGTGTAACATGGAATCTGCTACAGAACTGGGCATCAAGAGGACCTTTGCCACATTTCTATGCCTCATTGTCTTTGAGCAGGATTTGCAAATGTGCTGGTGGATCAGCTGACTTTCAGACCAGCAAAATGGGCTTCCAAGGGGATTTTGTATTTTGTAACTCGTTGGATTCTACCTTGCTCAAGAAATATTCTCGAAAGCACATGTTTCACTGCTGAAATTAAGCAGCTTCAGTGCTGTAAGCTCTCTTGATGGAATCCTGTCTGCGAGCCAAAGGGAAGCCGCTCTGAACTCTTCTGTATTAGAGCAGGGCACATAAATGTGATTGAAAGCCCCCTCTTCCCACATACTTGTTCCCTTCCTTCATCTGGATCTTCTAGAATGTTTGCAAGGAGGAAGATGGCATGTGATGTACAGGCAGTCCCCAAGTTACAAACAAGATAGGTTCTGTTGGTTTGTTCTTAAGTTGAATCTGTATGTAAGTCAGAACAGGTACATTCTTAAATGTAACTCTACCCCCCCCCCCCCCATATATAGTGGTTTTGATAGCATAGGGAAGGGTTAACTCTCCTGTGGTGCTGCCAGCACAAGGGTTTAATCCTTAACACCACCGGAGGCTCAGATAAGGGATGATCAACCTGTATTGTAGTTACAGATTGCTTGTAAATAGAGGGATGTTCTCCTTGATCAAAGTGGATTTTTTGTTTCTACCTTCAGCAATAGCTGGAGGCCTTGATACACAAGCATCTTACCTGATATATTTATTCCATAATGTTTCTTCCATTGCCTTCAGGGGCATTGGTTGCTTCTGATACTTAGTCTTATTTTTTGGTTTCCAGGTGTCTGAGCCCCATCTTCCTCCCATGATGCTCCATGGTCACTTGCAAGAAGTCACCTCTGTTGCCTGGTGTCCATCGGACTTCACCAAGGTTTGCTTCCACATTCCAAATGTTGTGTTTATGTTGTGTTTGTGTTTATCTCTTGTCACTGGAATTCTAGAAACTTTACTAATAAAAGCAATTCGAGCACCTGCTATTAAAGCATGGATAGCCAATCCTGAGGGCCCCCTGGGGGCGCAAGGGGTTAATCCGCTGAGCTGCTGCACTTGCTGACTGAAAGGTTGGTGGTTCAAATCCAGCCCCAGCTTCTGCCAACCTAGCCAATCCTTTCCCAGTAGACCCAGTGCTGCCAATAAAGCCATATACAGCTTAAATCCACAGCTTAAATCCACTTAAATCCACAGTATCTGAAAGATTATATCTCCCTGTATGAACCGTCCAGTCTTACAGTTCTCAAGAAAGGGCTTTTTCCTGGCCCCACCACCATAACAGACCTTTAAAAATATGGGTGGGACGCTGTAGCTTTGCCTTGCTATCCAACCATGGGCAACCAGTATCTTCCAATCTTCCCTTTGCCCTTGTGGAGTTAATACGTATTTAACTGCTTCACAGGGATGTTATGAAGACTGCTGAGCAAATATGCACTGCTTTTTATAGAAACAATAAAATGTTTTTAAATCAATTACAAAATGTAACTAGTATAAATCAGATACAAACCCCATAATCTGTAAAAGCAGCAGGAAACATAAACAGTAACTACAGTCAGCATCTCAGTAGCGCAAAGGCATCCCAGCTAGCTATTAGAACCAGATGTTATAGGTCAAAATCAATTGGAATTGTGCCCCATAGTGCCATGTTTCATTCTTTTTAATCCTGTCAAATTCTCTGGAATTTTAAGTTGAAACATAATTTATAAATCAGTTGCTTAAAAATGATAAAAGCCGTTTGGGTGGTTTTATGATCCTGCTAGTGCAGAGTGGAAAGAGCTGTAGGTTGTAATTTCACCTGATTTTTGATTGAAATGGGGTGTCACTTCCCTTAAAATCCATGGTGAGCGAGCCTGAGATTTTCAGTGAAATAAAAGAGCTCTGAGGTTGCCTCCCTGGTATGTACCAGCTTCAGAGTCTCCACGCTTTTGCTGCTCACAGAATCAGCATGTATTATCCTTTAGGAAGTGCAGCATTTCCCAGTTGACTCTTATTTCCTGTTTTGCAGATTTCCACATGCTCAGATGACAACACCATAAAGATTTGGCGCTTAAAACAGCACTCTGCGGAAGAAACCCAGCCAGAAAAGAGTAGCTTGGTTGGTTGGGCCTGCCAGAAGAAAGTGGAAGGGCAAAATGGAACTGGTAAGATCATCTGAGGAGCTTGAGAAATTTTCTACTCTGGGGCCAGTAATGGAACAGAGACATAATGTATATTCTGTTCAAATGTAGCTCAAGTGGCACTAACATGAAAGTGGCACATGTGTAAGGATGATATCTGACAGTTTGTGAGATACAACCCTAGCCTGCGGCTAATTTTCGTCACGTTTACCTCCTGAAACACACATGGCTGATTCAGATGGTCAGGTTAGGAGTGCAGGTGAAACAACAAAGTGTCCTCAATGAATTCTTTTAAAGTATGGTAGCAGCCTTGAGTGTTGAAAGGTTGTGGAGATACGTAAGGAGAATAATGCTCTTCATTGGGCACTATAGAGGTCAGCCTATTACTTCAAGGCATTGCAGTAGGCATTTTAAAATCTAGGGTGTGGTGAAGGATGTGTTCAAAATAATGGCATGGAGAGAATAGATAAAAGTTTAACTTGAACAGTGGCAAGTACAGGAACAATTCATTATTTATTTATTACATAAATAAATAAATAAATAAATTTGAATCCCTTGGGGGGACTCAAAGCGATGCACATCAAATAAATGGTAAGAATTCAATACCTCGCATACAATAAAAAACAGTATATCACAAATTTACAACAACATATAGCTATAAATTAAATCATTAAAACTATAAATGTGTTCTCAAAGGCTTTCATGGCCAAAATCACTGGCTTCCAGAAGCATTCTCTCCTGACGTTTCACCAACATCTATGGCAGGCATCCTCAAAGGTTCTGAGGTCTGTTGGAAACTAGGCAAGTGGGGTTTCTATATCTGTGGAATGTCCAGGGTGGGAGAAAGAACTCTTGTCTGTTTGAGGCAAGTGTGAATCTGAAGTGTGAAGCCTTGTAGCTTCAAAGCTTGGCTGCTTCCTGCCTAGGAGAATCCTTTGTTGGGGGGGGTTAGCTGGCCCTGATTGATTCTTGTCTGGAATTCTCCTGCTTTTTAAGGCTTGTCCTTTATCTACTATTTTGATTTTAGATGGTTTTTTAAATGCTGGTAGCCATATTTTGTTCATTTTCATGGTTTCCTCCTTTCTGTTAAGAGATTGTCCACATGCTTGTGGATTTCAGTGTCGTCTTAGTGTAGTCTGACATGGTCGTTGTTAGAGTGGTCCAGCATTTCTGTGTTTCTGCCTGTTCCCCAGGCAGGAAGCAGCCAAGCCTTGAAGCTGCAAGGCTTCACACTTCACATTCACACTTGCCTCAAGCAGACAAGCGTTCTTTCTCCCTACTGAATATTCTACTTGCCTAGTTTACAACAGACCTCACAACCTCTGATAGGATGCCTGCCAAAGATGTGGGCTAAACGTCAAGAGAGAATGCTTTTAGAACATGTCCATACAGCCCGAAAAACTCAGAGCAACCTGAATGAGTTTAATTTATTTTCTTTAACATATTTAATTAGAATCTATTTAAAAGGTAATATAATTCTCAAATAGAGTAATAATTATGGATGAGGTCTGATAAATAATTTAACATATCTACAGCCTCAAGATTTCACTGTTTATTCAACTGATGCCTCCAAGTCCTGTTCTGGAGGTAACGTAATGAGCTTTAGGAGCAAGGAGATGAAGGAGGAGCCCTGCTATATGGCTCGAGGATTGTTCACTCGGCCCTGGATGGAAGCCAGTTGGAACTGGAACAAGTCTTCGTAACAGCTTTTGTGCACACAAAAGTCCTGAAGGGTGGCACCTGTTCTGCAGGAAAGAGAATGTTTGGCTTTGCGTAAATGAAAAGAGATCTGCTATGTTGCTAAATTGAAAACAAAAGTGCCCCGCGAGGTATTAAATTCTCTACCAGGTTGGTTAAAGAGCTCCTAAAGTTTCACATGCCTCCGTCGCAAGGAACTCCAGACCACTATAAAAGTAAAAGTAATACATTTTGTGTGTGTAGTTATCTTTAAAGCGCTCATACTTAGTGAGGATTTCTTTCGGGACAGGCGTGTGTGTATTTATTACTGTTCCAAAACAATGCAACGACAAGGAATGTAAACTTTAAATACAGTTTCCCAGTCCAGACTGTCTTGTATATAATAGTAAAGCCATATTTATCCAAATCCCTCTGGGTAGGACATAGAATGGTTTGAATAACAGGAATGTTAGTTATCTTGTAATCTCGGGATGGTTCCAAGCTAAGAGCAGACAACCTTTTTCTGCCCCACCCCTTCTCTCCACTGAAAATCCACAAGCCTGGAAATAATGAGGAGCCTTAGGGCAATTGCACAGATTTAACTGCCTCCTTAGCTTGTGCCCCGCTGATCCTTCTGTTGTAATTTCAAGGGTTTATGTTGTTAAACTGTAACTTAAAATTCTAAAATTCCGCCGTGAGTAGGATTATTGCAGATTTACATGGCTAGTTTATTTTGTAAACTGCTCTCAGTGGGGCCATTTGCGTTTTGCACTGTAAGAACAAGAGAAATGGATGCTGGAGGATCTTTCATTTGCAGGCCGCAAGGGGGGAAAGGAGAAAGATGGAGGGGGAATGGGATCAGAAAGAACACGTGTTGAGTTCTGGCCACAAGTGGAGGGTTTGATTTTTTTTTTCTGTGTTGTAGTTTCTTAGGCGCAGTGGCATAAATGGTGCCACAAGAGTATTCAAGACAGTGGCCTTTAGTTGCAAAGAAAGGAAAGATGAGGATAGTAGCAGGTACTCAGGAACTGGGGATCGGGCTTGTTGGAAATAGCAACTTCCCAAGTCTTTCACTATTCATTTGCTAATGTATATATTTACTAACTGTATTCTATGCATATGTTGATTTGCCAGTTTGACTGTACCTCTTTGGTGTGAGAGAAGTTATAGACGTGATTATACTGTGGATGTTTAGACTCAGGACTCCATTTTGTATTAAGTTTGCATCAGACCGCAATGGAGGTTATTTATCATATCAGAAGTGAACTGAGGGTACAGTTGTAATGTATTTAAAAGACACAAACTTTAAAAAAAACTTGGCATTGTGCTAAATGTCCTTTGACCAGTAGCTGGCCAGTTGGAATGCCTCTGGTGTTGCTATAAGAAGATCCTCCATTGTGCAAGTGGCAGAGTTCAGACTGCATTGTAATAAGTGGTCTGTGGTTTGCTCTTCTCCACACACGCATGTCATGGACTCCACTTTGTAGCCCCATTTCTTAAGGTTGGCTCTGCATCTTGTGATGCCAGAGCCTTCCAAGTCGCCCAGTCTTCTGTGTGCCCAGGAGGGAGCCTTTCATTCGGTATCAGCCATGGGGTGAGGTTCTGGATTTTAGCCTGCCACTTTTGGACTCCCGCTTGCTGAGGTGTTCTTGCGAGTATCTCTGTAGATCTTGGGAAACAATTTCTTAATTTAAGGCGTTGGTGTGCTGGCTGATATCCGAACAGGATGGATGCATATATATGTTTGGTTTTCAATAAAAGCAGGTTGCTGTTAGGACTTTAACGGAAACAATATGACTATGGACTTCAGTTAGTACAAGTATACTTAAAGACTATGGACAATTGATTAAGAATGATACCCTGTGTACTCAACACAAAGTCTATCTGTAATTGAACTTTAATAAGAAATGTGCCCGTATGGTAAATTAATGCAAGTTGTTTACGAGTAAGCACAATATATTATTTTTCAAAGAAGTCTTTGGTTTTTATTTCTGAGTGTGTATTTTAACTAAGAGGTTTCAAGGGAGTGTGTATCTTTTGGGCAATTACAACTGCAAAGAAACAACCATGCTCTGCTAACCAAATATATTTTTGCAGTGGCATGTCTTTATCCTTGGCAGTTTAAAGACAAAGTTATTCAGTTTAGCAGCTGAGTTACCTGTGTGCCATTACATGAATGCTTATAAATTCTAACAAGGTCATACTTTTCTTGATTAGTGGTCTTCAAACGTGGTCTCCACATGTTCATGGAGATTCATGACATCGTATTGTCGAAGGCTTTCATGACTGGAATCACTGGGTTGTTGTAGGTTTTTTTCAGGCTATATGGCTATGTTCTAGTGGCATTCTTTCCTGACGTTTCGCCAGCATCTATGGCAAGCATCCTCAGAGGTAGTAAACAACCTCATTACCTCTGAGGATGCTTGCCAGAGATGCAGGCAAAACATCAGGAGAGAATGCCACTAGAACATGGTCATATAGCCCGAAAAAACCTACAACAACCCAGATGTGACATCATTTTTACCTTTTCAATAAAATTATGGTGCAGTTATTTCCAAGAAGTTATGGAGTTTCCAATAGGGCTTGTGGTCATACAGGGACTGAAGTCACTTGGCCACTTGGAGTGCCTCTGGTGTTGCGCAAGGAGGTCCTCCATTGTGCATGTAGCAGGGCTCAGGTTGCATTGCAGCAGGTGGTCAGTGGTTAGCTCTTCTCCACACACGCATGTCGTTGATTCCACTTTGTAGCCCCATTTCTTAAGGTTGGCTCTGCATCTCGTGGTGCCAGAGCGCAGTCTGTTCAGCGCCTTCCAAGTTGCCCAGTTTTCTGTGTGCCCGGGGGGGGGGGGGGGGGGGGGGGGGGGTCTCTCATTTGGTATCACCCATTGATTGAGGTTCTGGGTTTCAGCCTGCCACTTTTGGACTCTCGTTTGCTACTGCTAAGACCTACTGAGAGAACAGTGGAAACTGCATGGAGCTAGAAGGCTGGAATTTATTATCTACGTTTTTCCTCTTGTGGGGCTCAAACCAGCTGATAGGGTGGCCAACGCCTTCTCTAACTGTGCTTTTACCCTCCCAGTTGGCCTCTTTTCAGCAGAGGATTCCCTTGCCATCAAAGGAGTCACATGCAGGAAGCTTGCAGAACAATAGCAGAGGACGTGCCAGTTCTCTTTCTTGCTGTGTATATCTTTTATCCGCACGCACCATTGTCCTCTTTGGGAGCCTGTGCTTCTTTTTTTTCCTTTTCCTTTTTTAAAATGTTCCCTACATCTATAAATACAGAAAATGGTTATTTAATCTCGCTGCTTGAAAACTGTCAGTAGTGTGAGCGGTTGGTCTTTACAGTCAAAGCTGACACTTCTGTTAGGTAAAATGTCATACCTCCTCGTTCGTTCTGCTTTGAGGCAGCCGACAAATGGAAAAGGAAGTGCATGAACCTCACAAGCGCTAGCAGGTTTCCGGCTGACCTTGTCTTTTTGAACACACAACATGCTCAATGTGCCCTCTGATTCACTGCTGTCTTAACCAAGCGCTTTTTCAGGGAGAGTCTAAATAAGAATGTGCATCTACAAAGGTCCCTACCCACTTCAATGGCATAAAATTATGGCAGTGTCACTAGGTGAAAACAACTAATCCGATTGTAATGCAGTTATTTTCTGGAGCCGTGCCTGTGTGCAGGCTTAGTTAAGTAGGCTACTTCGCTCTTTCTTGCCTTCCATAACCCAATTCTTTATCAGGAAGCAAAAGTTCTTCAACAAGACACCTGTTTCAATCAGTCCTGGAGAACACAACTTGGAATAACGGGTTCAAATTACGGGAAAGAAAATTCCACCTGAACATTAGGAAGATCTTCCTAACCATAAGAGCTGTTCAGCTGCCATTGGGGAGATGATGGCGGGGTACAAATAAAGTTTTTTATTATTATATTATTATTCAGCAATAGTCTGCTCTGGAGTGTGGTGGAATCTTCTTTTCTGGACGTTCTTCAGCAGAGGCTGTTGATGGTAATTTGATTGTGCTTTTCCTGCATGACAACGGGTTCAACTAGATCAGTGTTTCTCAACCTTCCTAATGCCACGACCCCTTAATACAGTTCCTCATGTTGTTGTAACCCCCAACCATAACATCATTTTTGTTGCTAATTCATAACTGTAATTTTGCTACGGTTATGAATCATCATGTAAATATCTGATATGCAGGATGTATTTTCATTCACTGGACCAAATTTGGCACAAATACCTGATACGGCCAAATTTGAATACTGATGGGGTTGGGTCGGGGGTGAGAATTGCTTTCGTCACTTGGAAGTCATAATTTCTGGGATTTATAGTTAACCTACAATCAAAGAGCATTTTGAACTTCCCCAATAATGGAATTGAACCAAACTTGGTGCACAGAACTCCCATGACCAACAGAAAATGCTGGAAGGGTTTGGTGGGCATTGACCTTGAGTTTTGGAGTTGTAGTTCACCTACATCCAGAGAGCACTGTGGATTCATTGATGGATCTGGACCAAACTTGGCACAAATACTCAATAATATGCCCAAATGTGAACACTGGTGGAGTTTGGGGAAAATATACCTTGACATTTGGAGTTGTAGTGTGGCTGGGATTTATAGTTCACTTACAATCAAAGAGCATTCTGAACCCCACCAACAATAGAATTGGGCCAAACTTCCCACACAGAGCCCCCATGTCGAACAGAAAATACTGTTTTCAGGTGGTCTTTGGTGACACCCCCCTCGCAACCTCCCCCCCCCACAAGTGTCCTAGCCCCAGGTTGAGAAATGCTTGACTAGATGGTCTGTGTGGTCTCTTCCAGCTCTATGGTTGTAAGACCACCTTAATTTAACCCCAAAAACTATGCATAATTACTAGCATTTTCCAAAAACTCGTATTACTTGATAATGGCATAGGGAAAGTCTAGCCCTCCTGGTGATATTGGACTGCAGTTCCCAACAGCATTAGCCAACATAGCCAGTAGTGAGAAATGGTGGAAACTGCAACTGTACTATGTCCACCTTTGCCATATGATGAGTGGAAATTCGGTCCTGTCAGAAATATTAAAAATTAACTGGGTATTTTTGATTACAAAAGTGTGAGTCAAGCACTGAAAGAGTTGGTAGGCCGAAGCGTGCTAGAGTCAGTGGGCCAGAGCTAGTGTCGGCCTGAGGAGAGGGAGTAGGCCGAAGCCTTTTAGGGTCAGTGGGCCAAAGTTAGTGTCGTCCTGAGGAGAGTGAGTAGGCTGAAGCCGGTTAGTGTTTGTCTGCCTCAGTGAGGGAACTCCTCAGTCTGTGTGAGGAGGCTTCTCTGTGAGGTAGGCCTCAGTATGAGGAAGGCCTGATATTAGAAGGGCCGATATGAGAGAAGCCTCATGTGAGAAGTCTCCAGTGTGAAGGCTGCTGCATGCAAAGCTACTATGTACTTGTTTATTTGTGTTATGGAAACCTAGTTATTGTAAATATTACAACTATATTATTTTACTACAAAGGAAAGCCTCCTATGGAAGAGATAAATTGGTCTGTGCGTTTTTGTTCTTTTTTAACACTTTGGGCTACTTGTGCTGGGTCACGCTGCTGCTAAGAAATTACTCTGCTGTATATTTATGAGGAGGGTCTTTTATTAATAAGCCCACTCGCCCAACTAGTAAACAAAGTAATATGTGACCTGCCTTTTCCTCATAAATGTTTTGGTTGCTTTTATGCACAGTGGAGGATACCATCCTGTTGACTGTACTGTAGTAAGGTTGACTTACCCACCTGGTCACCTTCTCTGCATGGAGTAAGATGTGGGTGGGAGAGTTGCCAGTTTTACCTCAGACACCTGATATGTGAAGCACTGACATTTTATGCCATTCAGTTGTCCTTTAAGCGTAACCTTGCTTTATTGATGCTTGCCATACATGGTCCTCAACTGGGTGTATGCTTTTTTTTTTTTTCATTTTTAGGAGCTCTGAGGAAAAGGCACAATACTCCTGCCAAAGTGCTGCCAGCGGGAAGCCCGCCCATTTCTTCACCCCAACCTGCCGCTTGTGCTCCAGCTTACACAGGAGACCTTCCTCTTCCCACCAACACGCCCACATGGTCTTTAGTCAACACCTCGGCCTCCACTACAATGACCTCTGTTCCGTCAAGGCAGCAGATGGAAGGCACTTCGCCCAAACTGACACCTCCTTCAGCGATGTCCATAAGACAGTGGGTTACCAAAACTCCAAGTTTGTCTCCTCCTTTGAAAGGAAAAGAAGTGCTGTCTCCACAACAAGAACTTTCTGAACCCACATTTGTTTCCAAATCAACACACTTGAGGTCTGAAGTGCGAGCCAAGAGGAGGCTAGAATCAAGCAAGGAAGTCAATGCAAAGTGCCTGAAAAGCTGCAACTGTGTGGCCGAGCTTCATCCAGTCTCTAAAAAATCTAGACTGGAGCAGGATACTTTGGTGGATTCAGAGCCTTGTGAGGAAAAGTGCCTGACCCTTGGCAGATTAGCCCAAAGCACTGAGAGTCTGGCGAAGGATCCTCCTCCTGCTTCTGGAAGCCCTTGCTCTTCTGCAGGCGCCCAAAGCCTTTCTCGCCTCCTCAAGGCCTCCTGTGATGAAATGACTGACAAGGAGAATGGCTGTCCTGACAGAAGAAACTGGCTGTCTGCTTTGGGGAATAAGTTACAGACTAACAAATCTAAAAGCCCAAACGGAGCAGGCAGCAAAATTCAGTCATTGCAGAATCTGGGTGCAAGACAACCGGAAAGCAGGACAGGAGGACCTGTAAGTAAATTCACTACCTAATGGCCTTTTGCTAGTTTACTTCAGCTTTGTTAGTTTAATTTCTACGTAACATAAACGCTGTATTTTAAAATTCTACTTACTGTATTTCTTCACTTCTAATATTGGGGATAATAGATGGACCATGACCTGTTAGGTTTGCAACCCATCAGGGATAGCAGAGTTTGAGAGGAGACAAATTTCAGCTTGGTCGAGGTACTTATGGGTTCCAAGCAAGTTCAACGGATGATGCTGGATGATCTTATGTGATGCTTTAGGCAAGCAAAGATTCAAGCAGACTTCTTTTAGAATAGTGTTTCTCAACCTGGGGGTTGGGACCCCTGGGGGGGGGAGGGTCACAAGGGGCTGTCAGAGGGGTCACCAGAATCCATCAGAAAATACAGTATTTTCTGTTGGTCATATGGGTTCTTTGTGGGAAGTTTGGCCCAATTCTATCATTGGTGGGGTTCAGAATGCTCTTAGGTTGTAGGTGAACTATAAATCCCAACAACTACCACTCCCGAATGTCAAAGTCTATTTTCCCTAAACTCCACCAGTGTTCACATTTAGACATATTGAGTATTCGTGCCAAATTTGGTCCAGATCCATCATTGTTTGAGTCCACAGTGCTCTCTGGATGTAGATGAACTACAACTCCAAAACTCAAGGTCAATGCTCACCAAACCCTTCCAGTATTTTCTGTTAGGTGTGGGAGTTCTATGTGCCAAGTTTGGTTCAATTCCATCATTGGTGGAGTTCATAATTCTCTTTGATTGTAGGTTAACTATACATGACAGCAACTATAACTCCCAAATGACAAAATCAATCCCCCCCCCCCCACCTCACCAGTATTCAAATGTGAGCGTATTGGGTATTTGTGCCAAATTTGATCCAGTGAATGAAAATACATCCTGTAAATTGTAATTTACATTACAATTCATAACAGTAGCAAAATTACAGTTATGAAGTAGCAACAAAAATAATTTTATGATCAGGGGTCACCACAACATGAGGAACTGTAATAAGGGGTCATAGCATTAGGAAGGTTGAGGAACACTGTTTTAGAATAACAGTGTTTGTTTACTTATAACGTCTTGCACCCAGTTATACAGGCACATTTCTTTTGTGGGTTAAAATACTTCAGAAACATTTGGAGAGTTTGTATTTTAAAAATTTTCAACTTTAACTGTTTCTTCACGAACTATGCTGCTCCACACAGTTCTCCTCAATAAGAGTTCACTTTAAAAGTAAATAGAAGCCTCAACAATTTACTAGCTTCTAACATTAGCTTCTGCACACTAAGAAACTTCTAGCTCCAGCAGACATTCTCTAACAAGGCTCAAGGCTCAATAGTGGTTGCTAGCAGTTATTCCTTTTAATACTGAACATTCTAAATCATCGGTCACATGATTGCAGCCCCTCCCACTGCTTCAATAGAAAGAGAAGGTAACTGCAAACTACAAGCAAGACATATACTTCATGTTCCAAAATACTACAAAATAGACAAACATCACATAAAGGAGGCTTGAGAGATTGCATTCTCCAACATCTAAGATGCACTTTTTTCCTATATAAAAATTTCTAAAAATAGAATTGCAGGTGCATTTTATGGATTTTGGTGGTGGTATTGGTGGCACTGGAATTAGTATGTGTCCTACAATCAATGGTGTCTTAGAATTGAAAAAATACGGTATATGCTTTGAAAATTACATGTTTAAAATGGAATATAAGACAGAAATGGTTACGAGAACAAATTAAACCTGAGCTATCCCTAGAAGCCAAAATGATTACTTAAGACTATGATAGCTTGGACTTATCATAAGATAACATCACACATTGGAAAAGGAGATAATGATGGGTAAAATGGAAGGCAGTAGGAATATAGGCTGACCATGCTACTGGTGAATGGAGTCAATTAAGCAAGTGACAGCCTCTCTCTAAGATGAAGCCAACTTGATGACAGCTAACAGCACATTTCAAATCAAATGGATATAATTAGTAGGCATTTTCACAATTTTAAACTCATTTGTTTTTCCTACCTACTCTTAAGCTTACAAAGGGCAAGAAGTATGACAGAGCAGTGATAGGGATGATGGAACAGTGCTGAACCAAGACTAGCAAAACTTGGCTTGCCCAGTATATTGGTATTAAAGTCTCCACAATCACACAATGTTGGTCATGTTTGGTGGGAGCTGGTCTAAGAGCACTTCCACACAACCATATAACCCAGAATATCAAGGCAGATGATCCACAATATCTGCTTTGAACTGGGTTATCTGAGTCCACACGGCCATATAACCCAGTTCAAAGCAGATAATGTGGGATTTTATATAGCTGTGTGGAAGGGGCCTGAGACAGCTGAAACTTCCCCCAATGAACTAAAGAAATTAGGCTGGTTGAATGTCCTTTTTGGAAACATCCAAGGTGGTTTAGAAAATGCCAGGCACAGACAAAGTTAATCTTTAGCCCAACATAATCTATAGCTCAGAATGGTTTATATGTTTCAGGATGCCTTCTCATTCTGTTTTTTTCCTTTACTTCTCTGGTGCAGCAATGCAATCTGTACCAATAGATACACAAGGGACTGGAGCTGAGCTGTGAAAAGTGAAAAGAAACCTTTTTATAGCAGGGCTCCTGTATTTTAATCAGTATTAGGAAGGGTGCTGGGAAACACAGGTTTCTCTGCCTTTGGAGATCAAACACAGACAAGGCTCCTGCTCTCTATGTAGTTCAGTTTCTTTGGAGATTTTTTTTATATGTAAGTAAAAATGCAGCACTGATACCTTGATCTGTCCAACAGCAACTGCAATAATGATATTTTCTTCCTATCATTTATCTGAATATATTCTTTAAAAGGCTGCTGCTTTTTGAAAAGTCCTCTGAGCAGTAGTGGCAATACACAGCTCATGCTAGGCCTTTGCCAGGGGCATTTCTACAGAGCTGGACAGCAGAATGTGGGCATTGCCCTCCAATAATAATAATCACCATCATCATCTGCTCTTCTCCCCTAGGAGAATCAGAGTGGATTGCAGCATATATAAATAGATACAGGCAAACATTCATTGCCTTGTTGCAGTGAAATACAATGAAACATAACACAGACAAAGGCAAAGGCTTCTCCTTTCATTTCTGGCTCTGGGGGCGGTGTTCAACTCCAGCTCTGGGGGAGAGGTCTTAATCTCAATTTCCAAGTCAAGCATCTTGCATTGCCCATAAACCTTCCTGGTCATGTGGCTGGCATGACTACATGGAGCATCTTTTGCCTTTCCTGCTGAAGTGGTACCTATTGATCTACTCACATTTGCATGTTTTCGAACTGCTAGGTTGGCAGGAGCTAGGTCCGGCAGCGGGAGCTCACCCCGTCCTGCGCTTTTGAACTGGCAACCTTCAGGTCAGCAGTTCAGCAGCACAAGAGTATAACTCACTTGCCACTGTGGCTCCTTTTTTCCTTGTGTTTTAATTTTTAGGTGCTGAAAACTGTTTACACTTAAAATTCATATATTTGCTGTCTTTGTATTCCTTGATAACTTTACCAGCCCCTTTTCTTTGCTAGACCCATTTTAAAATGTTCAGTGCAAGATTTGACTTATTATAATAGTAGAGAACTGGGAAGCAGAATTCTTACCTGAGGAAATCGTGCCTTCATTATAATACACTGCCCAGTAGCTACACCCCAACCAAACCTGGCATCCTTTAGCTGTTTAGGACTAAAATGGTACTTGAGGTAGTGTTGGAGCCCCTGGTGGTGCAATGGGATAAATCCTTATGATGGCAGGACTGCTGATTGAAAGGTCCTGCTGATCGGGAGCTCCCATCTGTCAGCTCCAGCTTCTTGTGGGTACATGAGAGAAGCCTCCCATAGAATGGTAAAACATCCTTGCAGACAGCCAATTCTCTCACACTAGAAGCAACTTACAGTTTCTAAAATCGCTTCTGACAAGAAAACAACAAGGGTAGTGTTGGGAATTGTAGTCCACACTATGGGGCAGACAGGGTAGATCAGTGGTTCTTAACCTGTGGGTCCCCAAGTGTTTTGACCTACAACTCTCAGAAATCTCAGCCAGTTTACCCCTTGTTAGGATTTCTGGGAGTTGAAGCCAAAACTTCTGGGACCTACAGGCTGAAAACTTCTGAGGCAGATGAAGGGATTTGCTGGTAGGTCTTTTGGGGATTTGCAATAGATTTTAAAGGGCTCGCACTGTTTAGCAGGCAAAGTGTCGGTATGAGACCACATGTGGTGCCCCCCAAGACTATAGAGAGGCTGGACCCCTCCAAATTTAAATAGGTTGCAGGAGTCCCTGCGCTATTAAACATTAAAACAATACCCATTTTCCAAAACCAGAAGTTTCCAGTTTTGTGAGGTGGAGTCTGGTTTCTGTCATTTTTGGTAGTTCTTATGGCCCACATAGGGCCCTAAGGGCAAAAAACTGGTTGCTGGACCTGTTAGAGGTCTTGTTTAACAGCAGCAACAAAAAACAACACAATTTCCCTTGTCCTTTTATTAGGCTTGGAATAAATATAAATAAATACGTGCTTGGAGGAAAAGGCAGATTTTTTTTCTAGTGTGAAAGAGCTTCAAACCTCGGCCCTCCAGGTGTTTTGGACTTCAGCCCTTTGTATCTGACTCAGTATTTTTTATGTTCCACAGATCTCGGCTACTTCTGTGCCCATGAGGAAGATTTGTACATATTTTGAGAGAAAATCACAGAAAAACTGAAGATAACCATCCTTCTCTATGAGTCCTCATGCTGTAACACACTTTGAAATATGATGAATATATTTTGCATCACCCATGAAGAAACACAAGTGTCCTTGGATCTTAGTTAAAATGATTACTTCCTTGGTTATGGTTTTGTTTTGTTTTGTTTTGTTTTGCTCACTCATTGCATTTAATTAGTTAGAAAGACTAACAAGAGATGCATTTCTTTATAGATATAAAGAAATTAATACATTTTTAAAATATGAACTTTTTACAAAACTCAACAGAAAATCAATTTTAAAGCTATTTTTCTTTTTAATTTGAAAAGAAATTTTGCTATATCCATTGGAATGGTGTTGATTTCAAACACAAAGCCAGCATCCCACCTATAAAAGGATTTATCAGAGAAGACATTGACTTTAATCTGTTTCCTTTTAAAAGAAGTGTTTATAGTTTGTACAACACAGTGTCCCTTTGTTGCAACACTGTAAAAGTACCTTGTTTTCTTTCAAATATAAAGGTTTTTTTAAAAAAAAAACAGTGCAGTGAATTTTCCCATTCATTTCTAGACATGAGACAACAGGAGATGGGTGGGGGAAATATGTTGTGTACCCGAGATGTATGTTATCTCTACTTTGAAGCATCACTTGAAGGACTGGCTAAGCCAGACCACGGCCATCCCACAGTTCAAAGAGGTGTGAAAGGAACACGAATATATTGGAACATGATGTACTCTGGGTGGAAGAATTTAGCTTTAGTAATTATTTCACATGAGCTACTTTCCTTGCACAGTAGAAACCACTCAAGCTCCCAGTTTCCATTCTGGGGATCTGGGGTTATTTTCCAGCACTCAGGATTACAATTTTGTACAGATTCAGTGTGAGTTAATCACCCAAGTTGGCAGCAGGGAGGCAATTCACTTTGCAAATTCTTGTGTTTCTGCAGCAAGGCCTGAAAAGAGAATATACAAGTACTTTTCCTTACAATTCTAACACAAAAATCTGGATTTTCAATCAGAAACTACGGCAAAATACTACTGAATTTTAAATTGTTCATTGCTTGTTCCATTCAAATAAGTCTTTGGCTTTAAGAGAACTCTACCTCATTCATTTAAATTCTTTTCTTTGTTGCTGTATATGTTTTGTCATAGGAATGTCTTACTCTACTGATACAGTAGCAGTGGTGCCAATAATTCTTGTACTACTTTGATTCCCCTGCTAAACGTGGACTGGAATTAATACCAGTCTTGTACCAACAATTAAAAAAAAACAGCCACATATATAAAACCTAATGGGGAAACATCTCTATTTTGAGTTATAGACTCCATATGATTTTAAGCCTACCGAGCTTTTGGTCGCTTTCTGTTTTCTAGATCTCTGTGGGAAAGGAACTGAGCATCAAATCTACTCTTGCCAAAAATCTAAGATTATTATTAGTTCAGACACAAAAAAGCAAGAAACCGAAACTTGACACCAAATTCTCTCAGAATAAAACATTTTTTTTCTGTCAGTATAGCTCCTTGCTAGGAATGCTGTTCCACCACCAGGAAAGCCATCCCTTTGTGAGTGAAACCATCCATGGTTTCTCCCTGCATTTACATCTAATGCAACTTAGAATAGTCTTGAAATTCTGGCTTCATGTTCCACTCCATGGTTTAGACGAGGCATGGACAAACTTTGGGCCTCCAGATGTTTTGGATGTTTCCTTTTCCCCCTCCATTTAAGCGGCTGAAGGGGGAAAGGAAAGGGCCTAAGGCTGTTAGGAATGGTGGGTGTTGGAGTCCAAAATACTGGGAAGGCTAGAGTTTGCCCATGCCTGGTTTAGACTTTGAAATGTTTTTGATGAAAGTTGCAAGCATGTCTTCATTGTGGCTTATCACAGACCACTGCAATAATTCTTCTTAACCACCTTTAGTCAACAAAAGCAAGAGAATAGAAAATAGGGCAGTCAGATGTCAAGGATGTTAACATTACAGTATTTTAATTGGATTTTGAAGGAAGATTTCCCTACTGGTTTTCCCATATCAAAGGTAGTTAAAATATATTTAATAGAAAAATAGTAGAACTTTCTAATTAAGAGGAAGTTTTAGTAAATGCAGTTTTTTCCATAAGTGAAAATTAATTCTTCAATTATATTAAGAGTACAAGACCCTCATCCTCCTCTGCATCAGTTTGTCTTCAAAACTAATAAAAGAGTAACTCTTGTACATAAAAAAAAAGGTTTTTTGTGTTTTATTGTTTGGATTGCAAGTAGGAGGGGGAATTTAAGGAAGGAGTTTCATTTTTTTTAAAAAGTTGATGGACAGCTAAAGTCCCCTCCCTTCGTTCACCTCTATATTTTTATTTTTAAAAAGACTTGATTGTGCCTGTTTTCCTTTACAGGAAGTTGCAGTCAAGGTTTTAATACCTCTTTGCATGTAATGTATTTTGGGGCATTGCTCTTGTGCATTCAAGCAACTATTTTGACATTTAACTGTGCTTTCTGAATTTATGATTTTTACTGAAACATTACAGGTTTTTAAAAACATTCCCAGTGCTGCAATGCAATTAATATGAAAGTAATACAGTGGAGTTTCACTTATCCAACATAAATGGGCTAGCAAAATGTTGGATAAGCGGAAATGTTTGATAATAAGGGATTAAGAAAAAGCCAATATAATGTAAATTACATTATGATTTAACAAATTAAGCACCAAAACATCATGTTTTACAACAAATCGACAGAAAAAGCAGTTCAATACATGGTATATAAAAGGTATAAATAAATAAATAAATAAATAATATACATGATGTAGTAATTACTGTATTCCCCCTCGATGGACTGTCACCTTGTGGTGAGGGGGCTTGCGTGTTCCAATGACTGGAGTCATGCACTCCCAGGAGTGGCCCCGGAGGAGGTTCCAGACCAAGCACAGTCCGAAGACCCAAAGACCTCAACGGTAGAGCAGGCAGAGGATAACATGGTACATGTTACAACGGCTATGAAGGCGGAAGAAGGCTGCAACAGATTGAGAAGCCACAGTCGTGTTAAACTGTGCCACCAGTGGAACCTTGCTCTGTGAAGACTGTTGAACTGTTGTGCACTGACCTCCACACATTAAAAAACACACACACAGGCGTCTTCCAAGGGAAGATGCAGATCAAGAATAGGGCTCCAAGGTCACCTACGGACCCACCAGTACACTGACCTTGGAAGACTATCCTACTCAGACAACGAGGGATCACCTAAGGAATTACTGTATTGACAAATTTAGTACCAAAACCGCAATGCACTGAAACAGTAGTGGATCCCGGTGAGAAGCAGAACGTTGGATAATGCAGAACGTTGGATGAGCAAAGGTTGGATAAGAGAGACTCTACCACTGAAGGAGCACTCTTTGGGGCCTTCATTTCAGACACTTGCTTTGTCAGTTGATTACATTTTGGAAGCGATTAAGAAATCAAGGCAGTAAATTGTAACTCGGTTATGCATTTGCTATGGCATAAGACAATTGAGCTCTTCAGGATCCAGCAGACTGAAAAATTTTATATTTGTAGAATTTGACCTGTTCAGTTGACTGTCCATTGATTTGCCAGCAATGGAAGAGGGGTGACTTTGGGCAAGTCATACTCTTTCTCAGCCTAAGCGGAAGACAGGCAAACTCCATCTGAAACACATTTTGCCAAGATAACCCTGTCACTGGTTTGTCTTAGGACAATAATTCCCAACCAGAGGTCCCTAAGAACTAAAATATGGTCCACGGCCTCACTGTTACTACACCATTGCAATGAGAATGACTGGTCTCACGAAAACCTCTCATTGTGCTGAGGCAACGGGGATGTCAAGAGAGGGAAAGGCGCAACAACAAGCCTCCTGACTGCTGCTTCTCCTCTTCATCCCTCCCCGCTGAGCCATTCCATGTGGTGCCTGGAAGCGGGAGCGTTTTGGTGTCTTCATTTTAGGCCTGTTCCTGGGGTTATTTGGGATGCCGACTCAGAAAATTGCACTGGATAGACCACATCAGCTCTAGATTTTTAAATATAGTTTTCTGTGGACAAGCAGATGGCAATGACTGCATGGCATATGTTCTGTATCTGAAACTAGAACTGATGTGGTTTATCCAATGCAATTTTCTGAATCAGCACTCCCAAGTAACCAAATCGAATCTAAAGTTGACCAAAAACTGATTCCTAACCCCTTTGGTACTAATGTTGGAGAGTGGTCCCTAGTAAAAAAAATAAAAATAAAGAAGAAGTTGGGAACCATTGTCTTAGGATCACCATCAGTAGGAAACAACAGAAGTTTCTCAACAACATCAAAGGGATTAGAGCCACCAGGTAGTGGCTCCCTGTAAACTACAAATCCCAGGAATCTATTTGATATGATTACCACTTTAGTTCAAGTTACATCACTGAAACTGTAGTATCAGTGGACATGGCCAGCATTTAAAGGATGTATTAAGTATGTCAAACTAGGACACAAATGTCCTTCACGTTGCTCAATTTAAACATCTGGGAACCATAATAGTAATAATTTGTTTATACATAGCAAGTTAGCCAGTGGACCTGCCATACCTGTTATGGGGGAAGATCCACTCTGAACATCACTGCCATTTGACCTGAAGCTGCTCTGAGTTGAATGGGAGCCTTTCCATTGCAATAGCACAAGGAGCAGCATTATTCGCTCCACCGCAGTGAATCTATCTATGTTCATATGGCAAGAGTAAAGCAAAATATATGCAATAGGCCAGGCATGGGCAAACTTGGGTCCTCCAAATGTTTTAGACTCCAACTCCCACAATTCCTAACAGCTGGTAGGCTTTTAGGAATTTTGGGAGTTTAAGTCCAAAACATCTGGAGGACCCAAGTTTGCCCATGCCTGCAATAGGCCCTTGGTATCTGCTAGTTCCAGAACCCCTTTGGATACCAAAATCCATGGATGCTCAAGTCCCATTACATGAAATGACAATAGTACAATCATGTTCATATACAAAATGCAAAACCAAGGAGTTACTTTTTTGGGGGAAATTTTCAAGCCATGAATCCATGAATGCAGAATCCATGGATAAGGGGAGCCAACTGTACACTATTATGGAAATGTTGATTTAGGCTGCATTGTCTGTTATCTGTAGATCACATGAAGGCCAGGAATTCCCTTTCTGCTGTTGTGTATGTGAATGTTTAACCAGAAATCCAACAACACTGGTGCAATGTTGTCCACATATACTTGCCTTCTCAAATGTTTTCCCTTATTTCTTGAG